CTAACCAGCTTCTTTAACAGCTTCAAAGACCGTTTCACAGCCAAGATCTTATAAGGCTCTGCAACCGCAACATTCGAATGTTCTAACAACCTCTTCTCAGCATAAGTGAAGTCAATGATCTTTGAAAGTAACCCTTTTGTTTTACCAATCTTCCCACAGTTATCATGATCTCGAGCTAGCCTTTTCAGAATCAACAGTCCAAGATTGTTCAACGTCCATAAATTTAATTGATTAATACTATTTTCTCCAATCTCATCCGTGGCTTCACCCGAATCTCTAGTGTTCTCTAAAAGAGAAGATATCGACTCAATCGCCCCCGGGATCCCCGCAACTCTCAGAGAATTCTGCTTCTTACTAGCTAATCTTGAGAGAATCTCTGCAGCTGACATTCTCACATCTTCTTGATTCTTGTTTCTCCAATTCAACATCTCCACTAACCTTTCTATGATTGCCAGATTTGTCCCAATCTTCTGCAAAGTATCAACCGAATAGTCGTCGTGGGTTGAGAATATCGAGAGAATCTCTGCTCCAATGAGCTGCTCATCAAGAGAATTCGTTACCAAGAGCTCCATGGCGAAAATCACCATATCCATCTTCAATCCGTCGAAGATGCTCCCATTGAGGCATCTTGAGTAGGCGTCATAGAAGAATCTTCTCACCGAGCCCGTGCCAAATCTCTCAAGACCGCATTCTTCATTTACTTTCTCAAGAATCTTGATAACACTAATCATATATTCCCAGTAAGCTTTCTCAACAAGAAACAGAAGAGCCTCGGCTAGGGCTAGAGAGTAGAACAGAGTCAAAGCTACGTGAAGATTGGTTCTTTTGGGTTTAGAGTCGTTGTCTCCATAGTCTTGCTTGATGAGCTTGATCGTGGAGATAACAATGCTGGCGAAAGCAGAAGCAATCTGAAGCCAATAAAAGACTCTACTCACGTTTCTTGAAACAAAGACCCATCCTGTGTAAGGCAACATAGGAACATCTGAGCTTTTCCATGTCCTTGTCCGTGTAATCTGCCCCGAATTCCTCTGTACAGGTCTCGTTTCTCGAACCGGTGGTCTGTTGTCGTTCCCGGCAATGTGAGCTGCCTGATGGAATATTTGGATAACGTGTTTGACAAGGAACCGGAAGACATTGATTCCAGAGATTGTGTATTTAGACTGATGCTGCAGTTCAAGCTCATGGCTTCTACTGAAAAGCCGAGCTCCTTCGATAACAAGAATCACAGTAACAAACCAGAAATCTGTTATCTCTAAACTTCCAGCGAATCCACCAAGAAGAACAACCGTGGCCCACACGAAACCTAAAGATCCCAAGCGTGAAGCAATCTGTGATTAAGATTTAAGAACACATTTAAAACTCATGAGAAGGACTCTTAAATAATGAAAGAAAAGAATGTTGGAATCTCAAAAACCTTCTCAAGAACAGCGAGTCTTAAGGCAAAAAGTGTCAGTTTTTTCTCCGGCGCAGGAACTGGCAATTGTGTTGGTCTCCGAGGTTCTGGAGTCGGAGTCTCGTCCGGTCGGAAAATAGTTCTGCCAGAAGAACCGACCTCTACGACCACATCGGTAGTACGGTCAACCATTTGAGACAAACAATAGAGAAACAAGTGTTCTGGTTTGGTTTTACGCAGATAATTTGATCTCTAAAACTCTTTTTTTTATAATTAGGTTGGTGTCATAATTGTTTTGTTTCACCATGCACGTCTTAAGTTTTAGCCATTGACTTTTTGAAGACAAGGCGTCCAAACAACAACAATCTTGGACGCACTATATTATTCTGATGTCATTAGTTATCAATTACATAATAACATTTCGTAATCTATTTTATCAAGAAGAAAACAAAGCATTTCTTAATCTCGTGTATTTTTTTTTTTTTTTGTAGTTTTAATGTATAAATTTGGATACTAAATAATCCTTGAAAGTTTTGTTGGCATATATAAATAGCATCATACGTTTTATGATCGATCAAATCGTTACTTGTGATGGTTGAGCTGGATATTCCTTCTAATCACAGAATCCTAATCATATCAGTATATTCATTTTCTTTTTCTCTAAAGTTCTCTAAAAATAATTGATTTATTAGTAAATGTAACATTCTAAGACATTTATATATGTCTTAATTCGAAGATTAAAGAGTGACTTATTTTGTTTTTGGGATCAACTGCAAAGATTGTGACCCACGTCGATTGCAATCTGCAAATACATGACGATACATGTTCTGTCATCAATAGATGATTTAGTCAATTTTAAAATTAATAATTACTATTTGCAACTAAATAAATGTTGATCATGCAATAGCAATATCCTAGTGGCTAGTGATCAAGGTATAAATGATTAATAAACCTATTATTAATCATTTGTTTAATAAAATATGTATTCCGGAGTTAACTTGTTACATATTGGAAGGACAATCTTATTACACCGTTTCAAATTAGCTCGAAGCTTTGTACATATGTAGAAAAGAAATACCATGTTGTAAGCAGAAAATGGAGCACATACACATACACAGTAGAAATAAATTACCAAATTCGTAAATTTTATATAAAGAATTTTCCAGGTGTCTTTAAAAAAATAATTGGAACGATGCTATATAAATGCACAAATTTAATATAGAGGAGTGTTATTCATTTGAATATAAAATTTTCAAAATGTGATTATTTAGATGATCAATATGTGATTTATTATTGTTATTATTTTTTTTGAAATTTGATACTGAGAATTGAAGAAAAGAAGAGATATGAAATTTATGCAATCTATTTGTATTTATTTTTGAATAATGTGGTTGAACCTTTATTAAATTTCGAACAATTGTTTCCTTGCGTTAACAATAGCAATGACATATATGTTTGTTCCCAAACAGTTTGCAATAACCTCCTCTTTCGCACTCTTCAACACAAAATTTCCAGCATTTCCCATCATTCTCAGCTTTATCATCGATGTTTGGTTGACACCTTCCAAGGCTCGGATGTTCTCTACAACATCTCGACTTGTTTTCATATATCCACGGTGCGATGTGTTTTTGTCCATCTATTTGGTTGGATCCTAAATTTTATCAAAAAATAGCATGTGATTATTAATTTCCTACATCGAAACTTTAAGAAAAAAATGGATTAACGCTTTAATTCTAATTACAAAATAAAACCATACCTATACATAGCACAATAGCCGCAAATAAAACCAAAGATACAACCTTTGTTCTTATCATCTTTCTCTTTTTTTCTTTGTTAAATCAAAGTATTACGAATTTTTGATACTTTTGTATTTGAATGAGAACGAATAAGGAGTTGTTTCGTATTTATAATTAGAATTATAACTATAATCAAGGGATCCTTTGAATTAACACTATCGGACTAAATAAATTAGTAATGAATACAATTTATTTGGTCAACCTAATTATAAACATGTTTCCAAAAAGATTGGATTCCATAATTCCAACTTTGACTACATTATTACAAAGATATACATGACTTATTTAGATAAACGTATTTGGTAATTTGCAAGGTAAAGCAGTCCAATATGGGCTCCGTTGATTGCGTTGTAGTAAGAAGATTCTTGTTCGAACTCTAACCAAAACTTACCTCGGTTTGGTTCAGGTTTGATTCGATTTCAATTTGGCATGTGGTTGAATTGGTATATCCATAGACGTGGACTTTATATTTTTGATAAACAAAGATTTGAACTTACAAACGTAAAAATTTTGTGTTCTTCTAAAAACCATTATCTAAATGATATTTATTTGAGTCTCTCAAGATTTTATAACCAAATAAAAAAAAACGCATTAGAATCCAAATTGACCTAAACCAAACCGATCATAAACACTTTGATATCATCCGGTTCGATTACAATTCCAATTTGCTTCTACAAGTCTAGGAGAAAAAATACGTTATACAAAGCTCATAACAGATCTTATTAGTAGACGACTAGACGTAGAAGAATATTCACAGGATCACATGAAGAAGAAAGAACAAAGATTAGTTTCAGCCATTACATTACATTAAACACAAACACGACTCTAATTTATCTCGAAAAGAAGCGCTTTATTTTAGACAATAGATTAAAATAATCTATTTGTCTCATGCGTTTTATTTTAGACTTGTATAAGTTTTGGGATGCTTATTTCTCTGCAGCATAACAAAGACATATATGTTTCTTTCCAAAAAGTTTGCAAAAACCTCCGCTTTCGCACCCTTTAATAATGCAAAATTTTCAGCATTTTCCATCGCTAGGAGTATCATCATCAATACCTAGAAGACATCTTCCGATTTCCGGATGTTCTCTATTACACGACGGCAGCTGCATACTATTTATCCATGGCGTAATGTTTTCTTTTCCATCGATCTTTTTGGATCCTATATATTTTTAACTCCCAAAAAATATGATTGTTAATTCATAAATTTTTATTTTTTTAAAACAATATAGTACTAAACAGTAAAATAAAACATACCCACACATAGCATGAGAGTTGAAAATATAACCAAAGATCACAATGCTACGAATTGTTAGTCCCTTTTAATTTGAATGAGGACAAAACAATAGAGTTGTTTCATATTTATAACTAAAACTATAGTCAAGTGCTCCTTTGAATGATTTACATAACATAGTAATGAATATAAATTTTTTATTGGTTGGTCAACCAAATTAAAGGTATATCCAAAATAAATTGGATTCCAACTTTGATGTTATTATTATTATCTTCATACCTTACTTGTAAAAAAGATTCATTTTCTTTAAGGTAAACTTTTTGTTACTTTGCAAGGTAAAGTAGACCAATATGCATTAGTACGGGTTGGCTATTTGTTTTTGTTTTGTTTGGGTTCGGTTTTGTAGTAAAGTTTAGCTCAACTCTAACCAAATTCGGTTTGATTTGTGTTTAACACCAGTTTCAATTTTGTTGTTAGAATTGGTTTCCAAAGACATACGGTACAATTCCATTTTAAACCGAATCAAACCTTTTGATACGACCTGGTTCGATTTCAGTTTCAATTTGTTTGATACAAAGCTCATAAACTGATGTTATTACTTATTACATGAACCAGAAAGATCAGTTTCAGCCATTGCATTACACTACTACATTAAACCCACAAACGACTCTGATTATCATCTCGAAAGAAGAAGAAGAGCTTTGTTTCTTCTAGAAGCTTCACCGTGGCTGATAAATCTGATGATTCCGGCGACAATTAAAGCTTGGATTCATGTAGTTCCTCTTCCGATTATACTTTGGTGAACAAGAAGAAACCTTTGATCTGTAAATCTTCTCTTTCGTAGACTCAGCTATGTTCAAAAGCATCTTCAAATACTTAGCAACATCTGCTTCTGCCATTAAAAAACAAAAAATCCTCAGATCTGAAGTTTCAAATCCCTAAATCATAACTAATTTTGAAAACAGTAACAAATTTATTACCTGTAACTGTATCAGCCGTAGATCCACCATCAGACGCCGCGATCATCTCCTCGAACTCTTCTTCCATAACTGAGAAATCGTCTCCGCCGACGAACTCATACTCAGAGTTAGCACTGAGCCAAAAGTCACGGAACCATTTCGAAGTCGTTACCAGATCCCACCATTTCGGTGAAAAATCCTCCACCTCACGAAATCCCACCGGATCAAACACCGGCGCGTTCGGATTCAGTGTTGATAAACTCCGATCTACCATCGCCGTCATCTTCCACCTCAAATTCACAATGCAACAAAGTCAAGAGTTTTGGTACCGAGTCAAACTGAGTCTAAGAGCGAGTCACACTCTCGAGTCACTTTGGCACGTCTTTAAAGAAGAGAAAAGCGAGTGTAGCCGGTAATCCGGTTAAGAGTCACGGCCACGTGTGATGTAAAAGATGAGGATCCGACGGTTATTAATGATAAGGGCGTGATCTAACGGTGTTGATGTGCACAATAATTGGGATATACGTTCGTTAGTTACTGGATAAGATATTCTTTTTTCTTATTATTGTTTTTTTGGATAATGAAAAGATATTTTTGTGTAGTAAGAAATTTCTAGAACGTAGAAGCCCAAAAGCCCATTAAGCTAAAGAAAATAAAAGCAATCGTAACATTGGTTCATGAAAAACTATGTTCGAAGTCTGTTTTCTGTTTCAAAAACATAGAGAAAATAAAAAATGTTAGTATATTGAGTAGCTGGTTTCAGGAATGATTTTAGATTTTATGAATAAAACATTATAAGTATGACAATAAAATATTAGGAATGATTTTTGATTTGGGAACAAATATTGAACAACAAATTCCATAATTTTTAACTTTGAGAAAAAGCAATAAGATTTAAAAGAGCTATTTATGGAATTTCTAAATATTCTCATTTATGTCTTGTACTTGCTGAGCAAGAATATTCTTTAGTATTAAGTTTGACACAGATACACAAGAGACGAAAACACACAAAGACTTTAGGGTTCAACAATGTCACAGCTTATAATCAGCCGAGTCTTCAAACCCTCTGTCTCCATAAACTTTCTCGTAAGCTTCTACGTAATAATTCATTTTTTTCTTTAACTTCTTCTTGTTCTTGTTGTCTCTGACTACTTGAACATATTTATGGCAGCGACACACAAACGTCGTTCGTATGTTCTCATCTACAACTTCTCACACAAGCGGGTTGGATTCGGATGAGACCGAGACTAAAGTGACTCGACCCTTCTCGTCTGAACCAGCCTACCCGTTTCTATTGATTGACTACATCACTAACATCCCAAACTCTACTCCGGATGGTCGCGTATTAATATACGACGATTCCTCAAAGGGAACGGCAAAACAAGTCACTATTCAGGACGAGAACCTCGAAGAGGAGGTCATTGATGCAATGACTGTCGGATTTTCACGTAATGGATTACTATTCTATCTTTCGAACAGAAGCAGCGACCATCAACCTGTCATCTCTTATGATCCCTCCAACCCAGAACTAGAAGACATGACCGTTCATCTACCTTCTTTACCCACCCGTAAAAAAATCCAAAACCTAGCCATGTCCTCTTTACCTGTCCAAGATAAAGATTGGGTCGTGGGTGTCAAGTTATCGGGATCTCAGATTAGTCTTTGCAGGCCTTTTGGTAGCTCTAAATGGATCAACATGAAATCCATGTCTAAGTGGATAAACCCTTTATCGAGCCTCATGTTCTCCAAGAGAGATCAAAGGTTCTACATTCCAAGTTATGGAGGCAACCACTTGTGCTACTTGGATATCAATGCTGAGGAGGATGAAGAACGCATGTTCGTCGACTTGAATTATGAAAATCTTCCAGAGTCGGTGCTTAAAGAGTTGGCGGGCATGAGTTCATGTTCCAAGACAGACCACCTTGTTGAGTCACCCACCGGCCAACTTTTCCTGGTCAAGTGGTATAATATCTAATTAACTAGACACCTTTTGTTTCTTGATTTCGTTGGTGGGTTTTTGGCTTGAGTGGTTCTATCATGTCTTTTCAGGTACGTCGAGGACGCGGAGGACCATGAAGACGAAGACGATACAGTCATGCACGTAACAAAAAAGTTCATGGTGTTTAGAGCAAGTGAGTCTTCTGACAAATATGAGAAGACAATGATCTACACAGAAGACATTGGAGATCTTTGCATATTTCTTGGACATAGTGAGGCTTTCTGCATCCCGGCTAGTACGTCCCGTGGACTCAAGCCCAACTGCATCTATTTTGTTGGGAATAACTTTGGTGTTTATGATCTCACCACCAAAACTTGCTCTATCTTCTACAATAGTATAAGGCCAGTGAAGAACGTGAGGTTCCCTTACTGGCCTCCTCCAACCCCTCTCTATTAGCTCCTTATTAATTAACATGGCTCTTTCACGTGTGTTTGCTTTCCCATGCTATCATTGAAATCCTATGTGTCTCTTTCAATATATGTATTTTTCTTCGATTTCAATTATTTTTTATCTTTCCAATTTGCCACTGCATACGGGTGCGAGAGAGAGAAACAAAACATTTAATTTCGTTTTAGAAACAAAACGTAATTTTAGTTTCTTATTTAAAAATTTATTAAGTAAATAAGTAGATGAAAGTTATTGAAAGAATGGAGTTTGATGATCTCCATAGTAGGAAGCAGTTTTATTTGATAGGATTTATGAAAATGCTAGTTATGAAGTTTTAAACTTGTTTTTCCGTTTTGTATCAGATTCCTAATGATATATCTCTATATTTTCTTTAATATTGTAACAAAACAGGATAACAAGTACGCCGTAATTTTAGGAATGATTTTAGATTTTATGAATAAAACAATATAACGTATGACTATAAAATATTAGAAATGGTTTTAGATTTTATTTGGGAACAAATATTGAACAACAACAAAATCCGTGATTTTTACTTCCAGAAAAACAAAATGATCATGGGATTTGTTTTTTTTTCGATAATAAAGAGCTATTTATGTGCTTTGGGTGATAAATTCTAAATATTCTCTAAATATGTTCATTGTTATCTTGTACTTGATGAGCACGTAAATTCTCAGTATTAAGTCTAACACACAGATTCAGGAGACGAAACACACAAATTAAAGACTTTAGGGTTTCAACAATGGCACATCTTATAATCAGCCGAGTCTTTAAACCCTCTGTCTGCAAGAACTTCCTCGTAAGCTTCTCTTGACTATGTATTGTTCCAGTTTTTCTTTAACTAACTTAAACATATATATGGCAGCGACACACAAACGTTCGTAGGTTCTCATCTGCAACTCCACACACGAGCGGTTTACATTCGGATGATGAGACTAAAGTGACTCGGCCTTTCTCGTCTAAACCAGCCTACCCGTTTCTGTTGATTGACTACATCCTTAATGGCCCAGACTCTTCTTCAGATGGTCGAGTAACAACATACAATGGAAAGGAAGTCTTTATTAACGACAAGAAACTCATGGAGGAGGTTTGTGATGCGATGACTGTCGGATTTTCACGTGATGGATTACGATTCCATATTTCGCCGTACAACGATAAACCTGTCATCTCTTATGAACCATTCAACCCCAAACTAGAAGACATGACCGTTCATTTACCTTCTCTACCTACCGGTTCCAAAATCCAAAACCTGGCCATGTCCTCTTTACCTGTCCGAGATAAAGATTGGGTCGTGGGTGTCAAGTTATCGGGATATGGGTTGAGTCTCTGCAGGCCTTTTGGCAACTCTAAATGGATCAACATCAACACTATGTCTCAGTGTATAAACCCTTTATCGAGCCTCATGTTCTCCAAGACAGATCAAAGATTCTACATTCCAAGTCTCGGAGGCAACTTCTTGTGCTACTTGGATCTCAACTCTAAGGAGGATGACGAGCCCAAGTACATCGATTTGGAATTTGACAATCTTCCAAAGTCGGTGATTCATGAGTTGGCGGACGTGAGTTCATGTTCCAGGACTGACCACCTTGTGGAGTCACCCACCGGCCAACTTTTCCTTGTCAAGTGGTATAGTATCTTATTAACTAGACATCTTTTGTTTTTATAACATACATATATAAATCTTTTTATTTCCTTGGTGTGTACCATATTTTGGCTTGAGTGTCGTATTGGCTCTATCATGTCTTTGTAGGTACGGTGAAGACTTGGATGACATAATGTCACTGATGCGCGTAACCAAAAGGTTCATGGTGTATAGAGCAAATGAGGAATCTGACGACTTAGAGAAGACAATGATCTACACAGAAGACATTGGAGATCTTTGCATTTTTGTTGGACATAGTGAGGCTTTCTCTGTCCCGGCTAGTTCGTCTCGTGGACTCAAGCCTAACTCCATCTATTTTGTTGGCGATAACTTTGGTGTTTACGATCTCACCACCAAAACTTGCACTACCTTCTACTACACAGGAGATGAAGTTCCATTAAGAAACTTAGACTTCCCTTACTGGCCTCCTACAATTCCTCTCTACTAGCTCTTAATTAATTAACATGGCTCTTGCACGTGTGTTTGCTTTCCCATGCTATTATTCAAATCTTATGTACTCTTTTTCAATATATGTTTTTCTTCGATTCTATCAAATAATTCGTATATGGTAACCTTTAAATTTCATACACTCCTTTAATGTGTGAGGTATATATGGAGTGTGAAACCGAGAAACCTCTCGGATGTGAGCATTTGAACAATACACTTAATTGAATGACTCATGAAAACTTAGGGTCTCATGACTCTCATCTTAAGGTATAAAACCAGGACAAATATCTACATGCTCAAACTCGAATATTTTGGTACGGAAGGAGACAGAGGTACAGGCCTATAAAGAAGGTGCTTCTTTGTGAAATTGATGAGCATAGGATGGGATATATTAAAAAAACTGAGCCTCGCTACCAAACTTAATTTCTCTATAAAACTGAACTTTTCAAAGTTTATCTATAACCGTTGTTATTTGTTAAGAACAAAAAAATCTTGTAAAGCATTTCAAAATAAAAACCTCACTAGAATATGAATTTGTAAATTTGCTTGTGTCACCATTTCAATTTCCTTGTTTGGTTTGCGTACTGATGCGAGAGAAAGATTATTGAAAGCCGAAAACCAATAGCAGTAGTATTAACTTGATTCAGAAAAAAAAAAAAAAAACCAGTCTCGTGTTTGTGTAGTCCTTGGTTTTTTTAATTACCAAATTAGAGTGGGAAAAGAATATAAAAAATAAGATCTATAAAAATAGAATAAGGTTATACAGTACATCAGTCAAGAGCAAAAGTAAATCCCAAAAAATGTACAATATCTAAAAAAATGGAAATATATCAAACAGAAACAAAAACCGATAAGGAGTTTCCTTTTTTTTTGGTTTGCGCGTTGAACAAAATTGGAACAGGAAAAGGAACAAAATCTTATGAGTCCTCTCTATATATAAATAAACAGACGCAAAGGTAAAACACAAACTCTCCAATTCGTCTTTTAGGGTTCCCACAAATTATTTTTCTCTCGCTCTCGTTCTCTCTCAGACAAAACAGCAAACAATGGAGACTGCAACGAGTGCTAACCAACTACAACTGATCTCATCTTTCCTCGATATCACCGTTGGCCAAAGTGCAGAAATCGCTCTTCAGTTCCTTAAGGCAACAAACTGGCACCTTGAAGATGCCATCAACCTCTTTCTCATCGCTAGGAGAAACCCTAATCCAGAACAAGTCCCTCTTCCTTTACCTTCGATGATGGATACTCTCTACGAGTACTCCTCCATGCGTCACAACACTTCGGTCGCCGTATCTCCTGAAGATATCTGGGACTCGGCATCTGAGGAGTCCGAATCCGATTCAAGGTTGTCTTCTTTGTACCGTCCTCCTCCAAGTCTGTTTTTCCATGGTTCGTTTGAAGATGCGAAAGCAAGTTCCTTTAGAGAGGATCTATGGTTGCTTGTCAACCTCCAGTCCACGACCGAGTTTGCTTCTCACTTACTTAACCGAGATTTATGGCCAAACGACGCTGTTTTTCAAGCCATTAGGTCCAGCTTCATCTTGTGGCAGGTCTATGATCATACCAACGAAGGTCAGAAAATATCTACTTTTTACAAGATCGACTCTGCTCCTCCTGTGATTCTCCTCATCGATCCCATCACTGGCCAGAAGATGCGTATGTGGAGCGGTATGATTGAAGCTCAGGGTTTTCTCGAGGATTTGATGAAGTACATGGATGCTGGTCCTCACGAACATGTTGCTTCTCTGACAAGCAACAAACGTATCAAAACAGAGAAGATTTCCTTTCCAAGCAACAACGCTGATGATCAAGTAGACATGTCGACTTTCTGGGGCGATGATATTGAAGAAGAAAAGACTGTAGCCAAAGATGAAAAGGAGGAGAATCTCGTTGTGGCTCCTTCTTGGGGGCAAGAATTTGAAGATATAATGACTTTATCCGAACATGAGGAGGAAACTTGTTTGTCAAGCGACCTGTTTGAGTTCCCGGTTCTGACAGAAGAGCCAAAAGGAGACTGTGATAGAAGCATTGTGTGCAGTTTGTGCGTTCGATTTCCAGATGGGAGAAGAAAGCAGAGGAAGTTTCTCAAGAGCGAACCGATTCAGCTTCTCTGGTCTTTCTGTTATTCTCACATGGAGGAATCCGAGAAAAAGGCGTTCAAGCTTGTGCAGGCGATTCCTGGTGCTTCCAAGACTCTGGATTATGGAGCTAACGTCACGTTTGATCATTCTGGGCTAGCTAATTCGATGATTTCAGTTACTTGGGAGTGAAGTTTTCAACATGTTGTTCCTTCTTAATTATATCTTCTTGAAGCAATTATGAAGAAACCCTTAAATTCTTGAAAATAATTTCTAGACTTTTGTTTCGTTTGTCGTCAATTGGAATATTAAGTTTAAATATACAATTCTTTCAACATAGATCACTCTGATCCTCTTCACTGTTACTAATATATTTTTCATATGTGAGCTCTGATGAATATTAAAAAGGAAGATTGTTCTCTAAAAGTCTCCAAGTCGAAAGTTGCAACGTTTTACTAATTTAAAGTTTAAACACAGACACTGAAAGTTTGAAACGAAAAATTTGAAAGCGAATATTTATATTTTTTTAGGAAATGTGTATATATAATAATACACCAAGTGTATATATATTTGAAAAACACATATTTTGAGGTACAATACGGTGTGGATGGAGTTGAGGTATGAGAGGGGGCTTCAAGACTGGTTTGGTTCAAAACAAAACATAGGATAATTTCTTTAGTTTTGTGTTAAAAACAGTATGCATTAAGTTATAAACACGTTGATTTTTCTTTTGAATATAATTTAATATTAAATTAAAAAAGTGATAAATCCTGTTACGAGTGAGTAGAATTCAAATCTTTTCTGAAATTTTATGGTTTCGGAAGATATTTCGCTAATATTCCAAGGTATCAAATCTGTCAATAGATACATGAAAGACCAACTACTTTTGCATTTCACAAAATATGGAAATTAATCCAAATATTCTAAGGTGATATCACTGCCATATCGTATACAACGTTAGATGTGGTAGATAAACCTAAAACTCTTTCATTTAGCTTTAATTGTTTCATATATAGAGTAGAAATTAGCTGTTTTACCTATACAGTTTATCAAAAGTAAATATAAAGTACAAGACCCTAAAAAAAAGAAAATAAATATTTATCAAGTAAAACAAAAACTGAAAAAGATTTTTTTTTTCAACCAACCTAGCTAAGCAAAGACGTAATTAAAGAGCATTAAACTCTTACAAATTCTTCACTTCTTCTTTTAGGGTTCCCACAAAGTCTTGTTTCTTAGAACAGCAAACAATGGAGAATGAAACGAGTGACCAACAATACTGTTCCTTAAGGCAACAAACTGGGAGCTCGATGAAGCCATTAACCTCTTTCACATCCAAAGAATAAATCAACCTTTGCCCTATGAGGATACTCTTTATGATTCTTCCATGTATCACACTTCTTCGGTCACAGTATGTCCTAATGATATCTGGGACTCCGGTTCTAGATTATCTTCCTTGTATCGTCCTCCTCTAAATTTGCTTTTCAATGGTTCGTTTGAAGATGCTAAATCAACTTCCTCTAGAGAAGATTTATGGTTACTTGTCAACCTCCAATCCACGACAGAGTTTGCTTCTCACACACTTAACCGAGATTTATGGTCAAACAATGTTGTTTCTCATGCCATCGAGTCCAGATTCATCTTATGGCAGGTCTATGATCATACCAACGAAGGAAAGAAGATATCTACTTTATATGAGATCGACACTACTCCTCCTGTGGTGCTACTCATTGATCCCATCACTGGCCAGAAGATGCGTACGTGGAGCGGTATGATTGAAGCTCATTATTTTCTCGAGGATTTGATGATTTATATTGATGCTGGTCCTTGCCAACAAATTGCTTCTCTGACAAGCAACCACGTTGATCAAGAAAAGGCTAGTTTATGTTGTTCCTTCGGATATCTTATTGAGCTAGTTTCAGGATTTTGAACATTAAATTGTTGTTGAAAATATCTCCTGTCAATTACTTTATATTTAACTAAATTAATTTCGTTAATAAGGTGTTTTAATTTAGATTGACCGACTCTGGTTAAGATAGATGAAAAAGAATTGATGGAAACTATTTAAATATCAAAAATAGCCTAATTTATGTTTTTCATTTTTTTTCAAATTCAGCTATATATGGATTTTTCAGTGTAGCAAAGTTTTTTTTGTATGTGTTTCATATATAGGTGAAGCCGCTCTTTAAATGTAGAAAAGACATTATTGAATAGAGTTGTTAGTAGACTTGAATAGCTGGAGTTATTAGTGACAAATAGTTTGAATTACACAAACCTATTCAACTATTTGCTACATTGTTTTCTAAATCTTTACTCTTATAACGGTATATGGTGCGTTAATGGATACGCATCGTTCACATATTTGCCTCGGCTTGTTCAAGATTTGCTGTCGGTTTGTTTATCACAGAGAATCATGCCTATGGTGGTCGCCGATTTGAGGTAATCAAAATTACCTTTTCTTTTTTATTTAACACTAGAAAAAAAACTTTAATTTGCACATTTCTATATTATTATTTGAGAAGTTTATTAAAAACCTAACATTTAATTTTTAAAATATCACATAGAATGATATTAATAAATAACATAAGTAATTTAATTATAAAAAGGTATCTATATAATTCAGAATAATTGAAGTATTTATTTTTCTAGTCTTCTTTTTTATAAAATCTTTTAAGAAGATTATTTTCTTAAAGAAAACACTTAAAATAAATAAACAATCCCACCTAACTTAATCAAAAGTAAATTTGAAAGATTGTGTATATCCCAAAAAAAAAGGAAATATCTATACACAATTTAAAACGAAAAGAGAATTTCCATTTTTCTTAAAAAAAAAGTTGGAGCAGAAAAAAGGAAACAAACCTAAAAAAAACTTAGGTCCTCTCTATATAAATAAACCTTTTCTATATCTCGTCTTCAATTCCTCCTTTCCCAAGACTTGTTTATTTTCTCTCAGAACAAAGCAACAATGGGGCATATTTTCTCAGCGAATAACCAACAGAGAGTGATAACAACAAGGCCAGAGCTTGACGAAGAGATCGTTCTCTTTCGTCAACATCAACTGATCTCGTCTTTCCTCGAGATCGCTGTCGGTCAGACCACAGAAACCGCAAGGAGATTCTTACAAACAACAGACTGGGACATTAATCAAGCCATCAACCTCTTTCTCACCAACAACAACGATTCTTCGATGTATTACGACAATCAGGACGCCAACTCTACGACATCAGGAACGTCCGATGATTCATACTCTGAAGAATCAGAATCGAGATTGTCTTCCTCGTTTCCTCCTCCTTTGTATGTACTTCAAGAGGGTTTGTTTGAAGAAGCAAAGTCTATTTCAATTGCAAGTAATTTATGGTTGATAGTGAATCTCCAGTCCAGGACGGAGTTAGCTTCTCATACACTTAATAGAGATGTATGGGCGAACGACGCGGTTTCGCGAAACATTGAGTCTAGCTGCATCGTATGGCAGGTCTATGATGATACAAACGAAGGTCAGAAAGTCTCTAGCTTCTACAAGATCGAATCTGCTCCTCCTGTGGTTTTTCTAATTAATCCCATCACTGGCCAGAAGATGCATATGTGGAGTGGCGTGATTGAAGCTGACAGTTTTGTCGAGGATTTAATGATGTTTAGGGACGCTGGTCCTCACGAAAACATTGCTTCTCTTACAAGGAACAGGGGCATGGAAACAACAGAGACTTGTTCGTCAAGCAACAACATCTATTATGAAACCCCTCCTCCTTCCTGGGGTGAAGAGTTTGAAAAGGAGGATGCTTGGTCGTCAAGAAACAGTAACAATCAAACTCCTTCTTGGGAGAAAGAATTTGAAGATCAAGTCCCGGTGGAGACTTGGTCGTCACACAGCGACACTGATGACTTCGTGCCTCCTTTTATAGGAGACGAGTATGAAGACTCTGATGAAGTAAAGGAGGAAGAGACTTGTTTAGTGTTCCCCGTTTTGACAGAAGAGCCAAATGGAGACTGTGATCGAAGTGTTGTGTGTAGTCTCTGCGTTCGATTTCCAGATGGGAGAAGAAAACAGAGGAGATTTCTCAAGAGCGAACCGATTCAGCTTCTTTGGTCTTTCTGTTATTCCCACATGGATGAATCTGAGAATAGGTCGTTCAAGCTGGTGCAGGCGATTCCCGGTGCTTCCAAGACTCTAGATTATGAAGCTGACACCACGTTTGACCAATCCGGGCTCGCTAATTCAATGATCTCGGTTACTTGGGAGTGAAGCTTTCATGGTTTAGGTTAACCTTTGGGTTTGAGTTTATCGGACATGGTGCTGAGTTGTTCCTTCTTTTTTACATTGTAGTTCATTGTGAAGAAAACAAGTACCTTTCTAGTATTATTTACATTCTTGTGTTTGGGATATCATGTTCAATTATGCGATTAGATCAACACATATCACACTTCCAAATCACTTTAGTGGCTATATCTTGGCCTCAAATCGCAAAATGGATCAAAAATCTTTCATTTTTGATGCGAATAGTCAATTGCTAACTCACGTTAGGGTACTTCATGACATTCTGTTTTCGAGCAAGATATCAGTTTTATAGCAGACAAGTCCCCACAATACGGGTTGACAATCTAAGAATTTTAGCACCATTCAAAAGTGAACATGTAGACAAAATCATACATATAAAAGTAGGGTTTCACTCTCCCATGATTGGTCCACTTGGCATTTCTTTTTCATATTTTCTTAAATTTACCTTTAATATATTAATCTCTAATTAACTCCCTTTAAAACTCATGTGTAACTCCACATTTAAATTCATTTGTAACTCCTCCACTAAAATGCATTAACTATTTAAAAATTATATTGACTATACAGTAATTTAAACTCTACATTTAAACTCAATAGTAACTTTTACCAATAAATAATAATTTGTAACTCATACTCAATAATTATAAGAGTTTCACCACTTCTCATCTATAAATATCAATTCTCATAAAAAAAAAAAATAAAAAAAATATCAATTCTCTTATCATTCTCCACCATATTTTCAAATCTGTAAATTTACTTTATTTTATGTTCTTGCATGAGTTAAAAACAATTGTGTCATGGTGATAGTGAAGGCTTGATTGTAATATTTATTTTTGGGAAAATGTTTGTCAGCTACACGAAAGAGACACCATCACATACTCACACATGCGAACTTTATAAATGTCACCTTAGCTACACGAACTATTGCTATCACATACGGACATCCCCGAACTAACATAAGTCATGTTGCCAACACCATAACCATCTAATTCCAGTGTACCGGTTGCCGGAATCCGGCGTTGACCGGCATTGACTAAAAATATTTTTCTTTTTATTTATTTTTGATAAAAAGAATTTTGCAAAAATAAATAATTATATAATTTTACTAAAAATTAAATAAAGTATACCAAAAATAAATATACCATAAAAAAATTATACAACAAACTTTTGGTTTATATTTTTGTAATATAACTAAATATACCAAAAAATAGACCATGAATTTTTGTTTGTGCTATATTTTGTTATAAAATTTTGGTAATATAACAAAATATAATATACATTTTTTTAACAAAATTTGCTAAATTACAAAAATTTTATTAACAAAATGAAAGTATATAAATTCATTTTTCTCCATTGTTTCTCTTTAATTTATAAACATCATAATATATGCTTTGATTTGTGGTTTTTACAAAGATATATATATATATATATATATATATATTTGAGTTTGGTATATACTTTCAATTACATGTTATATATATATATATATATCAAAGGTCATATATTATTTTCAAAAGAAGAAGATATATTTCGTTATATTATCTTAAAATAGAAACCAACCTTTGAATTTATAAAAAAATGATTGCCAAAAGGAAAAGATGTATTTTGTTATATTACCAAAATTTATAACAAAATATAGCACAAGAATAATTTGTATTTTATTTTGTTAATAAAATTTTGGTAATTTTTCAAAAAAATTTCTTTTTATCAAAAAAGAAAATAAAAAGAAAAAAATATTTTTGGTCAACGCCGGTCAACACCGGATTCCGGCAACCGGTACACTGGAATTAGATGGTTATGGTGTTGGCAATATGACTTATGTTAGTTCGGGGATGTCTGTATGTGATAGCAATAGTTGGTGTAGCTAATGAGACATTTTTAAAGTTTGCATGTGTGACTATGTGATGACGTCTCTTTCGTGTAGCTGGCAAACATTTTTCCTTTACTTTTAAAGATTATATGATATGTAGTTTACATTGTATTCAATTTTTATTTCGTTTATTTTATTTTTAGAGATTATATGGTATATATGTAGTTTATATTGTATTCCATTTTATTTTGTTTCTACCGCATTACAAGAATATATTTCTTTCATTTTTAGTTTTCAAAATTCTTACTATAATATTTATCTGTTTCCCGATTTATCTATGGAAGTTCAAAGGCTAACTATTCTAATATTCACACAAGTCAATCTAATTGAAATGATATATCTTCGTTTTTTACTATTGATGTATGATTATTCTCTTTATCTATTTATTCAAACAAAAAACATTGTTCGATGTTTTAGCATTTTGAAATTAAAATTTTTAATGCCTTTCTCAAATATATGTTCCAACATGTAGTGATATGAATATCATTGTAGTATTTTTCCAAGGTTTGTGGTCAAAATTATTTTTTTCCAACAAAATTAATTTAATAAAAACAGTTAGATAATCAATAGCAAATGTTTAAATATCATGTTGGTAAAAAGATGTGAGAAAGAGTATCTTTAATGAAAAATGTATGCTATTCATGTTAGAAGAAAAACTGTTTTTCCTTTGCATCAAGTATACAAAAATTATGATTGTATATAAATAAGTTGAATTTTCTTAAAATTGAAGATATTAGAACTTAGACTTAATAAAAAAAAATGTAAGTAGGTGTTAGATCTATCTAGAAACTACACTATTCTTGATATATGTTTTTTTTTTACAATATACAAATAATTTATAAAATATTTCGAGTCGTACCACTTAATTGGTTAATTCTTACAATAATAAAAAATAAGTGGTGTTAAAAAATTATGCATTGTAATCATAGAAGAATATGTGTGATAATATTAAAAGCATAATTTTCTTTTAGTTTTCATTTCAAATTTTAAATTCATGTTTACAATAAAATTGTAACAAGTCACGCGTAGCGTGACTACATTCATCTAGTTAAACATATATTTCTGTTTCATGTTAGGGTTTTAAGATTTAACTATGGAGTTTTGAGCTAATTTGATCAAGAATCTTATGAAACATGTGAATTTTGTTTACCGAAAAAAATGGGTAAGGTTCTTTTTTCTTGAACATTATGAAAAGGCGAGCGACTTGTTTGGCCCAAAACATACATATGCATGGAAGACCACTGATTTTAAGTGTCCGATAAATCATCAATATATATTTCATTATATCTATAGACGATTTCAGTGGATATGGACATATGGTTTTGTTTATTTATTAATATAAATATGAATTTTTCAAATTTCAATTTTTTTGGGCAAACTTATAATTTCATTAAAATTAAGCCTAAAACTCTAACGGAAGAGGACAAGATACAACCCAACAAATGACTTTAAAATGATATTTTTCTCTTTAGAAAGATATTTTTCTCTCTTTTTTTTCTTAGGGTCCAAAAACAATAATTTTTGAAAAAATTTCTTCTTAGATTTTTTTTTTTAATCACATATTCCAAAATAGAAAAGAATCTTCTTTTATAATTGTTTTTTTTATTGTATAATAAATTTAACATCCCCAAATTAAAGAAAGAACCAGACTACGAGATCTGAGTCATCTTACAAATACAATTGACTACCTAAACAACACTCTTTTGTAATACCATGTTTGTTTGATAATAGAACTGGTTCATTACATGGATTGGATTTGACTAGAACACTTTATAAAAGTCTTGTTACAAACACATTACTCACGAAAACATAACAACTAAATTAAAATAGTAAAAAATATAAATTTGTTGCTTCTAAAGAGTGTTCTATGATATCATAAATCTCTGTGGACACGCTACGATTTTAACATTTGTGGTTGTGAAGAATAGAGAGCTTCACGACAAAAACAAAACTAAAGGGGTCATTTTAACATAATGATTAAGTTAAGGGTCTAAATGCAATTTCCTTAAAAAACTTTTTGCCGTTTTGTCCTGGAAAATTGTACTGAACTGAAATCCGACATGTTGGTGAGATCCAACGAATTATAAAATTATCAAAAAGAAGCCAAAAAAAAAAAGGTCGTGTGCCTAGAGAATCACATATACAGAGAGATTCATCGAATCATCAGCTCTGTTTTCGAGAAGAAGAAGATGCATCTGATTAATGCGGTGGCGGCGACGAGGATGTTATCCGGAATCGGACAATCTAACGGTAACGGAGGTGGTGAAGCGATTCCGTTTGGATCGTTTGAGTGGATTACTTACGCCGGAATCTCTTGTTTCCTCGTACTCTTCGCCGGGATTATGTCTGGTCTTACTTTAGGACTTATGTCTCTTGGTCTTGTTGAGCTTGAGATTCTTCAACGTAGTGGTACTCCTAACGAGAAGAAACAAGCCGGTGATTATTTGATTCCTTCTTCTTCTTTCTCAATCAAATTCTTTGTTATTGAATTTGATTTTGTGATTGTGATTATGTTTGAATGATTTTTTTCAGCTGCGATTTTTCCGGTTGTTCAGAAACAGCATCAGCTTTTAGTGACACTGCTTCTGTGTAATGCTATGGCTATGGAGGTAAATCTCATATTCAAGTCTCTTGGTTATATAGTTAATATGAGGAAGATCTATACTTAGTTGATTTATGGAATTTTTGGCAGGGTCTTCCTATATATTTGGATAAGTTATTCAATGAATACGTTGCGATTATTCTTTCGGTTACATTCGTTCTTGCTTTCGGTGAGGTATGTGTTTTTTGGACTTGGACGTGTCTCTAGTTTTGATAATCTAAGTTTATTGTTATCTATCAAAGATTGGACTGACTTTAACATTTGTTTTCGCGTTTTAAGGTTATTCCTCAAGCGATATGCACTAGGTATGGACTCGCGGTTGGAGCGAATTTTGTCTGGCTTGTCCGCATTTTAATGACTCTCTGCTACCCTATTGCCTTTCCCATTGGCAAGGTAAATCTGGAGTGTTTGGTCAAGAATGTTGTTTATCCCTGAGGTTGAACATATTCTTGTTGTATACAATGAGTTCTATATTTTAGGTTTCTCTTCTGACTTTCTCGGTTAACATTTTTTTTTATGCTTTTGGTTAGATCTTAGATTTGGTGCTGGGACACAATGACGCTTTATTTAGGCGGGCTCAGTTGAAAGCTCTTGTATCCATTCACAGCCAAGAGGTATTAGAGACTTTGAAATTGCTGACTACTTTGTTTACTTCCTCATAACTTTTGGGATTTTGAGTTACTAATTTGGCTACCTTTTTGCAATGACTATTGTTTTAGGCTGGTAAGGGAGGTGAGCTTACACATGATGAGACGACCATTATTAGTGGAGCTCTTGATTTGACTGAGAAGGTATGTGCTTGATTTAATAGAATTCCTGAATCATGGGTAAAAAATATGGTGAAAGTTATTTATGCAGAAGTGGTATTTGGTTTGACAGACTGCACAAGAAGCCATGACACCAATTGAATCTACCTTCTCCTTGGATGTAAATTCAAAATTGGATTGGTGAGTTTCGGTTCTCAGCTGTCTTACTTGTATGTAAGATTTTACCTGTTGTCTCAATGTTCCTGTATTAATGACTCTGAAAAGTCTTGCATGGTAGTCGTTCCTGCAACTATGTGTCTTATTCTGCTTTCTGTGTAATTTATCTCTTAGGGAAGCTATGGGTAAGATTTTAGCACGAGGCCATAGCCGCGTTCCTGTCTACTCCGGGAATCCAAAAAACGTTATCGGACTTCTCTTGGTAATGTCATTGACTCTTATTTTGCATGTTTCAATGCTTGTTTATCTCATGCATTGGGGCCATTGGCAATCTCTAATCAAGAAATTCTTCTTTCTTCTAGGTGAAGAGTCTACTTACTGTTCGCCCTGAAACAGAGACCCTTGTCAGCGCAGTTTGTATACGCCGAATTCCAAGGTTTTGCCATTTACAATTTTGACCTTTAGTCTTGTCCAGTTTGTTTTCGTGAGCACTAAGTAGAATGAAAGTTCATATTGTGATGTTGTAATGCTTCAATAGGGTTCCAGCTGATATGCCTCTGTATGATATACTGAATGAGTTTCAAAAGGGAAGTAGTCACATGGCTGCAGTTGTGAAGGTTAAGGGGAAAAGCAAAGTTCCTCCTTCAACTTTGCCTGAAGAAAACACTTGCGAAAACAATGACTCCGACTTGACTGCACCTCTGTTAATAAAACGAGAGGGAAACCACGACAATGTCATTGTCACAATCGACAAGGCTAATGGGCAATCGTTCTTTCAAAACAACGAGAGTGGACAACACGGGTTCTCACATACTTCAGAGGCTATCGAGGATGGCGAGGTAATCGGTATCATCACTTTAGAAGATGTGTTTGAAGAACTTCTGCAGGAAGAGATTGTGGATGAAACAGATGAATATGTTGACGTACATAAAAGGTTCGGCTAATACTCTCTTTATAGCATCATATATATCATATCATCACTGAGAATTCTCGCGTTTGCAGGATTCGAGTAGCAGCAGCAGCGGCTGCCTCATCAATAGCGAGAGCTCCTTCAAGCCGGAAATTGCTTGCACAAAAGGGAACTGTGAGTTAAAACTCTTTTGTTCTTTGTTGCTATGCAGGAGAGAAAGTTTAAAAGTTGTTTTAACTTGTAATTGCAGGGAGGACAAAATAAGCAAGGGCAGACGAATAAAGGTCCTGGTCAGGAACAAGATAAAATGCTTGGAACTATTACTGAGCCGGTCCGAAGAAACAATTGATATTGTGTTGTTGCTTAAGGAGCCAAAAACTCTGTTGCGGTATAAAGAAAGAAAACAAAGAATAAACTAAAAGATCCTGGTTCTTCTGTATACTTGATCCATCACATATTATATATATAAAAAAGTCCGCAGAAGAAATGGTTCGTCCCATTTTTGAAGATATGTTTTGTTTTCTATGGATATATGTATGTATTCTACAAAATACATACAATTTGTAATTTACTCCGTAACTTGATTCTTTTTTTTTTTGTTGTTCACTCAATTTATTCGTAGAATGCAGTAGCAATAATTATATATTTGATCACATACCATTGTGGCCACTGGCCGCTATTTTGTAATTGCACTAGTTTTGAAACAATAGATCAAATATTCTCCATCCATGGCTAATTTTTGATTCACCGGTGGCTTTTGACAAAGTCTTTTAGAGAAGGAAAAATCCATCGACAGCTTTGTCAAATTTCGTGTCTCATGTTTATGTTTTACAAGCGAGAGAAAAAATCACTCATCTCCAACGTCACGCCATGTATATCAGAACAGGCCGGTTCCGGGCCATGAGGAACTAGGGCCCAAGGTCCAAACCCCTCCAATGTTAACCAAAACAAATCTCGTAGATGACGGCACAATCACACATTTGCAATATACAATTCCAATAAAAAAAAAAAAAAAATTATAATATGTGATACATAAACGTCGCGGATATTCGCTAAAGCGTGTTTGTCAGATTGTGTAAAGATCCATTCCCTACAAGATCCTGCAACCAGAACCATAAAGAAAAAAAGTAAAGAGGTGGATTTAAAAATATAAGAAATATTGGGGACTAATGCTAAAAAAACAAAAACAAATTTTTGCTGTTTATGCTAAGAATTCAAAATTGTACAGAGAAAGCCGACCCCATTAGGTCGACGATGAGAGAGATATAAAAAAAAACAAATTCTTGAGAGGAGAAAATATCTAAAAAGGCGTCGGAAGTTGACAACAGATAGAGTCATAGAGACGACGACGACGAAGATGCATCCGATTAATGCGGTGGTTGCGGCGAGGATGTTGGCCGGAATTAGTCAATCTAACGCCTTAGAAAGCGAAGCAATCCCCTTCGGATCGCTTGAGTGGATCACTTACGCCGGAATCTCTTGTTTCCTTGTTCTCTTCGCCGGAATTATGTCAGGTCTCACTTTAGGGCTTATGTCTCTTGGTCTCGTTGAGCTCGAGATTCTTCAACGTAGTGGTACTCCAAAAGAGAAGAAGCAATCTGGTGATTGATCCTTCTCTTTCGTGTTAGGAATTGTTTGATTGAATCTGTATCTGATCCTGAATTTTGCTGTGATGGTGAATTTTGCTTGCGATTGATTTTTTTTTTTTTTCCAGCTGCGATTTTTCCGGTTGTTCAGAAACAGCATCAGCTTTTAGTGACTCTGCTTCTGTTTAATGCTCTTGCTATGGAGGTAATTATCTTGAATTCAATTCCAAAACTTTCTATGTTCGTTGTGATGATGAAACCATGATCTTAAGAGGCTTCACTTGTTGAAAATTTGCAGGGACTTCCTATATACTTGGATAAGATATTCAATGAGTATGTTGCTATTATTCTATCGGTCACTTTCGTGCTATTTGTTGGAGAGGTTTGCTTTTTGCTCTTCTATCTCTAAAGTCTTGCTAGATTTTAATAAGGCTTCCTGAGTATTGGACACTGTTTTTTTCAGGTTATTCCTCAAGCTATATGTTCTAGGTATGGACTAGCAGTGGGAGCTAATTTGGTTTGGCTTGTCCGTATATTAATGGTTCTATCGTACCCGATATCTTTTCCTATTGCAAAGATGCTGGATTGGGCATTGGGACACAATGACCCTTTATTTAGGCGGGCTCAGTTAAAAGCTCTTGTGTCAATTCACGGTGAAGCTGCTGGAAAGGGAGGTGAACTTACACATGATGAGACAACAATCATAAGTGGAGCACTTGATTTGACTGAGAAGACTGCGCAAGAAGCAATGACACCAATCGAATCAACGTTTTCCTTGGATGTAAATTCAAAGTTGGATAGGTGAGTTTGGATCTCAACTGTTATAGTATGATGAAACATATTCTTGTTAATCTTAATGTTCATCTATTATTGCACTGTTCATGTAGGTTAATAATCTATATGGTTATTTGTATTTTGATTCTGAAACTGGAGCATGGCACTCAGTTCTGTAACTATCTCTATATAACATGTCTGACTATGTATCCTTTACTGTTTTGCTTGTGATTAATCTCCTAGGGAAGCTATGGATAAGATTCAAGCACGAGGTCACAGCCGCGTTCCTGTCTACTCTGAGAATCCAAAGAATGTTATTGGACTTCTCTTGGTAGGTGTTGTTGACCCTTTTCTGATTGTATGATTTGCATGTTTCAATGGTAGCTTATGCAAACTCTAATCAGGAAATTCTTCTGTTTTCTAGGTGAAGAGTCTACTTACAGTTCGCCCTGAAACAGGGACCCTTGTCAGTGCAGTTGGTATACGCCGAATTCCAAGGTTTTGCCGTTATTATTTTGCTTGCAATTCTTTCCATATTCCTTCCTTTAGCATCTCTGAGAACAACGGAATTCCTGTTGTGATAAATGATTAAACAGGGTTCCAGCTGATATGCCTCTGTATGATATACTAAATGAGTTTCAAAAAGGGAGCAGTCACATGGCTGCAGTTGTGAAGGTTAACGGGAAAAGCAAAGGTCATCCTTTAACTTTGCTTGAAGAAAATAGCAGTGAAAGCAATGTCTCAAGTAATAACTCCGAGTTGACTGCACCTCTGTTACTAAAGCGAGAAGGAAACCACGACAGTGTCATTGTCCGCATCGACAAGGCTAATGGACAATCGTTCACCAGCGAGGCCGGCAGACACGGATTCTCGCATACTTCAGAGGAGATTGAAGATGGAGACGTAATTGGTATCATCACATTGGAAGATGTGTTTGAAGAACTTTTGCAGGAGGAGATTGTGGATGAAACAGATGAGTATATAGACGTGCATAAAAGGATTCGTGTGGCAACTGTAGCAGCAGTGGCCATTTCATCATTAGCGAGAGCACCTTCAGGCCGGAGGTTACTTGGCCAAAAGGGATCTGTAACTGTAAGTAACACACTCTCTTGCAAAACAAATGGTTTAATAGAAAGATCCGTAGAGATAAGAACCGGTTTTTGTTTTTTGCAGGGAGGACCAAAAACGCCAAAGACAACTTCGACTCCCAAACCGGACGATAAACTGATCGGAACCATGACAGGTCCTCCTCAAGGGAACAACTGATGATTTCAGGTGGGTGTTGAGTTTTTGCTTGAGATGTGAGAAATAAATAAGGTTTTGAAACTTAGATCAATTTAGAGCAACTTCTCTTTCACTACTTAACTACATATGTATAATACATACATGTAGATATAATCTACAATTCTTTCAAACATTTTAAAATCCGAATTTATTATTTTGTATATTCTTATTAGATCCTTCACACTCCCATACAATAATATTTGTTCATGTGCAATATTTCGAGGGAAAAGATTGTACCAGAACTAGCAGACGTAGTAGGAACCCACTAAGCACTTTGTTGTCCTTTAAAGCTTTGGTAAATTAATAAAAAAATCAGTTCTAAAGGCTTTTGGGGGCCAGGGCCATTAAAGGCGGCTTCAGCACATGATGAAGATAGAGTATTGGTCACCGGCGGTTAAGAGAGTGTTATGTAAGAATCCATAGAACAAAGTGAAAAAGTGAATGTTACTGTTTCAAGATTCTCTTGTATCTTGCAAGAACATTGAGATGGCTTGAAGTGAATATAAATTACTTAGACACCAATCATCAGATTCTTTGTTGGGAACTTGTTAAACCAATTATCATCGATGACTTGTAGAAAACAAGAAAAAAATAGTTTATCCCTTAAATCCATTAAACCCACATTAACAATCCACTGGCTGCTAAAACTCTCCACTTAACCTAATAAGCACCACTAAATCCATAGAGGTTGTGTGACAAGTTTAAATAGGGGATTGAACTAATCATCCCACACCAAACTAAACAAGAAAACAAAGATGGATATAATTAGTGTGAAAAAGATCGAGAAAGCGAGGATGATGAAGAAGAAGATACCGAATTTGACGATAAATAGGTTGCTTGTAAGCGTCAAAGTCGTAGGGAGTACTGGACCCATTCGTTTTGTTGTCAATGAAGATGAAACAGTCACAAATGTTATAGATATTACTCTGAGATGCTATGCTCGCCAAGGAAGACTTCCTATTTTCTCTTCTCATTCCACCTCTTCTTTCTGTCTTTACTCTCCATACTCTCCAAATCAACGTGAGACACACAATCAATTGTTTGGTTTTTCTTTGAGTCTGTCATTTGCATTTAGATAGTACAAATGGTGATTACAATATTTTAACATATAAAGATAAACGTTTTCATCTAAAAAAAGAAAAACATAGTATTGTGGCGTTGGCTCGGTCTTTGCAAAAGAAGTTGAACCTAGCCTAGGTCCTAAACTTCCCAGTTAATTAACAAAAAATTTTATTTAACGAGGCATTATACATTAACGTCATCACTTTATATGTATTGCAGCACTGAATCCATGTACCAGAATCGGGTCAACGGGGTTCATGAACTTCATTATGTGTAAGAATCCAGAAGCTGAGAACCTTGAAGTTTCTCTGGACACAACCGGGAAGATTAGTGGAAAGTGGAGGGTGTGGATGAACAACTCTTTGGCCTTAATGCTCCCATTACTCAAACAAATTTCCCTTGGACAATCAACAACGTCGACTAAATCTTGTTTGTTTTATAGTTGATCGCTCAATGACAAGTTTTAACGACAATTTCGAACGAGTAATCACTAGAAAAATAAATATTTCAGTTTCAAACTAACGATTAGTCATTCTCAGTAATCGGACGCAATGTAATTAAGTTTTAAGAAGTAAGAACTAAGTTATTTTTTTTAATTACCAATGGCAGAGAAAAAAACAGTTAATAAAAAAAAACACAAAAGCATAGAGGTTGACTAAAGTCTGAAGAGTTTATCACCCTTGACGATAGGGTTTTGTTTTGCTAAGACGTCAATGGCTGCAGATTTATAATCCGAGGGACAAGAATGCTCTTCAGGGTAACGGTGAGACCCGCAAAACATGTGGCCACATCTACAGTGAAACCCTAGCAACCCCACCTTCTTCTTGCACGCATTGCATCTACTAATAATCTTCTTATCCTTCTTCTTCACCACAACCGCCTCCACCACTGTTGCCTCCTCGGCTGTGACCTCTTCAGCGGCCTTCGCCGCTGTTTTCGAGTTGATATTGAAAGTGGCCACGTATCTGGATGACTCTTCCTTTAAGAAATCGTTGTAGCACTTAGAACAGAGGTTCTTGGTTTGTGACGTGCTGAAGAAGCCACACCCTCTAATGCATAAAGATGGTTCTCCTGTCATTATCTCTTATTCTTTGTGATTGCAACTTTATACGTCTCTCTGTCTGCCTTCTTGGTTTGGCTCTCCACAATCCGTTTTGTGTAATTTGACTTGGCCTTCTTATTTGTTTTCGCTCTTCACAATCTAATCTTATGTATGAAAACTTTGTATGACTTAGGGTTTTTATATAGATGTCAAAAGCCTTTCTATGCTAGTATTTAGGTGTTTTATGCCCTAATCAAATTAGGTTTTTATCTTCAAATTTTGTGGACTTATCTATATATAGAATCATAATGCAATCATGATTACATTAGAGCGAACTAATCCAATTCTTAATGAAAAAACATATAACATTATCCTTTGAAATTAATAAATATCATAGTTTTTGACTCCGAGTAATAAAAAGATTACTCAGTTGCTTATCTTGGCCTCTAAAAGTACCCATCGCAAAAGTAACGGAGAAAAGAGAGAGAGAGAGAGACAAGACCGTGAGCTCTGAACAATGCAGGATGCGAAGACCAACGGGTAAGTTGATTCAATGGAAACGTACATCGCTTGCATTAAAGGCCTCTCTCCATTTATCTGATTGCCTCAGCAAGTTTCTCCTCCCTGAGATGAATTCAATGATTCTCATTAGCAAAACCCATCAATAGCCTTTATGTTTTAAAGAAACAAATGTTAGAAGACGAGAAACCGGGAGAGGTGGAGAAGTCTGAAACCTGCAGCTTTTGGGGTTCGGTTTTGTCTCCATTGTTGCTAGACTTAGAATTGGCTTCTACTCGCTTCCCTTTGAATGAGAAATTGAATCCAGAAGCAGTAGCAGTGGAGGTTGATACATGACCAGACCCTCCAAAACGTTTTGAAGAAAAATCCAAGCGTTCGATCATTCGTGCAACACCAGCTATTCCTGCATTCATCTCACGTTGCATTCCTTTGCTCAATTCTTTCACCGAGTTATTACGAGCAAGTAGCTTCTCTTTAAGACCTTGTTTACTTTTAGAGATTGATTCCTTGTACCTGGAGGCATGCATATCCCAGTCAGTTTTTATTACCAACTTCTGAACAAATGAAGAGGGATTGAGATTGACATACTTTGCGGAAGCAGCAGCTAGTTTGGATTTAATGGCTTCTGGAAGCGAGGAAGCTTCAGGTCGATTTGGACTTTGAGATGAACGAGATGGAGAAAGGCCAGGGGATATTCTGATGACGGTACAAGAAAAGATGTAGATATATTAAATATGGTTTAGGTGAGTTCTACCCAATATAAAGGCTTGAGCATTTTCCAAGAAGACGCTGCATAATGAAGAGACATAGTCTAGAATTCCAAAGCCCCATCTAAATTATTTATCAGTAGACAAAAATCCCAGTAACTAAGCGAAACAGGAGCTATAAGAGCATCTGAATTGTGCAGCCTTGTCCCATATACACATTTTATCGAGACAACTCAAGCAAATGGAAACCATACAAACCATGAAAGCTGGTTCTAGAGACAACCCAAGCAAAATATAAACCGAATAAATCATGAAAGCTCATTATCGATAAACCAGAATGGATTCAATACCTGGATGCGTTGTTGCTATCTGCAGGAACGGAAGAGTGACCAGAGACAGGAGATGCAGTCATTGAGCCAGGACTTGGACAAGGGTTTCCGTTTTGATGTTCAACATGGGAAATAGCAGAGATACGATAAAGATTGACCAAATCAGTAGGATGAATCATACTGGGATCACTAGACGAAACAAGACTTGAGGATATTTGACCATCCCTTCTGCGAAGCAAACAACGTCTATGTGCAGCTTCAGTGAGATGCCTCAAGAATTGTTCATCAAAGCTGCTGAACTGCGATTCCTCCTGGAAACATCATCAAGTCAACTACAAGAACTAAAAATCCTTATTTTAATAAATCACACTGGATAAATTTCGAACCTCCTCAGAGTGAAAATCCTCTTGAGAGTGATGAATAGTTATTGGAGAGGATGAAGAAATGTTCCTGGTTTTCAACAGTCTTTCCTTTTCCACAGCAGACAAAAGTTCTTGGCTACAAACAAAGGAACCAATACTATTAAGACCCTAACTGTGAGCAAAGTATCTTTGTATCATCATGAGAACAAAATATTTCTATTCTCCTAAAGATGAATGAGTGAGTACCTAGCAGGATCTTTCAAAACAAACAATTGCCAGCAAATAGGACACTCTTTGCTTCTCTGTGACCTGTGTAAATAAACCCCAATTACAAATCAATCACTGATAAATATATGAACAGAAGAACAAGATTCTATACTAAAACAAAGATAAATATGATCACATATCGTTTATAAGTACCATTCAATGATGCACTGAAGGTGATATTCATGTTTGCAACTGGTGACCTGAAAAACCATAGGAAGATTTAGATATTGGAACATCGGAGAAGTAAACAACAATCGAACATGTTCAACGATGGTTGAAGAAGAAATGATCGAGTGATCATCAAACGATATCGTATTAATCTAAGGCAAAAAATCGCAAGGAACAATCAGATTATCCTCATGAAGAACGAGATCGTTAAACCTCATGAAGAGCTTATAGAGAAATTGTAGAAAAACAAAAAAAAAGAGAGAGAGGATTATAAGAATCTTACAGTGGAAGGATCCTGGAGAGTGAAAGGCTCGAGACAGATGCTACAAGCGTCATCGGAATCATCATCGGAAGGTACGACGAAGGCAGAGGTTGAAGAAGAAGAACCAATGGCGGAATTAAAAGGGGAGTCGGATAAGTTGAAAGCAGAGGTGTAAGTGAAATTAGACATTGTTGTTGAAGCAAAGAGGGAAGATGAAGCTGAGGATTGAGAGAATTTGAGATTTAAGAGGTTGAAGAAGAAGAAGAAGAGGTGTGAGATTGATTGATCAAAAAAAAAAAAAAAAGGGAAGAGAAGACTGACAAGTCAAAGCAAAGGAAAAGTCAAAAAAGAGATTACAAGGAGGATGAGAGTAAAGTTCGATTCGACTGTTCCTCACTTTTACCTTTTCTTTCTCTTTTTTTTTTTTTATTAATTTAATTTAATTTAAAATTTGTTACAACATAATTATTATTGGGCTTTCTATAGTCCACTAGTTTTAGATTCTAAACATACTTCGCCATCAGATAATGGACCCAACTCCTGGGCTAAGTTATTTATTGGACTTTGTTCCTCTCTGTCTCGGTATCTCTTTATGCTTGGAGACTCTCTTCTTTCATGGAAGCAGGAAGTAGTGGCAAGTTCATCCGTAAAAGCAGAATATCGCTCCATGGCATTGGCATATCAAGAGCTCAAATGGTCAAATGAGCTTTTCGCCGTTCTCGGCATTAGACAAGCACGACTAATTCTTTTCTATTCCGACAAGCCGCATTACGTACTGTTCGAAATCATGTGTTCCATGAACGAACAAAGCATGTGGAGGCTGCTTATCATTTTGTTGGAGATGCGGTTCAAGTAGGGATGTCAAATGGGCTTCTTGACCATGAGCTAGACCAGTCCAAATTATAATGGTCCGGATTTGGTCACGCCCAAATTCGAAGCGGTCAATATGGGCTAGAAACCCATTTGGTCCGTAAACAAATGGGCCGAACCCATCTGGACATGGGCCGTCCAATAAGCTTTAAAAAATAGGGTTACTAATTTGAAGAATTTTTTTTTTCTTTATTTCTTTTAAAATTTTGATTTATACCGACATTTTCACTCCAAAAAAATATTTTTACAGTTTTGGCGGAAAAATGTGATTTTACGATTTGGCGGAAAAATGCAATTCTTCGATTTAAGAGAAAACGTGTTTTTGCGGTTTTGGTGGGAAATAGAAAATCATATTATTTGGGTCCCATGGACTGTCCAGTTGGTCATGGTCTTATTTGAGTTTGGTCTTATTTGGCCACGGTCCTATTTAGGCTTATACTATCATGGTCTTATTTTCATTTGGACCTACACAGCCCAATTGACAACCCTAGGTTCAAGCTGGGATTATTGAGCCTAATGACGTGAAGACTACTGATCAATAGTTGCATTTTGACAAAAACACTTGGATGACAACTCAATTACGACATCCTTTTTGCCAAGATGGGAATTCAAATATTGCTCATAACTCTTGTAAATTAAGGGAAAGAATTGGGAATATTTTAGATAAAGTTATAATATATATGATAACTCTTGTAAGATTAGGATTTGTTCATACTTACATTTGGTTCTATCTTCTAAATTACAAGAGGCTGAAATGTATTTAAACATAGATGTATTAACCTTTGAATAAAATAACATAGAATTGATATCAATTTGACATGAACTCCACTAATTTCGATATAAATTTTGTCTACCAAACGCTAATTATATGCTTCTCTTTGATATTATGGACTTTCACTTGTTTTATGTGTGTTTTTATTTTATTTTTTATCGTACAAGTATGATGGGCAAAAAAAATATTAGCTGATGGGTCAATTTCTTTTTCCCTAAACGGCTAAACCATATGTACATGAGATGCATTGTCTCTACTCGATTAACCAATAAAGGAATAGAATCATATGGTCATTAACTCTTAAATCATTTTTTTTTTAAATTGATGTGGTAATTAATCTATCTACATACAATTTCGTAATGGTCTGAAACCAACCAAAGACCATATGATGGGCACTCAAAGCCTCCATTTTGTTATCGGCTACTTCCACTAGCTTCCTTCTTCTTCTTCTTCTTCTTCTTCTTCTTCTTCGCTGCGATTGCTCACTAGGTAAGATAAGATACTGGAGAATTACTATTGCCCTTTAAATCAAGTCTGCTTTTTTCTTCTTCTTCTTGTCAATTATGTGTTAAAGATACAAACTTTTTTCTGAATTGCTTCCACCGGTTTCACCTAAGATACAATTCTCTTCCTTTTGTGTCTTTTTGTTCTTTTATAGCTTCAGAGTTCAGATTCATTGAAGCAGTTGTGAGTTAAGGTGGAGAAATGGTTGTGTTTGGGAATGTTTCTGCGGCGAATTTGCCTTATCAAAATGGGTTTTTGGAGGCACTTTCATCTGGTGGTTGTGAATTAATGGGACATAGCTTTAGGGTTCCGACTTTTCAAACACTTAAGACAAGAACAAGGAGGAGGAGTGCTGGTGGTCCTTTGCAGGTGTCTCTCTGGTTTTTTACTTGGAATTGTATAAATTTCATCTACTGTGTAAGTGTTGTTTTTATTAAAGAGAGGGAATTACAGGTGGTTTGTGTGGATATTCCAAGGCCAGAGCTAGAGAATACTGTCAATTTCTTGGAAGCTGCTAGTTTATCTGCATCTTTCCGTAGTGCTCCTCGTCCTGCAAAGCCTTTAAAAGTTGTAATTGCTGGTGCTGGTATGACATGATTTCTTTTTACTCAATTTGAGATTTGATGAAAGTTTGTACATTTTTCATGTGATAAGCTTTTTTGCCTCTCAAATAATTGCAGGGTTGGCTGGATTGTCAACTGCAAAGTACTTGGCTGATGCAGGCCATAAACCTTTGTTGCTTGAAGCAAGAGATGTTCTTGGTGGAAAGGTACTTCGATTAATTGAACAATTCATATTTGTTTACATTCATTATTCTTGTAAGACTTGCTAGTTTTTGAAGATCGTACCAATTGAGTTTGTGAGACTACAAGATATAACTAATGTTTAGAGTGTTACATCTCTTAGGTTCAAAGTTGTGTATGTTCTTATGTTTCTGTCTTGTTCTACACACAGCACAATCCCTTCCAATCTCTAGGCTTTATGTGAAACAATATAGAGTAGGTTACTGGAAGATATCTTTTGAATATATATTGTGTTAAACTGTTGTTGTGTTCTCTGGCTCTTGGGTTAGGTTCTTGTTTGTTCCGTTTTAGCAATTTACCTATCTTATTGGAGAGCGATATTAATGATGTGAAATTTGTCTTCCTCCAGATAGCTGCATGGAAGGATGAAGATGGGGACTGGTATGAAACTGGTTTACATATATTCTGTAAGTCCCAATTCATACCTTCTCTGTTGCTCCCCCAATATAGTTGTTATGAGTTGCTTGTAAGATGGTTGATATTTGAATTTACTTCGGATTTACCAATTTATGCCTCAGGCGTTGATAATCAATAGCTGAATACGATATCTTTTATCATTATAGATATATCTGTTTGCAAAATGATGTGACACACACAGACACTAAGCTAATGTCATTGAGAGAATAGGCATATTTAGAGTTCAATGTTGAAGGTTTTTTCTTATTATCTTGCACATTTTTTGGAATGTCCTCACTGAGATCACCAAGAAATATCCCTGTCATTTTTTATTAGCTCTACCATCAATTTGATGAAAGAAAATTGCAAAACAATGGTTAACTAATATTGTATCTTGTTTTCCCTGTTATTACTTTTCCGTTACTGAAGTCGTTGACTTTTTGTCTTGACTCTCTTCATATTCTTGCTGGAAGTCGGTGCTTATCCAAATGTGCAGAACTTATTTGGAGAACTTGGGATCAATGATCGGTTGCAGTGGAAGGAACATTCCATGATTTTCGCTATGCCAAGTAAACCTGGAGAGTTTAGTAGATTTGACTTCCCAGATGTCCTACCAGCACCCTTAAACGGTGAGAGGACAAACTTATAGCATATTCTTATTTCCTAAGCAGCTGATATAATATTACTGCTTCAAGTAATTTAAACCTTTAAATAAAACATATCTGATGAAAAGTGTGGTTGAATTTTTAGTTAATGGCACCATGGATTTGGTTTGATAAAATTGGATTAATGTGGACCATGAAACTTGTTGGATAATGTTGAATGTAAAAAAAATTATGATGTAAGAGTAAAATAGTGGGGTTAGTAACTATGTTGCATATATTTATTTTTATTGATCTATTCAAGCTAATTATAGATTTTGAGATCTAATAATAATCAAAGAACTCATGAATGTCTGAGGATATGGAGTATCTCCATCTAATTTAGATGTCAGAAATAACATGGTCATTTTTCTTTCCAAAGTAAGAAATTCTAGTTTTTGAGCTTCCACATACTTAGGATGGGGAATCAAACTGTAAAATACTTCTAAAGGTCAAGGCAAGACGATATAACTGAACTCAGTTGTAGCATTAGCGCTGAAATGTTCCGTATTTGAATTAATGTGTTTCTGGCAGATAATTAAAGTTGTTGCTGTTGGATTTACTTTGTAGGTATTTGGGCTATTTTGCGGAACAACGAGATGCTGACATGGCCAGAGAAAATAAAGTTTGCTATTGGACTTTTGCCAGCCATGGTCGGCGGCCAGGCTTATGTTGAGGCCCAAGATGGTTTATCAGTCAAAGAATGGATGGAAAAGCAGGCAAGTAGGCTATTAAGTTCACAGTTTCTGTGAGATTCTCGTAAGCATGTTGATGAGCTTAACTTTTGGTAGAGTAATTAGCATGCTGAATCATTTATTGTTGATTTGTCAGCTTTCTTATGGTTAGCTCTGACTTTTCCAGTCCATGTGCTTTTGCTCATCAGATAATACATTCTGATGAATTGTATACTTGTCCAGGGAGTACCTGAGCGTGTGACCGACGAGGTGTTTATTGCCATGTCAAAGGCGCTAAACTTTATCAACCCTGATGAACTGTCAATGCAATGCATTTTGATAGCTTTGAACCGGTTTCTTCAGGTTTGACATTCCAGCCATTTATTTCTCTTCGTTCTTCCTTTCGCCTGTCTTTTTGTGAATCTTTATTGCACGGGCAATCATAGTTACCATTCACATCTTATTTCTTGAGTTTATCAGTTGATTAACTTCTAGTACCTCATCCCAATCATCAGATGTTTCTCATTTTTAACTTAAGGTGTCTCATAAGCTGCAACAGTTGGTTAGGGTATTGAGAATATGCAAATGCAAACTAATAGAAGCTACATTGACAGGAAAAACATGGTTCCAAGATGGCATTCTTGGATGGTAATCCTCCGGAAAGACTTTGTATGCCAATAGTGGATCATATTCGGTCACTAGGTGGGGAAGTGCAACTTAATTCTAGGATAAAGAAAATTGAGCTCAATAACGATGGTACGGTTAAGAGTTTCTTACTCACTAATGGAAGCACTGTCGAAGGAGACGCTTATGTGTTTGCCGCTCCAGGTTTACTACCATACTGTCTTGTGGGTTTACATTTCATCTGGTATCCTGCTTATTGATATGTTCTTTATGTTTTTTCTTGTAGTCGATATCCTGAAGCTCCTTTTACCAGATCCCTGGAAAGAAATACCGTACTTCAAGAAATTGGATAAATTAGTTGGAGTGCCAGTTATTAATGTTCATATATGGTTAGTGAGACCGTTATCTCTTATGTTTTCTTTTGGCTATTATGTGAGAACTGAGATTACGTGTGGGTCTTAACTGCTGTGAACTAATATTGCAGGTTTGATCGAAAACTGAAGAACACGTATGATCACCTACTCTTTAGCAGGTGAATTTCTTATTTAAGCAGTTTTGAGGAATTATGATGTCTTATAGAATACTTAGTTGGACACAGTGTTGGAAAAAGGAAATTTCCATTAATACTTGACTTTCCATCAAGAATAAAAGTGTATAGTCTTGAATCAGCAACAGTTAAGGCTTGTTCTTGGATCTTGGTTAAACAATTGTTGTATATTCAACAATCTTGTTTTGTTGTTTTTGCAGAAGTAACCTTCTGAGCGTGTATGCCGACATGTCCTTAACTTGTAAGGTAAGAACGTGGTGTTGTTTTTCTAAACGTGTTCCTTTATCTATCATAAGATATCATAACTTGGTGCACTGTGGAGCTTCTCATGTCTATCACTCACATTTATCTTCTCATAAATTTTGATGGCTTATCTTGATTCCGAATCTGATTCAACAAAGCGTTTTCTTTCTTTATTAACTGTAGGAATATTATGATCCTAACCGGTCGATGCTGGAGCTAGTATTTGCACCAGCAGAGGAGTGGATATCACGGACTGACTCTGACATCATAGATGCAACAATGAAAGAACTTGAGAAACTCTTCCCTGATGAAATCTCAGCTGACCAAAGCAAAGCTAAAATTCTGAAGTACCATGTCGTCAAAACTCCAAGGTTAGTGAAGTTGTCCCATTTATTTAGCTTCACATGAGACCGGGCATTAGATAGATAAATACAACATCTTTCTCTTTGGTTGCATGATCAGGTCTGTGTATAAGACCATCCCAAACTGTGAACCATGTCGTCCTCTACAGAGATCACCTATTCAAGGATTCTACTTAGCTGGAGATTACACAAAACAGAAGTACTTAGCTTCCATGGAAGGCGCGGTTCTCTCTGGCAAATTCTGCTCACAGTCTATTGTGCAGGTAAACACAAACTTGGCATTCAAATGATCCGGTTCTTTTGTTTCTTGTTGGAATATTTCGCCAATAACCGGTCGGTTTACCCAGTTTTTTTGTCCCACTAAGTAAACTGTTCCGGTTATATAGAGAGATTGCTAAATGCTAAGTCAGAATTTTTCAATTTCTGTTTACTGGTTCTACAGGATTACGAGCTACTGGCTGCATCTGGATCGAGAAAGTTATCGGAGGCAACAGTATCATCATCATCATCGTGAGAGAGGACAAAGCTTAAAGATGATTTGCTTGTAAGCATTATTATTTGTGTATAAATCTCACTGCAATCCAAAATTGACCCTACTCTCTTCAGTAAATGAATCTCACAGATTCGACGTCTCTCTTTTTCTCTCCTTTTATATGATTTAAAAGAGTAATTACTGTCGACCTTTTGTAATCATAGTGATTTATCATTATGTCTCTCTCTTTTGTAACCTTTTTGGTACAAATTACAAAAGGTTGATCATTGATTGATCTAGGGGTAAAAATAATATTCATGAACTATAAAAAAAAAAGAAAAGAAAAATAAGGCACTATTTTTTCCAACCATAAAAAGTCCATTCTAGGCCGGTAAGGTCTAAGGTCTCTTGCAAGTCACGTGAGCGGCGACCTGAAAATAGCTTTTGGCTTGAGTAGTGGAGACAACAGGTGGTGTTATTAATAGATTGCTCATGCTTCCCAGTTGGCAGTATTTAATATTCCATCCACCAACTGGGAAGCAGGAGCAATCTCAAGCATGTCATCAATAGTTGCCACTTCTCTGATGTACCTTCTCACGACACGACCAGGCCTGAAAAAGAAAAAACAATGCATAAGTTCAAAAACTCAATTAAAAAACATTACAAAGAAGAAAAAGAAAAAAAAACCTAATGTCATACCCTCAAGGGTAACCAGCGACAGTTATGTACTCATTGGTGTCATCACTGAAGCACAGAATCGCATTGGTTGAGTTAGTGGTATGAGAAATATGCTCAAGCTTGTTTCGTAGACTCCCTGTCCTCTTTAGGAAAGCTTTTTGCCGAGCATTCTCAGTCATCTGAAGAATGAAGAAACACAAAGTAAAAGTTTCAGGAAATCAAAAATATGTCAGAAGAAAACCACACGAAAATCACACTAGAAATCACAAAGTTGTTCAAAGACTCGTTTTTCTAGCCGCTTACCGTTCTTTACGGCTTACTTTCCTTTGTAGTTTTCTTACAACAACACAAATCCTTGTATATACTTGTACTTAACTTGTACTTAACCTAGTTTTGTTTGTAACCAAAACCCACACTTAGTTGTGTTTGTAACACTGTTATACATCAAATTACCTTTTGTTTTTTTTTTGTAATATAAAATTGTTTAACAGTTTGATTATACATATATAATCATTTCAAATGATTGAATATACAAAATTTCTTAAAATATTTAAAATCTGTTATGAATAACAATAAAGTAAAAAAAAATTGATTTGTGAATTCTATACACTACATGTTCTAAGAAATTTAGATTACAGTATGTATTCTACAAACTCTACATGTTCTACTGGATTTGTAATCTATTTTTTTTTCTCAAAGAGTAATCATACATATAAAAGTAGAGTTTCACTCTCCCATGATTGGTCCACTTGGCAATTCACTTTTTCAAAAAAAATTAAATAATATTTATGTACTACTAAACCACAAATACAACACATTTATTCATATACATTAATCTACCATTTAATACCAAATTGTAACCATCATACAAATTGTGTATTAAGTGTATTTTTCCCCACTCAATGTCATTCAAACACACTATAAATTCAAATTGTAACTCCTATAATTTAATTACTATTAAAATGTAACTTCCATCACTTTCTATACTATAAATAATCATTCTCACATCTTCTTCCACCATATCTCAAATCCTAAATATTTTCTTTGTTTTTGTGTTGTTGCATGAGTTGAAAATCAATTGAGACATCATTGTAAATGTTTGATTATAAATTTTGTTTTTAGAGACTATATGGTATATATTTTACATTGTTTTCAATTTTATTTTTATTCTAATGTCTTACTTGAATATACTTATTCTTTCTTTAATTTTCATATTTTTAGTTCAAAACTACAAATGTATAATAATTTCTGATTTTAATTCAAAATTACATACTTTGCAGATTTAACAATGAAGTTTTCAATTATCAATTCAACCATTGCACAAGAAGAAAATCAAGTTGAGAAGATCCATCTCTATTTTCTACAATAAATAAATTATTGTAATATCAAATAATATTTTTGTTAAATTTCTTACATACTTCTTTCTTATCTCAAATAATGTTTTGTATTATTTTTAATATATACTCATCAGATTAATTTTTGTGATCCAATAAATAATTATATAAAAATTATTAACTAAAATGTTTATTCTCTTCAAAAATTGTGGTTTAAGTTAATTTCTAAAATAAAAGAATTTATATACAAAATTTTATAATCCAACCTAGCAATTTAAATCATATAAATATTTAAATTGAGTTGAATATAAAAAATATCTAACATAAATATCCTAATGTTGTATAATTAAAATAAATAATAGTGTAACAACATTTTCTGTATATCTAGAAAATACATTATATGACTTTCACTCTCTGGTTTTTAATATTTTCAAATATTTAATATTATGATATAATACTATCTATTATTAACTCACATTTAAATTTATACGTAATTTGCATACAAAATAATTATAAGAACATCAAAACCCCACTAAAATATATTTATTACTTGACTAAATCATTGACCATAATTTTTAATTTGAATGGTTTTCCTACTAATTTTACAAAAAAACTGTAACTCCCTAAATGTATTTATTTTCTAAAAATAACTTTCAACACTCATCATCCTACAAATAATCTTTCTTTCATTTTCCTCCACCAATATCTCAAAAATTTAATATATGCATAATGATCTAACATATATATATATATATATATATATATATATATATATATATATATTATTTATTTATTCAAGGTTTGTGGTTAATAATATCATTATTATTTTTATTTTAATTAAAACTGTTCAATAATCTTAATTAGTAGTAAAATTTTTTATAAAGGTGACATATCTAAAATAAATTTTATCAATATAACTTGAATTGCATGGGATAATGAGAAAGAAAGAAAATAGTTTAAAATTATTCTCCAAATATTATATATATATAGTTTTTACTCAAAAATTATTTAACTTTTTATTATTGTAAATCAATCAAACGAGTTTTACATGAACAAACGAACAAAAAGTTTAAATACCATATAAATATATATGTAATTTTATTCCTATTTATAATTAAATTCAGTCGAATCATTTGATTGTTTACACTACTATTAAAATCTATACAAAAACAACAATAAGTCACGCGTAGCGTGGCTACGTATACCTAGTATATTATTAAACAAACCAAACTTTACATAGGCAATTTAAAGCCCTACAGCAGATTACATATATGTTTTAGGTCTAACAAGTTACAAGCCCATCAGAGAAACCTATCGAAGAATAAACTTTAACTTTATCTTGTCTTCATCAAAATCCACGTGTCATTAACTGGGAAAACCAGAATACGTGTTGGATGAATTACCAAAGTAATCCGACATCAACCTTTGCCGTCCGAGCACCGATTCCGGTAACAGAATCATCGCCGATAAACATATCGAGCATGGATTCTTTTAGTTTTTTACCGGGGTAAACCAATCGAAGCTCCAATTAGAAATAACAGCTCAAGGCATTATAAATATGCGACGGAAACCACTTTCTTTTCTTCAGCTCAAATTGCAAATCTCTGAAACACTTTCTGTAATTGCAAGCTCAAAAGAAAACGCGTCGAATAATACACTTCATTAAGCGATTAATCGCTTAAACCGATACCATCAACACATTCCCGATGAGATTTATTGAAACTTGAAAAGAAATAAAAAACCGGATACACCGGGAAGAGAAGCCAAACAACGACTGAGACAAACCCGAAAGCCGGCCAAAACGGTACTATGTAAGCCACCGCTGCCGGAGATGTGCCGACCAAGACGACACTAAGTAAGCCACCGTTGCCGGAAGAAAGCCAGCCAACCCCGCTGAAGGAGCCGGAGATGCCAGACGCGAGCCCGCTATACGGGAAACTATTCGATTCATGTGTCGCCAAATGAAACTAGACGGCGAGCAAAAGTTTGATGGGAAAGTTTCTCCCTCTCTCAAATTTTTTGGAGAGAGAAAACCTCCTAGGATTCTAAAATCATGATTTTAAAAAAAAACACCTAAAAGATAAAGATAAGTATTAGGTAGCATATCAATCATATATCAAATAAAAAAAGTAAATTAGTCTCTATTCTCTAATTCCAAAAAAATTCCATTCACGGGATACGAATATCCGTACATATACTCAAGATCTGAGAAAGAATCCTATAAACTCTTTTTTGTTTTTTTAATCAATTTTTAATTTGTTGGATTTTGTTTAGTGAGAGATAATGGTAACGATCAGTTTGGTAACAAACAAAAGTCACCAAATGATATGATTAAGGATTTTTGTTTGGTCATGAGGATTACCAATGAGCCAATAATAATCCGTACAAAATACACGAATGTATCTTAATATAATATTGGGCCCCACCCACCAGATCGTCGTTTAGGTTTGGTACTTTGGTTTGGTTAAGTGAGTGAGTGAGTGTAGTGGGCTTTTGCTTCGCTTCTTCGTTTTCCAAAATCTCTCTCTCATTCATTGCTTTTAAATCAAAACTGAAACTGTTACTTCTCTGGAGACTAATCTCAATTGCTCCTCAGAGTCAAAGAATTAATCTACATACTCTCCTCTAATCCACATACTCTCCTCTTTTTAATGAAAGGACGAAACTACCCCTTTACTAGGTATACGTGGTACAACTGGTATCCTAGTTGTACCACCTCCTAGTTGTACCACCTCCTAGTTGTACCAGACCCTAGTTGTACCACCTCCTAGTTGTACCACCTCCTAGTTGTACCAGACCTTAGTTGTACCACCTAGTTGTACCACAACGTAGTTGTACCCGAATATTCCCTAGTTGTACCAGTTACAACCCGTATAAAAGGATTCGAACCCTGGGGGCGCGCGCGTGCGCACGGAGCTCGCAACCACTGAGCTATTGTGTTTTTCGTTGAACACTTACCGATTTAATTGTATTTAACCCTTATCACCCAAAATCAACCCTCATTAAGGGTAATTTTGTCTTTCTACCATTGAAGAGTATTTGAGACTAAATTTGGAGCTTGAGGAGCCCCTGAGAATTTGTTCCTACTTTTGGAGAATTTGTTCCTACTTCTCTCATTCTCTCTAAAAACCTAAAAAAAAAAAAGACTCTTCCCCAAAAACCCCCAACAACACATGGATTCTCAGGACCACTGCAACTCTCCAGGTTCTTCCCTAATCATCATCAATGTCTTTAGGGTTTCCTTCTTTTAGTCCCAATTTTCCATCTTTCTTCCTCTAATGTTGTCACATTCTCGGGTCTAGTTCGGTTTTTGACTGTGTGTTAATCTCTTGTGTGCATAAGAGTAATTTCTTTTCTTTTTGTAACTTTTGTAGCAATAATGGTTTCTTCCTTTTGTCTTTTAATGTCTATTTGACTATTTGATTAATGTTTTCTTCGGATTACGACTGGTTTCGCTTTCTGATTTTTTTAATTTTTTTAAGACTTTAGATAAGTCTTTTGTAGAAAAATTATCAATTTTGAGGATATGGGCACTGATGATTTTGTGAACCCTTATTATATAGGAGGAGGTAAGAGTTGTCATGTATGTACTAAATGTGGTTGGAGTTATCCAAATCCACATCCTAGTGCTAAAAACCGCCGTGCACACAAGAAAATCTGTGGAACCATCAAAGGATTTGAGATCTTTGATTCCGATAAGGCGAAACAGAATCTTGATTTGCAGGAAGAACACTGCTTGGTTGATGAGCAAAAAACCCCAAGTAAGAACAATTTGTGCTTTGGATTGATAAATAAAGTAGAAAGACTTGTGTCATTTTTTCCTTGATGCTAATATGTGCTTAATGATGAGGTTAGGTCCAATAGTTGTGGAAAAAGCTGCTGATGAGAGAATTGGGGATGTTTCTGAAGAGGATGTGTTTACTGATGCTGTTTGTGAGTTCTCGAGATCTGATTCTTTTAAGGAAGAGACAGCTACAAACTTCGCGGCTAAGGGTACTGAGAATCCCGGTGAGTTTCCCTTTTGATAAATAACTCAGAGATGATGTTACCTTGCGATGCTACTGAGACTTGGTTTTATCAGTGCTAACATAAGTTTTGTTCATCAAGTAATAAAGTCTTAGTTTAGTTTCTTTTGACGTTTATACGGAATCTCAAACCTGTAGACGATAGTTCAAAGGGAAACTATTTGGTTTACTGACTCATCTGTTTATCACATTGCTCGGTTTTATTCCCATTTGGCTTTTATGTTTTTGTGTGATGTGTTCGACTATATAGCTGATGAATATGGAACTGCTCAGGTGAAACTCAGCAGTGCAACAACTCATTAACGGCCTCTGTGACGAAAAGTTCTGAAGTGGTTCAAGAGAGCTGTGAAGTTCCACTTGTGGAAGTTGAAGTAGCTTCCGATAATCGCCAAGGTGCAGAGCATTCTACTGAAGGACACTCTATGGCATCTGAAACTGTGATTGAGTCATCACAGGAAGCTCAGGTCATTGACAGTGGTGATACCGTATCAAATGTTGAATTAGAGACAGAAGTCAAAGGAAATTTACCGGATGAATCTGAATCGAAGTTAGCATCTGCATTAGGAAAGAGAGAGGATACTTCAGATTCATCGTGGAATGATGAAGTGATTTACTCGGACGTGGAGGGTCCCTATGGATTTTCATCAGAAGCAACGAGTATGACTCATCCTGATGAAGCTAGCTTTATAGTTAGTGAGGATGTTCCAGTCCATACTTCCCCGGTAAAAGCTGATGCAACTCAGTCAATCTGTTCCAGTCAATCTGTTCCTGATGAGATGCCTTTTGTTGAGAATGCTGATGTCTCTTTGCATGGAAACAAAGGCCTTGAGAAATTTGAAGTGAGTCATTCTGTGAATCCTCATCTTCCTGAGACATCTAAGGGAGAATGTGAAACAGATGCTCTTACTGAGGCAGAGAATTTAGGAATTCAGCCTGAAGGCTTAAGTATGGGCTCAGAGGTTCCTTCATCAGACAAGGTTCTTGTTGGAGACAAAAATGAACCTCAAGGCCAAACTGATTTGGTTGCGGTCAAGGAATTTCCCAGTGCAGAGAACATAATGATATCTAAGATTGACTCTGAGGATATTGAAATGAAAGCTGAAGAGGGTGAATCATCATTAGGGAATGCACACACTGTTGAATCAGAAACCTTGAGAGTTTCTCTACCTACTGTAAATTCTATAGTTGTTGACTCGAATGCTGATGTGAGCAGTGCAGCTAACAAAACTGGTTTAGTTGATCTCGCCGGACATGAAAGTGAACTTATTCAAGCAAATGTTGTGGCTGAGGAGGGGAACAACCCAAAAGACACGCTGAGTTCTGAATCCTCTTGTTATGTTTCTCCGGTATCTGTTGTATTTGAGGGAGATGATGCAAGTGATAAGATAAAAAGTTCTTCAGAAACATCTAAAGACTCTGCCCTCCAAATCGGTGCTGAATTCTGTGAAAGTAAAGATGAAGTTTGCAGAGAGATTAACAACGGGATGCTTGTGGAGGAAAGCAGTTTCATAAACGAAACAAATAAAACGGAATATCCTATAAGCCATTCTGGATCCGCAGGCACTGCACCTGATGACTCTGTTGAAACAGCTAATCAGAAGTCCCTGGAAAGCGGAAGGACAGAATTCAATAGAGTTGTTGGTGGCTTGGGGGTAATTCAAGCAAATGAGATTGATGGTAATGACAAAGCACACAACTATTATGCTGAGGTCCCAGTGACAATAGAATCAAACGACCATCGAGATTTTGGGAGATTGCAGAATCTTTCAGAAGCTCACATTAGATCTCTGGTTTCAAGTCCGCTAGTCACTAGAAATAATACATCTAATGCGTTTGAATCCAACTTGGGATCGATTTCAGGTACGTATCCCATCTTCTAATGAGCAAATAAAAAACAAAACCCTCTTCAATATATATCACTCATTGGAACGAATATTGTATATCTTTGTAATAGCCAAGTTGATTTTGATGGAACAGGAGTAAGCAGTGGAGTTAACAAACTAGAAAACCCATCTCAGAACCAAGAAATCACCTTGGAGAAGACAACAAGCTGGAGCACAGGAAAGGAGCAACACGTCCCGCTAAAGAACCTTCTGACTGAAGCTAGATCACCAAGGCTACAACAACAAGCAAAGGATAGTGAGAGTAACAACATACCGAGAGTGAGTTCGATACTGGGACAGGAGACATCCCCTGAAGACTGTCGCTGGCCAGAGAAAAGAGAAGTGAGTGAAGAATGGAATTCGCCAGCAAAGTATCCAGTGGACTTTAAGAGAGAGGAGAAGAAAGTGAAAGGAAGACCCTTTTGGGTTCCATTTGTTTGCTGCTCCAATGTTAAATAAACCCCTCTATTGTATAATGGTAGGAGATGATGAATGATCCTAAAGACTTGCTAGTACAAAGACTTGTTAGTTGTTTGGTTCTTGTAGGAACTACTGTTGCTTAGGAGGCTTTAAAATACTTTATGCAGACCACTTTTGAGTTTGACTTTTTTTTTTCATTTCTCTTTCTTGAATGAGTGGTACCAAATTGAAATCAACCGAGTTGATCAAACCGAATAAATGTTTTTTAGTGAATCGTTAAACCGAAATCAAATTAAACCGCACCAGAACCGGAAATAATCCATTCCACTGGAAAAGGTTCAAACTTTTGCAGAGAGCTTCGAAAGAGTGTAATGGAGAATCTGACGACGGCGCAATTTCTCCACAGAGCGACTCTACAGAAGAAGCCACCTCCTCCACCATGGAATTTGAACTCAAGCTTTCTCAATTCTACCTCTTATTCAATATCTAAACTCTCTTCTCTCCGCCGTGCTTTGCCCTTGTCTATCAATGGCGACGTGTCGCAGTCCACCTCTCTTATCCACCACCACCACCGGTTTCTCAGTTCATTGCCACGGCGGCTCGAACTTCCCGGTTCATGTCCTCTACGGTTGCTTCAGGAAGATGGAGATTGGAGCAAAGACCATTTCTGGGCTGTTATTCGTTTTCTCCGTCACTCCTCAAGACTCCACGAGATTCTTACTGTAAATTTCTCCTCTTTATCTATCTCTTTCATGAAATGTGAGAATATGAAGATGACTTTTTTCTTCTTCATTAAATTGCAGGTTTTTGATGCGTGGAAGAATATTGAGCGTTCGAGAATAAGTGAGACCAATTACGAGAGGGTTATAAGGTTTTTATGTGAGGAAAAAGCGATGAATGAAGCAATTCGAGCTTTTCGCGGTATGATTGATGATCATGAGCTAAGTCCGTCTTTAGAAATTTATAATTCAATCATCCATGGTTATGCTGATGATGGGAAGTTTGAGGAAGCTATGTTCTATTTGAATCATATGAAAGAGAATGGTCTGTTACCGATAACCGAGACATACGATGGCTTGATTGAAGCATATGGTAAATGGAAAATGTATGATGAGATTGTTTTGTGTCTTAAGAGAATGGAATCTGATGGTTGTGTGCGTGATCATGTTACTTATAATCTACTCATACGCGAGTTTTCCCGAGGAGGGTTGCTTAAGAGGATGGAGCAAATGTATCAGAGTTTGATGTCGAGGAAGATGACTCTTGAGCCTTCTACATTGTTGTCCATGCTTGAAGCTTATGCAGAGTTTGGGCTAATTGAAAAGATGGAGGAAACGTGTAACAAGATAATAAGGTTTGGGATCTCTCTGGATGAGGGTTTAGTTAGGAAATTAGCTAATGTTTACATTGATAACCTCATGTTCTCAAGACTCGATGATTTGGGTCGTGGCATTTCTTCTTCAAGAACCCGTAGGACCGATCTGGCTTGGTGTCTCAGGCTTCTGTGTCATGCCCGACTTGTGAGTCGGAAAGGTTTGGATTATGTTATTAAAGAGATGAAAGAAGCTCGAGTTCCTTGGAATACAACTTTTGCCAATATCACACTTTTAGCTTACTCAAAGATGGGAGATTTTAAGAGCATTGAGCTGTTACTCTCTGAGCTACGGACAAAACATGTGAAGCTTGATCTTGTAACTGTAGGGATTATCTTCGACTTGAGCGAAGCTGGGTTCGACGTTACTGGAGTTTTCATGACTTGGAAAAAGATTGGGTTTCTTGATAAGCCTGTGGAAATGAAGACAGACCCTTTGGTTCATGCTGCTTTTGGGAAAGGGAAGTTTCTTAAGAGTTGTGAAGAATTGAAGAACCAGTCTCTTGGTATGAGAGGGGAAGAATCGAAGTCATGCACTTACCAGTATCTAGTGGAAGTTGTGGTTAAGAATCAGGAAACTGTACCTTAGTATGTAAATTTGAACCTATACAAACACTAGACTGTATGTAGACACTAACACTTGTAAGCTTCTCTCAAGTCTCCCCTTCTACACGATTCTCTCTGTTTGCATTTGTCTTGTTTCTTCTTGTATAGACCTTACACGGTCTTGTATCAGTTACATCATTCCCTCTTGTTGATAATAGCTCGAAGAATTGTTCCATTTCGTCGAGAATCTGTTTCTTCTTCTGGGTGTATGTTTGGCTTCCACTTGTGTGTCCAAACGAATTAGATACCATCAAATGAACAAGATAGTTGCAGAGCTCACTATGATCATGGATTGAGGAAATTTTCCGTTGCACTTGTTCTTCAACTGCCTCATCTCGAGTTCCATTCCTGTGCATTTGTTTTCTACATTCCTGCAGGACCAGAGATTTTTATGAAATCGATTTGATGTATTCAAAACCTATATCGACTAACCTTATCTGAATTACTAACCTGGAATGCACGATTCAACTTGGTCACTTGCTGGGAATTCAATAGCTCAGCCTGCATAAGTTCTCGAAACAATATTACAATCTCTCTGCTGATATTTATCCCATTCAGATTTTGAATCATGCTAGAGATGCAAGACTCATCAAAAACAGTTCCCAGCCACACTGGCTTGTTCTTGAGTCTTAGCATGGCAACGGTTAGGTAGACTGCTGGCTTGTGGTGGTTCACGTATGCACTTGATGCTGAACAAGGCATGGCCAAGGAAACTGACATTTCTTCTGCAATAAACCTGTACCATGAGCTGGTCTTAAGCATCTCTGTTCTTCCTTCCATGTCTTCCCAACCTAAAATCATGGACAGACAAAGCGCAGAGTTTGTCGCTACTCTTATGTCATCACAGAATACAAGACCACCTAAAACAGCCTTCATTGATTTCAGGTAACTCGATGAACACCGTAGTTGCTCTTTTTTTATGTCAATCTGTTCTGATAGTCCAGTGAGCAACTCCAAAAGACAATAAGAGGCGATAAGCTTGATTTGTGGTGCTCCAAAAAGCATCAACCTGCACAAATTATGGCAATGGATGCAGACTACGGGTAGTGTTTCTAGGCTGGTCGACGTGCCAAAGAAAGTTTGCCAATCTACTGCTCCAGCTAGAACAATCTGCAAACTAAAAGGCCAAAAGGGAGTTAGGGAACGGTTAGAAGTAGGATTGAACAGTTTAAACAATTTCAGACGCTACCTTCTTAATGAGAAAAAATAGAGAGATAACGTGAATGCTAGAGCCTCCCCAATGTCAGTTTCATCCTGATACTGAGTCAGTGCTGGACCCTTTGAGCAAGCTACATCAACCACAGTTTTGATTGCTGATACCAAGTACGAATTCAGTAGTATACTTCGCGAAGCTTCCACAAGTGCTCCATCTGAAGAGTGGTACAGAACCAATGAAAGAATGCCAATCACCATCACATCTTCATGGTTCTGTTTTATGGCAGTGTCTCGCAAGCTCAAAAAATTTAACAACTACAAAACAAAGAGGATTCAGTGAGCTCTTTGATAAAATGGCAATGTTGGTGGAGAATAAGTCTAGATGGCCATACCTTTATCGATACAGCATCCCATGATTCATCAATCATTAGCACTCCAGGTTGCACAGAAGCTAAAATGTTGAATACTAGCAGAAGGAGTGTTTTAAACGATGTTCGCAAGGATGAGTTATTAATACCAGAAACGAGTCTATGAACTACATTGCCAATGCCAATCATAGAAAAATGGTTGGAGGCAGTTGGGAATATAGAAACAATTGTGGTAATTAGATTTAAAATCGAGATAACATCATTCTCTTGCTCTTCCTTCTCTGCGAGTTGTGTCAACAAGTTAACCAGAAGAGTTGCGGCATAGTTGTCTCCTTCTGATATCAACTTTGCAAACCAATATGTGAGCGATCTCTGTCTGCCATCTCCATATACATTGTGAACTTCATTTCCAATTAAGTTGGTCCGGGAGATCTTTTGGATCTGGTAAGTTAAACTTTTGCTGATACTTTCTTGTTGAAAAAGCCACTTCAGAGATTCTAGATGAATATTACTGGAACCCAAGTCCCACTCATATTCGTTTAATAGATGGAAGAGTATTCTCTCAGCCTCTAGACTGTAGGATACCTGGTATCTCTCGTTTTGAAGACTCCTGCAAAGACCATACAGATTCACTAGGTTGAGCATAACTGGAGAATCAGAGAATGCACATATTAAACTTGTCCTGTTTAGAATAATGTATTGCTCCAAAGAAGCTAAAACCAGCTTATCATCTGCAAGCCTGCAAAAAGGAAGAGAAATAGATTACAGATCCTTAGTGCGTCGATCAAAATCATGATTCAAAATCAAAAACCTAATTCACCTGTCATTGTACATCCAACTTGTATGGAAAATCAGCAGAGCTGCGGACTGGCAAGAAGCCAATTCTTGATTATTGGAACTGTCTTGCCCGAGCAAAAACAGCAAATCTTGTGGATCAGAAGGAAGACAATGAAGAGCATCTCTGATATGTGACCCCGTTTTCTGTTCGAGAAGAACATCAACAAGGGAACTGAGCATCAAATATATCCTCTGTTTCATGTTAGCCGTACAAAAGTTTCCAAGACATCCAAATGAAAAGCTGAACCAATCTGCTGAAACAAGCATCTCTGCAAACTCCTTGGCTTGAATATCTGAATTCTGTAGCAGAATAGAATGGAAAGTTTCCATTATGCCAAGAGTTGCTTCCTCATTGACCTCGTTGACATCAGCAAGAAACCACGGCAATAGATGTGATGCACACACGTCTATAACACAGTGTCTTAACTCAATGCAACTGGTCTTGTTTATGGATGTTGGTGCAGTACAATATGCATATACTTCATTGAGTAAGTAGACTGCATGCAATATCTGGGTTGAATCTTTCTCAGGGGGACTAAGAGAGGCCAAAATGGCATGTCTCAAGGATTCTTGCAATGATGTTAACACATCTGCAGTCTCCGCAAAAGATGGAGTTTTCATAAGGGAAACAAAGACTGAGCAGATAATCGCAAATGCATCCGGAAATAATCCCATCTCCTGAGAATAATATCTTTCAAGCATCCTTTTCAGAACCAGAGCAATTTCCTGAACTTGAGTACTAGAAGCAATCCCAGGGAAATCTGAAATACAGCTCGAAATAAGCTTCAGTGTCTGGATTTGAAAAGGATGGCAAGGAACTTCACCTACATAGTGAAGCACTTGGATGACTGAAGGAAACCCAATAACAAGTCTCTTCCGAAAGGATTGCTCGGCTAAGGAAAATAGATCAAGAACTCTGAGGCATGAGTTGATGACCTGATCTTTACATTCTGTTCATGAAAAGCACATCAATCAGATACAGAAAATAATAAATATATCAATGCTCGTGCAGATGTGAGCTTCCAGAGGACAAAACAGCAAGTAAAAAAAAAGACTAACTGAACAAGTTGTTAAATTTGTGTAGGAAACAATGAAATATGCATTTGACATCTGAAAGAGGTAAATGATAACTTCATTTCTTAGCTTCTCAACCTTCAGCTAGTGTCTGGAAAACTTTATAGTCTGTCCAGTATAAAGGAATGCCCAAGAGCAGTATACTATTAACTTATTCACGGAGACTACCAATACCTGATAACCGCAGTATCTCAAATATATAATCAGCAACATTTTCTTCTACCATAACTTGAATCTGTTTGCTTGGTTTACTCTCTTGGGATACGTAGTGGAAGATAAGATCAAGGGTTCTTATTTGCACCTCACTGTCAGTGGAAAGCAACGGCCCTTTAATTGCCTCAGCAAATAAGACATTTAAACAAGGCCTGGCGACTAGAGTCTCAGCTGTCTGCATAGGGTCATCATCAACTTCATCCAAGCTCATGCTGCTGAAATTATTTGTATGTGAATTTGCTAAAAGACCTTGCTGGGCCAAGATGGTCAAAAGGGCTACAAAGTTCAAATTTCTCTGTTAGCTGAAATACCAAATTATAAAGAAACAGTAACAACAATAATGATTGGAGACTCAAACTGAGAATGTACTACTGCTTTATGGAAAGGCATTAACAGTTTTTTCATGGTTTTCCAGTCTTTCTATAGCCAATGTCAACATATCACCAAACATTTTTTCAATGGAAAATGCTGAATTATTACTTAAGCGCGACAAGACTATCAGGCGGGAGAACTAAGTCTTTAGAATATGACAATGCAAATCTATTCATGGCTGAGTTAAAGGTGAAAATATGTCTACCGCATAAGAATGAAGCAGATAGATAAAAATAACTCATACGAACCTACACAATTCAAGCGAACATCATCTCTCTGTGTCTTTGCAAGAGCCTCCAAAGATAGGCATAAGAGCTTAGGACACAATGAAGAAAGAACTTCAATGCCATCAACATTTTGTTCTGTGAACTGTAGAGCAGAAAACTTGTACAGAACGAAAAGGATTTCACCGCGGATCTCCTCACTAGTATGAGAAAAAAAAGATAACAAACAGGATAAATCACAACAGTCCCCATACAAGATAGTAAGAACAGTGCTCACCAAGTGGTTTACGCACATTACCTTGGTAATTGAAGACCTTCAACGAGTTGGCAAACAAGAGCTTCTTTATCTCTGATATGGGAATTGACGTCTATATTCTCACAATTCATCAGAACACCAAAGCAGTGAAGCTGCAAAACACAGATATTAAGAAATGTATAAGAGATTTCATTAGCAGAAAAATTCAGCAACTGCAACAATCTTATCCATGCTCAAATTACTCGAAATTGCAGATCTCAATCTAATTAGGTAGATTCATGAAAATCTCAGCGAGAAACCCCAATTAAAACCCTAGAAAGGTAACAATACCATATGGAGCTGTCTTCGGCTCCAACCCAAAGCACCAGAAGAAAGCTGATCGGAGATTCTCTCAACAAAATCCTCGCCGATTGAAGATTCCTCAGCGGAACATAGAAGAGAGATCATATCCATGATCTGGATAGCGATTGGAGCATCATCAATCGAAGAGAGAGCGTGAACGAGAGGCGATACGAGAAAGTGGATATGAGAGGAGAGTACGGTTCGGAGGAAGATAGGTTCAGAGAGTGAAATTGAGAGCTGGTGAAGCGCGTAGGAGACGTGTACGGTACGGGTGCGTGAGTCGGAGACGAGATTGGAGAAGCAGATGAAGCAGAATGTGCCGCCTTGGTCGGCGCGGAGAGAAACTGTGGATCGGTGGCCATTTGCGCATGGCGGCGACAGAGATTGATGGTTTGGATCCGCCATAGATTCATGGAGGAGATGATCGGAGTCTTGCTGCTGTGAGACTAGGAAGAACATTGAGAGAGCGCGAAAGAGAGAGACTGGAAATTTCGAACTAGAAAAATGGCGTCTCAATTTCTCTCACAAATAAAGAATAGTTTTTTTTTGTTCGAATTATATTTTTTTTTCTCAACCAAATTTTTTTGGTTAATTAAGAAAATCACTAAAATCAAATTCAAAAATAATGCAGTATTTCGAATTTATAATTTAGTAACTAGTATAATTTTTTTTTTTTGTTACAAATGATGATATTAATTTCACGACTACAAAATCTATTTTTTCAATAATGAATGATTCTATGAATAAAATCAAGACATATAACGATCAGGTCCGGCTTAGCACATGTGTCTAAAAGTGCTAGCGCACAGGGTCCAATGGTCTAAACAAATTTTTTCCCCTTTTTTTTTCTGTCGTTAAAAAAAAACTTTATTTTCTTATAAAAAATAGTCACTAATTCAAGAAATACACCTTAAAAATCCCAATTTTTATTAAAAAACAATATGAGAAAATCCAAAAAAATTAAATACCATTTCTATAATTAAAACCACATTGTAATTATAATTATCTAAAAGGCCAAACTTTTTTTTTTAATTATCTAAAAGCCCTTAATTTTTTTTGAGTCGGGTATGATACCGGGTCTCGCCAATATTTGAGCCGAACCTAATAACGATATCAACGATTTTATTCGTAGCATTTTTTACGATAGATATATTTTGAACGGTTATGTCTGTATTACACTAAATATTTCCAATAAATTAATCAATTTTTATAATTTAAGAATTTTATAACTTAGTTTTTACAAAATTTTCCCCCAAAAAAAACTTATTTTACAATTATATTATTATTATATAGATTCTTAAAATATACACTATTTTAGTTAACAAGAAATGATGATCAAGGCATTTCCTCTCTCTCCCTCGTTACTCAAATCATCATCTTCCATTGTTCTCTGGGTTTTGTGATGCGATGCACTTAGCATCTTCCTCTTCCTTCTACTCGTCTCCGGCGAAGAATCTCTTGGCAATGTTCTTGAAAGCTCGAGCTTTTTCAGTAACCACACAGAATCCTCCTGATCTCTTCTCTCTTCTTCATCATTCCCAAAACGCTAAGCATCTACGTCATCTCCATGCTCATCTTCTTCGTACCTCTCTCTACTCCAACGTTGTGCTCAGCTCCAAGCTCGTTCTCGCTTACTCCAAGCTGAATCATCTCGTTCCTACTTCGCTTTCTGTCTTCTGGCACATGCCTTGTCGCAACATTTTCTCTTGGAATATAATCATCGGCGAGTTCTCTAGATCAGGTTTTGCTTCCAAGTCAATTGATTTGTTTCTTCGTATGTGGCGTGAGTCTAGCGTTAGGCCTGATGATTTTACGCTTCCTCTTGTTCTACGAGCTTGCTCTGCTTCTCGGGAAGCGAAATTTGGAGATTTGATTCATGTTCTGTGTTTGAAACTTGGGTTTAACGCAAGTTTGTTTGTTAGTTCGGCTTTAGTGATTATGTATGTTGATTTGGGGGAAATTTTACATGCACGTAAGTTGTTCGATGATATGCCTGTGAGAGACTCTGTTCTTTATACTGCTATGTTTGGTGGGTATGTTCAGCAAGGAGAAGCTATGTTGGGTTTAGCTGTGTTCAGAGAAATGATGTATTCTGGATTTTCGCTGGATTCAGTGGTAATGGTGAGTTTACTTATGGCTTGTGGACAACTTGGAGCGTTGACGCATGGGAAGAGTGTCCATGGATGGTGTATCCGAAGATGTTCTTGCTTCGGTTTGAATCTAGGCAATGCTATAACAGATATGTATGTCAAGTGCTCAAAACTGGCCTATGCGCAAACGGTATTTGTAAATATGCCTAGACGAGATGTGATCTCTTGGAGCTCTCTTATTTTGGGGTATGGCTTGGATGGAAAAGTGGTAATGGCTATAAAACTCTTTGATGAGATGCTCGGGGAAGGGATTGAACCCAATTCTGTCACTTTTCTTGGTGTCTTATCAGCCTGTGCCCATGGCGGTCTTGTCGAAAAGTCTTGGCTGTATCTTAGACTAATGCAGGGATATAAAATAGTTCCTGAGTTGAAACATTATGCTAGTGTGGCGGATTGTATGTCTCGAGCAGGTCTTCTGGAGGAAGCAGAGAAGTTTCTGGAAGATATGCCCGTGGAACCTGATGAGGCTGTTTTGGGTGCGGTGTTGAGTGGGTGCAAGGTGTATGGGAATGTAGAAGTAGGGGAAAGAGTGGCGAGGAAGCTGATTCAACTTGAGCCGAGAAAAGGTAGCTACTATGTAACGTTGGCCGGTCTATATTCAGCTGCAGGTCGGTTTGACGAAGCTGAGAGTCTGAGGCAGTTGATGAAGGAGAAGCAGATTTCTAAGGTTCCCGGGTGTAGCTCAATATGAAAGATGGGATGCAGATTTCAGCGTTATCTGGTTGTACATGTGAAAGATTACCAGAATGGTAAAGATCAAAACCGCACCAAAAGCTGTTGAAACTTACATCTAGATTTTGGTAATGAGGCTCAGACATAGCTAACTGTATACATGGAAAAGTTGTGGTGTCCGGTCCGATTTTGAAAACAGTCTTTAGCTACTATGGCATGTTTCACCCCGCTGTCAGTGGAAAGCAACGGACCTTATGTCGTCACTCAGCTCGAAATTCTTATTCATCCGCGCAACTCTCCTTGTTTTAATCTTCTGCAAGACTTCTTCTTCTCCTAGTTTGGCTCTTGCTAATGCCTTTTGCTTCATCTCTTTCAAAAAATCTGCGTAGCTGAGAGTAGTGAGCAGACCAAGCACATCAAGAACTCCCCTCACTGCTTTCTCAACCTCAACCAGTGACACCACCAGTGACACCACCAGCGACATTCTCGGCTTCTTCTGCATTTTCTTGAGCTTCGTGATTGACACGTTCATGAATTTCATCGCATCTTGAAAAGCACCCGCGAGTACATGGGCAGTGTTCAGGTCGTCTGACAATTTTGATTCAAAATCACTCTTCACCTCCTTCACAATCTCTTTACCTTGCGCAGTAAGATCAGCCTTTTCCGCCATCTTCACATATTGTTTCTCGATATGGCGAGAGTGCTTCAACAAGATCTTCTAACATCTAAATAAAATACCATTCTATTTTAAGTAAACTACCCGCACACCACCAAGAAGCCAAACTTTGTTATTATACTACCTTTATAGTTAGTTACTACATTTTTGAATAGTTTTTTTTTTTATTTATTTATCAAGAAGAGTTATTTCAATTCACCCTTTTCCAACACACATTCGACTAATGAAATATAAGTGGCCGAATTTGTAAAGGTCAGTAGGAAAACTCCGTAACCAATGTCGCAGCATCATTTGTATTCAGAGCTCAGCAAAAATAAAGTTCAGAAAACGCAGTAACGCAACATACTGGATCAGAAGTAGAGAAGATGTCCAAAAGTACTAAAGCCACAGACCCAAACCATATATAATTGACCATACACGAGATTTCATCCCAAACAAAAAAAGAAGCAAATAGTAAATCTCTGTACTCCAGACAAATCCCAATGCAAATAAAAGACTTCAACTATGCTGAGTACCTTCCAAGATGTATCTTATGTGAGACCAAAATAACAAAGAGCTCTAAAATGGTACAAACGGGCATGCGGGTAATCAGGAAGATATGGATAATTTAAGCAAAAAAGAACTGGGACTGTGACTACTTTGCTCAGGATTGCACGGCCAGTTTCGAAAGATGCTCAAAAAAGACTTGCAGGCTCACATCGTCAGTGAAGATTATGTCTGACCCAGCTGACATCTCGTTTGCATTGTTGTAAGTCGCTGATGGATTCAGCTTAGCCAATAAAAACCTTGCCTGCAGTATCAAAGGGAGTAAAGTTTAAGGATACAGTGATGAAAACCATCAGATCAATCCCACACAGATGAAACAAATCATCACAGTCGAGTTGAAAAAAAAGATAAAAACATATGTGAATGCTAACCTGTGATCCATGTTGATCACACACAACTAATCTCGGGACTGGGAAACGCTCCCGGACTAACATCTGGGAATCCTCTTGAGGAGCTTGCAATAACTGAGCAAAGGCCTGACACGAGACATCCAAGATTTAGGATATCATAGAATTAATGATGGTATAAAGATGTCACAAAATGAGACCCCATGGTAGAGATTATTAACCTTGCTAGTTGCTACAACCCAACTTATTTCACTTGCATTTAAAGGGAACCAGCTCTGAAGAGTATTTTTCCTAAACTAGATGTCTCAATTTGGATTTCTACCCTAAACCGATGTCATATTAACAACCCAACTCAAAAGGACATATTATTTTATAGCTACGAAAGTGTAAAATGATGGTAAAAAATGCTTCTACAAATTACAGGTATAAAGCATGCATTACCTCATGTTCAGGCTGATGATGATAACCCATGTTTCGCCATTGGGCTATAGTCATTCCATGGAAGACAACAACACTAAAATATGCATCTAATAGAAGAATCTTGTCAGCTGCAATGGAAGCCACATCCAGCAAAGCTGGCTGAGGTGGTGCATTGAATGAATATGACGTCAGAGATGGTTGGATCATGACAGTTGCATTTGAAATATTTTCCCGGTTTAGCAGCATGCGGAAGTATGCGGTTTCATCAGGACTGTTGTTAAAGACCTGCCACCATTCCAACACCGCAAAAGAAAACATGATTCAACTATGTAGGCCAATTACATAAAGGCAGATAATGATGAAATCTGAAAACAGTAGTCTACCTGAACAAACTGTGACCGCCGCAAGTTAAACATGAATTGAGGGAACAATGAAAAATAGGGATTCAGCGTAAACGAGGTTGGATCATCCTTTCTATATTCACCAAATTTTGAACACAGACGAATGAGAGTCCGATCTAGCCACCGAGTAGCATCAAATCCCTCCTGAAGTAATACATAATAGACTGTATACGTGAGTAACACTATCACAAAAATAAAGTAGACAACACTAAACAAAGTACTGCAATAAGACAGGAGTATATAGCAACTACTACTTAGAGTTTCACTATGAGCCTCGTACAGACTACAAATTATTGGTATAAAGAGATGAAAGCTACATATCATACAGCCACAATAGTTCCTCATAAAGATGCTACAGGGAAGAAGTCTTTGACGTTTTCTCAAGGAACAACTGTAATCCACCTCAATTAATTTGTTTTATTAATAAAGTTCAGTTGTGTGAAAAGTAAAGTTTTACTTCCTTTGGACATATAGATGAACATTTGAACATTTGACCAAAGATCCTGAACCCCAGGTAGATCAATATGGCCAGGAGAAGAAAACCATATTTTAATTCATCAAAAGCAATATGAGCTTAACCCTTACCCCAACAGCATCAAAAACTTCACGGTCAAATTAACTCACATATTGTAAGCAAAGAGAAGATGATGTAAGGTACCTCTGTTTCCATTTTTAAGGAAGTTAATCTTGCCATAACCACAGCAGCAGTTTCTTGGTCAAAGCCTTGCACAAGTTCCTGAGAATGTATACAGCAACCATTGTCAGAAAATGTTTGCTTGCCAGAAAACTTTTTGACTATTTGAACACCATAACACATTTACATGAATGGTAACCCTAACCACGGTTATTATTGATTCCATGACAATAGTAAAATGTAAAAGAAATTGGCTATCAAGCTGGTACTAGCGTTAACATATGGATAAAATGTCAAAATCTTGCAACCAACACCATAATTCTGAGATTCACATGATATGAATTTGCCGCGAAACACCCATGGGAGGCTAAGGATTAGGAATCATATAAAATAAAGCATTAGGAATCATAGTATGCTATACTGTAACGGTATTTAAGGGATCCATGTTTATCCTAACAAACCAATTTTTTCCAAGAAAGAAAGATGTGAAGTCCCGTTGAAATCCCAAAAACTAAAGCTTTTTCTTATATTCACAGTAAATAGCTTTTACTAATTACACCAGTGAGAAATGGAAATTATTTGTCGGTTAACCAAAATGAGAACAAAAAATGATACCACGCCTAACAATATTATTGTTAACCGCATATTCACTAAAAGGCAAATAATAAAACTTGCTAGCAGATTTATAGGTTATAATCCTAACATAGCAATGCTACCAAAACATAATAAACAGTGCTACGGTAAAAGAGCTAGTAGATTACATATAAACCCAATTGTGTATAACATTAGTATAAAGTGGTAAGTTAGGCAGAAAACAAGACTACCTCTGTGCTCACAGCAGTATCCACCCACTGTCTGGTTACAGTTGTAACCCGGAGCAAACTTTTACCTTCAGGGTTTTGGTAACTGCAATCGAGTCAACAACAGTAAATCCAATGCTTCAAGAGATAAAGTAATAAATTAATGCAGAAAGATAAAAGGTTTAACAAAAAAATAATGAAGGAAAATAAGAGACAAACAAAAGCTACCAGAATACCTTGTGACAAACTGCAAATACAACTGAGGATTTACAGCTCCAGGAGCATTTGACCCGGTTGAAGATAGATCAAAGAATACAGTCAAGCAGGTACTCTTGTCGAGGCCACACAACTTCCAAGCACTGGTATTCCCCTCTCCAATGACTGTGTCGGCAACATTGGGACCTTTCTGCAAGGCATCAAATGAAAATAAATTAAAATCAATTAATACAGATAGCTTTATTCATTCACCAAGCAAAAAAAAAAACATCTTGAAAGAATATGGATTCTAAGCACTCCAGGTAAAACCTTTTCTAATGATGAGCAAGGCCCGATAACCCCTTGAATTTTGATGTCTTTTGAACAATTGATCTCAAGCGTGCCACTGAAAATGAAAGGTTCGGAGTTAGTTTGGTCTAAGGAATGCAAAATATATATTATCATAGCATACAAGCAGTATTATGCATAATGCTCCACAAGAAAGGGTCTTAATTGCCAAAATATTCTTTATCTTGCAACACCAACTCAACAGAAGATATAATAGCAAAGTATTGACACAGAAGCAGAGCAGAAACATACTTGAAGCAGAGACCAAGAGACTGCTCGCCATCTTCAAACACCCTCTTGAAGGAATCTTTAAATACAGAATGGCCAAAACTTTCAGACAGAACAACGAGACCACCGGTACTTTCAACGGCTACTTTCATTTCAGCAACCCCAACCTAACTATACCCAAAATGCAACAGCAGAGACAATTATAGTTAGGTATCGAATCATGTGATGAAAATGATAGCTAAAATGGAATGTTTTGATAGAGACAACAAGCAAAGCCCTATCAACACTGAAGTTAAAAAGAAAACATGGTATTGGAAATATATAATCTGTCTTTCATGAAGCAAAGGACATCAATGTGAATAGAAAAGCGGGGGTTTCTGATATGCCCCGAGAAAGCATATTTTCTAGTGTGTTAAAAGAAACGTATCTGATTTCTAGATAAAAGGGATGTTCTAAAACAATCACATAGATTGCCATTAAAGATATCAAAATGCATGTAAAAGTTATATCTACAAATGGATGCTCTTCCGTGCGCAACTACTAACATCTGGAAAATTAATCAGAAGGAAAAGAATAGAAACTGGTGATCACAGGTTAGTTAAACAACTCGAGTACAAGTAAGAGCTTTCACAATTGGTGTGCATCAACAATGTCAACTTCGCCTAACAATTTAGTAACTAGGAACGCATATTCAAGATCATACACATAAAACAACACTTTCAGGGAGTTAATGAGGCATGGCATTCATTTTAGCTAAAATGTAACAGCGACACAGACAAAATGGAAAAATCAAGCATTGCAAGAAACCACACATTTATACCTGAAGAACAAAACCAGTGTTTGGGCATCATGCCAACAAGCAAAATATAATCATGACACATTAATACCTGATCAAGTGCAGAGGCGAAAAGGTCTAACACATGACCCTGAGCGACAAGCTGCTTTGCAATACTATCATAAAACTTGACAGCTTTTTTATAATAAGGAGCAGCATCTTTATCTAGATCTTTGTGGGAGCGCACAGGATCTGACAAATCCTTTGAGATAATCTGAAAAGACAAAAGAAAGAAAATTTGATTCAGAATATAACAAATATGGTGCGATAAAACTTGACAGTGCCATCAACCGAGGAATCAATAAGCACTAACCGTTCCAGGGCCCTCTGTACATGGACCTCCAACCAAAGCTACAATTCTAGCCCCAGTTCCAGGCAAGCAAGCTCCAAGCAATCCTGCAGCTACACTCAATGCAACCCCTGTGCATCGTTGGGGACGATGACCTGGCTGAACAGGCCACTGGTCTGATTGGAGCTCATCCAAAAGCTGCATGCCAAAAATCAGCCACACCAGTGTTCAAATCCATGTTACAAATGATGAATCATTTAGAAGCAGAAGAATCCGATGAAATTCGACAACCAACACGAGTTAAATGAAAACAAACATAGGCGTAAATCTATCCAAACCGAAACCATTACCCACCAAGTCCAGTGTGTATTCGCACTCCGAAGCGGGTAACAGGAATCTGTCAACACCGGAACTCTGGAATCCGTTTTGCGCTCCTTTAGGAAACCCAGAAGTAGGAGCTCTCCTCGAGGAAGACCCAAGCCCCAACTGATCCAAAATTTGATCCTTGGTGACTTCTTTATTGCCTTTAAAGACAAAAACTTTAGACATCTCAGAGAACCCCAATTCATGAACATGAGCCTGAGTACCAAACGACACAAACCCAACCAAAGCATTCTCCGGAAGCAACCCGATCGCCTGCTTAAGCGCCGATTTGGCATACCCCAATTCTTCCTCAATCATACACGTATCAAGAACAAACACAAACACAGGCGGAGGCACCTGATCAGCAGCACCAGTTCTCGGATCGACAGAAGCCGGCAACGTGTATTCAACAGTAGTGTACTGAGGATAAAGCTCACCAGGGAGATTAATCTCAGAGATCGAATGGTAATGAACAGGGAAAGGATTCCTCTGATGGCAAAAAGGGCAGATCCAGATCTTAGCGTTGAAATCAACACGAGCGAAAGCGTTGAGAACAGCAACACAAGTCCGGCACTTGAGAGGAGCATAAGGGAGATCAGGGATATCGGAGTGACGACGGATCGGAGAAATTGAAGCGGCGAGAGGAATCACACACTTGCTAGCTTCAACCTTAGTGCGAGGCCAAAGGTTCCAAGTCATACGAACTCCATCCATACCTTCGGGATCCATGTTCGCCATCTCCGCCATTGTTTGCTCCGATCTAAACAGAGACGGATCAGATCGGGAATCGAATTGCGATGAAACTGAAGAAGAAACTCAGAATTCTCAGAGGCGTGAGGGATTAGGAGTTTAGGAGGAGTCGCTGCTTAATCACTGGGAGGTCGCAACACGATGAGTGAATTTGATTGGATGGATGATGATGATGGATCTGGTGTTTAGGTGTTCGGGTTTGGGTCAAGTATTGGTCATTAACTCATTACTAAAATTCTGTTGTTTTTTTTTCTTTTTTTCTTTTTCAACCTTCACGGATTTAATGTAATTAAAGGAGATTTGCTGTCCAAAAAAACAATTAAAGGAGATTTGGTAGAATAATCTAAAAAATAGTAGGAATATCTAAAGTATCCACCAAAATTAATGAAAATCTAAATAATATTTTTTTCGATATTTTGCCTCTTTGGTCATATATTTTATCTATATATTTTTGGAAATAATGAATTAGAGTTGAAAAATTAAAGTTAAAAAGCTCCACATTACAAAAATCCACACTAATTAATAAAAATTTTTTTGGAAAAATCGATTTTAAAATAAAAAGGAAATCAGATATTTTTTGAAAGGTAAGAAATATATTTATGAAAAAGAGGAATTCAATTTAATAAGTTTTAATTTAAAAAAAAAATCACGGTTTTTTTTTTGTGGAATTTTTTCTCGAATTCATCTTTTTCAAAGAAATTAAATTTTAGAATACCAAAAAAATCATCTAACACTTTGTAAAATTTTCTCAAATGTAACATGGTAAAAAAAAATAAAGGGATGAATATAACTTAAGTTTATATTACATTGTCATAGAAGCTTAGGTTTTGTAGATTTTTGATATAACATTGGCTTTGGTTTTTCCAAGATTGGCGGACTTTACAAAAGTATGCAAAATGTTATGTAAACTTTTGGGGATTACTGGCAGGGCCGTGCCTAAGGGTTAAAAAAAAGGCATTTGTTTCAGGTCCCTCCAAAAAGAAAAAATTTTAAGCCCCTAAATCTAACAAATATGACGTATCAAAATGGTTTTATATAGGTAATCGGTTTTAGTAAAAGGAGACTGAAAATCAAAAAAAGAAAAAAAAAGAGGAAATTGAGATTCCGAAAGTCTCTTTCTTCTGTTTTTTTTGTCAAAGTTTCATATATAATATTTTTTCTCTTTAAAAGTGACGAACCTAGGTTTTTTAAACTCCTTTGTTTATATTCAATTTGTTAATTTTCAAATTGTGGAACCTACTTTAGTGTTTCTAAATCTTTGTTAACTCAAGTTCTATGCTCAAGACATAAGAAAAACAAAGATGATGGGTTTGTGAAATCACAATCAGGTTCTATGCTCAAGTTTCTTAAAAAACTTTAAAATCCTACTGAATGAGAATAAATGCTCAAGTTTCAAAATTATTTTTATATGCATTTATTTTATATAAAACAAATTATATTGGTAAGACCCCTAATTTCAATCTCGTCTTAAGCCCCGATAAACCTGGGCACGACACTGATTACTGGTAAATTTACTGATTTAGCATATGTTTTGCTAGTTTGTCATGTCTCTCGAACACTATGGGGTGTTGTTGACAAATGTTGCTGACATGGCAAACTTTACAAATGTTCGTGAATCATTGTGTAAACTTTAGGTAATTATTAGCATGATTGGATTTATTTTTGTTGGTATCCTATATTTTCAAAGAATATGTGGCTATTTTTGCAAATATTCAACAGATCTACGAAATTCTGCAAATCGTAATGCAGAGATTACTAGAAACCTTAGATTATGTATGTTAGTTTGCCACGTTTTCGATGAACTTTATGATTTTATTTATATACCATGTAATAGCAACATACTTAACAAAAGTGTGCAAGTGGTTGTGGACTTTAGCAGAATATTGATACATTTGGACTATGCTTGATAGTCTATCTTGTTTCTGACAAATTTTGTGGTTTAATTGGCATACTATAAGAAACATTCAGCCCCGTCCATCCATAAAACTGGTAAAGCATTATGTTTTAGGCTACAAATTATAGAACAAAAAATGATGCCACATTTTGAAAAATGCCAATGGTCTAGTAGTAAAACCTCCATATGAAATTTTAACTCCCTCCGTTATCATTTACCATTATATTTTCTTTTTATTTTTTTTCCAAAACCATATTTTTAAAAATATGCTCTAAGCCACAAAAATTCTAGAACTGTCTTGAGAACATTCTTTTGACTTCAAAAACGTTTGTAATTGGTTGTGAAGACTTAAGAAGATTTTATAGAGAAGATTATATAGCAACTTAGATTTTGTCTACTACTCTCTACCAAGTTATTGCATGATTTGCTAATATTTAGCGGATTTTGTAAAACTTGCAAATGGTTTTGCATACTCTAAGTCTAAGATATTACATCATTTTCTATGAATTGTCTAGCATTCAATGGATTTTATAAAGGAAAAATAAAATAAGAATCACATACTTTCAATTTTGGAGAAATTTCTTATCGCTACAAACGATTTTTGTATTATTTGACACTCATATTGGCTCTTCTTGTTGGTAGGACTAAATTTAAAGTAAATGACTAAATATGGCCGCATGTGAGCTATTGACTTTACTGCTTTGATGATTTTGTCGTTCGAACTACATTTAACCACTTCTTTCTCAAAAAAAAAAAAAAAACTACATTTAACCACAACGAAAGACATATAATATAGTTGGAGACAGAAATGCTTAGAGCATCTCCAATGCAGGGTTCTCTTCAAGAATTTGATGAGTTCTCTTGTTTAATTGACAAAAAAATAAATCAAAACTGATATAAAAGCAGAGAATCGATTCTCTCAAGAGAGGTTTGAGCAATTGAGAGAGCCGTACACGTGTCACATTCTGATTGGAGCATCTATTTTAACAAAAGAAAAAAAATCTTGGTATCTTCTCTTTTTGTAAACGACTCCCGACTTTCTCTCTCTCCGGCGATGGCGATCAAACCGCCGATTCCAATGAGTGGGAGTAAAATTATGTGTGTAATCGTGGTATATGAGAGTTCGTGACGCTGGACTCATCATCTTTCCAATCAATTTCATCTCTTTTCTCTGCATCAATTTTTAGGGTTCATCAGAGAAAGAGAAAGAGATTCAGAGATCCATTGTACCAAGCCCACGTTGATTTACAGGTTATCTTGAACAGAATCCGTTGGTTATTTTGACTCTCTGTTTTGCAATTCCTCTGACTTTAGGACAGAGATTCAGAGATCCATTGTACCAATCGTTGTTAGATTCTGTTTATTTTTTCAAATCGTTGGATCAAACCGATCAATGAGCTTTGATGATTGAAATTGATTCTTGCTCTCGTTTTCGTTTGATCTTTAGCAATTGTAGCATTGTTTATGTTATTTTTATGAATTAAAAACTTTGAATCAAGAACAAAGCTTATGAAATTCTAGTGTTGTGTGTGATAGTTTCGAATTGTTGAAATTCACCTTTGTTTGTTTTCAAGAGAATGATTTAATTGAGGTCATAGAAACTCTAGTGATTCATGTGGTATCTTCTTCATGATCATGCTTTGTGAGATTTGACAGAAGCTAGATTTATTTATTATGGTTATGCATTGACTTTGATCTCCGTATGGGTGAATTTGATTTAGATTTCCAAATACTAATTCTATGGTTTGTCTTTATCAAATACACGAAGAATGGATGCTTATGGTTTGTGGGATTTGGTTAAGAATTGATTGCCTTGTGTGGGATTGGGTATGCTCTGTATGTGTTAAGAGTGGTGTATTACTAGAGGGAGAGCAGATGGGTAAAAATTCTGATTGTAATATTTTGTGGAAATAACTGAGCTACATTTGTTTGTTATATAGATATGTTAAGCTAGCTGATTTGTCAAAGGAGAAGAGATTGTCTTTTGTCAGAGCGTGGGAAGTGTTTGTGATTTGGTTTTAATGCATGAGCGACTAGAGAAGAAGAAAGCAGAGTATGCAGAGAGGATGAAGAATAAGGTTGCAGGGATTCACAAGGAAGCAGAAGAGAGAAGATATTGATGACTGAGGACTTGGTAACTGAAGACAATGATGACTGAAAACTTTGTATATGCTATGATCAAATTTGTAAAGTTTAGTCACAGAAGAAAGTAATTGTGAAGCAGATTTGTGATAAAGGAAACAAATTGTAAACTTAGTGTACGTCTTTTATGAATTACGATTCCGATTGTGAAACATATCAAAACACATAAACCAAAATCATATTTTTGTTTTCTCCACAAAACCAAAATACATAAACCAAAACCATATCTAAAACACATACAATTTTATGAATTGCAATTATTTTCAAATTTTATGAAATATTATATTTTTTTTTCTAAGAACCTCATTTGAGACACTACCATTGGACTACCAAAAATTTTACATTTTTTAGACAAACTCTCATCTTACAAATTTCAATAATTTATACTAAACAATAGGAGAGAACCCATGGAGATGCTCTTAGAGGTGCCCAATGATAACCACTAAATCTGTAACCCACAATACGCTAACTCACGAGCCCTGCTTTTTAACGGGTCTAAAATCTTAAACCTATATCCGCTTCGTAGCTGATGGATTGGACTTGGTCGTCGATTTTTTACGTGCGGTGGATCCAGTGGAGGAGCTAGAATTTTAGTTTATAGGGGTCATATATAATTAATTATTTTTTATTTAATTATATATTAATATTAAATTATTTATTTTAAACTAAAAAAAATATTTCTAAGAACAATTAAAAAAAAAAAAACTAAGGAAAAAAATAGAACATATCTAAAAAATTAATATGTACCATGATTTTAGAGATTTGTAGCCATGTATTAGAAAAAATATAAAACAAAAAATGAAAAATGAATTAATGCTAAATAAAAAATAAACATGTGAGGGGTCAAATTAAGGAATTGATTGTTGGCATGGGAGTCATTATGGAAAAATTAAACTAAAATATCCATAAATTATTGTCATTTACCTTAAAAAAACAAAAAAATCATAAATGTTATGGGGGTCAATTGACCCCCCTCCCTCTTCACTACCTCCGCCACTGGGTGGATCTCAAAAACCCGTGCGGCTGTATTTACCACACGTCTAGAGAGTAAAACACACACACCAATCGAAATAATTCAACACATTAAAATCCATCCACTCTAAAGGCAAATATATGTATGCTAAAAGTAAAGAACGTGGGTCTTTTGTTGCTCCTTCCCACCGTTGGATTCATCCTACGGCCCTAAACTCACGATCACATTAATTCACTTCTTTAAATAAAACAAATTAGAAATTCATGTGATGCGAAACGTCAACACTTCACAAGATCTGGAAAAAAAATTCAAATTCTCGCTTTTAACGGCTCTCTCTTCCTTCTTCCTCCTCCTTTGCCCGAACACTAGGGTTTCACTGAACGCTCTTCCAAGAGTGCAGATTCGTTTTTTCCTCCCTCTTTTCTTTTACTTCTGGGTTTCTAATTGTAGATTTCACGGCGGAGATGAAGAAGCACTTTACGTTACCAAGAAACGCTATCTTACGCAATGGCGGAGAGCCGCACTCGTCAAACCCTAATACGTCGAAATCGAAGCCTCCACGAAAATTAAGATCCGCCAAAGAAAATGCTCCACCTACGGATCAGAACTTGTTGACGCCGGACCATAGGTCGATGAAATTGAAGAGTCCATTGCCTCCGCGTCCGCCGCGTCCGCCGCCGTCTAATCCTCTCAAAAGGAAACTCAGTGCGGATGCTGCGACGGAATCTGGGTTTTCAGACTCCGGTGTCAAGGTAATTTCACTCTTTGGTTAGAAATTAGGTTTTATCGAGACAAATCTCTAATTAGGTAATTTCGAAGCATATCTATGATTTCAGCCAATTGAAAGATTGTGTACTTGTTAGATTTGGTTAGGTTTCTAATTGGAGATGGGTTGTGAACTTTCTAAATTTGGTTACGTTTCTAATAGGAGAGGGGTAGAGAGACTTGGTGAAGCTGATTTTCTTCTCTGAGAATTTGGATACAACTTGTTGTAGAACATAGCTTAAGTGTGAATTTCTTTGCTCGTTTGAAGATAAGGTGATCCAATTTTCAGGTTATAGTTAGAATGAAGCCTCTAAACAAAGGTGAGGAAGGTGATATGATAGTAGAAAAGATGTCCAAAGATTCCCTCACAATTGGTGGGCAAACTTTCACATTCGACTCAATTGCTTATCCGGAGTCGACACAGGCAAGATCTCTCTTTGCATGATTCTTGGTGCCATTATGTTATGTCATCGTCTGATTTTGGGTCTCTAACTCTGTCTATTGTTTCTTTCTCAGGAACAAATGTTTCAGGTCGTTGGAGCGCCTCTTGTTGAAAATTGTCTATCTGGATTTAACAGTTCTGTATTTGCCTATGGACAGGTAGTTTTGATTTTCTAAAGTCTTCCTTTGAGACAGAGTTCCATTCCTCAGATTGTACTTGTGAATTGTGATTGTAACTTCTTGATTTAACTCATCATGAAATTAATTCTGTCAGACTGGTAGTGGGAAAACATATACCATGTGGGGTCCTGCATATGGATTGTTGGAAGAGCACCTCCGCGGTGACCAAAGGGGTTTGACCCCACGTGTCTTTGAACGTTTGTTTGCCCGAATCAAAGAGGTGATACCTGGTTTTGTTCAATTCAACAGTTTTGAACTTTTTCAATGATTAGCACATTCAGAAGAAGATTCTTCTTGTTTATTTTTTGGATTCCAGGAACAAGTCAAGCATGCTGAAAGACAACTCAATTACCAGTGCCGGTGCTCATTACTCGAGGTTCAGTGACTGGCTGCATTACTTAAGTTTGGATGGTGTTTCGAGGTTTCATTTTATAGAGTTTATAATGTCATGTTCTTCTTCCTTTTTCAGATTTACAACGAGCAAATAACAGACCTACTGGATCCAAGCCAGAAAAACCTGATGGTAAAAGGAACTTTCAAATTTTACTCGATTTATATTCTTAAGGAAAACATGGGGTTAATCGTTTTTCGTTAATGTGCCACCAGATTAGAGAAGATGTCAAGTCAGGTGTTTATGTTGAAAATCTGACTGAGGAATACGTAAAAAACTTGACAGACGTGTCACAGCTTCTGATTAAGGTTTATTACACTTTTTGGTTTCTCACTGCTGTAGTGCACCCTAAATCATGTTTGATCTGCAATATTTCTGAAGTACTTGATCAAAATTGCTGCTCTAAGAGTACACAAAAATACCAGTTCCGGTATCATATCTTTGTAATTCTCTTAAGTTTTTAATGAACAATGTGAAAACTTGTTTTTGTTAGAAAGAAGAGATTGCCACAGATTATATAGGATGGTGCTACTGGGGTTTAACGTTGATGTTCTGTTAGTGATGCTGTGTAAATCAAATGATCACAAAAAGCTTACATTTTAGAATGATAATTAAGAGAAATTAGTATTCTTTATTTGGCAAACTATACAAAACGGTCAAGATATTTTTATGTCCTGATAAAAAATTATCCTTGATAGTTATACTTGTGTCTGAAACTGGTGTAGGGTTTGGGAAATAGAAGGACTGGTGCAACGAGTGTAAATGCAGAGAGTTCAAGGTCACATTGCGTATTTACTTGTGTTGTTGAATCTCGGTGCAAGGTTAGCTACTCTTCTACATTAAATTGTTCATATTACTGGCTTTTTTAGAGTAAGCTGTCAAGTTGAGATGCTATCATCTTTTTTTTTTTTTTTTGAATTTATAGAGTAGTATGAATGTATGATGGAATAGATGTCTGACTTTGTTGAAATGTACTTTTTTGCAGAATGTTGCTGATGGGTTAAGCAGCTTTAAGACAAGCCGAATAAACCTTGTTGATCTGGCTGGTTCTGAACGACAAAAATCAACTGGGGCAGCAGGAGAACGTCTGAAGGAAGCTGGGAATATTAATCGATCGCTCTCTCAGCTTGGGTATGATTCAGAGTAGTCTCTCTGGTTATTTTTGGATCTCAGTTAGCATGAAATTTTGGTTTTTTTTTTATACTGCAGGATGCACTAAAGAACTGACACTTAGCTTCTGATGTTCTTGTGTCTTCTAGTTTTTGATTATAAAGAACTGACACTTTGTGATAATGGAAAATAATCTGAAATATGATGGTAGTAGCTTATGAGGATCTTGTGTCTTTTAAGCAGTGCTTTTTGATATTTAATACTAGAACAACTATCTCTCCATGAAAGGGCAACACTGTAAAAAGAGCATGCTGATTGTCTTATCAAAGTGGATTTATTGTATATCCTTCACCCTTTTGCTGATGATTGTAGCGATAGACATACAAATTTTGGCTTGGTGTGTTCACCAGTCCTGTCATTTGCGGGACGTTTTTCCAAAAGCTGAAATTATCAACTACATGTTTACCATACAAATTTGTTACGTGCAGGAACTTGATTAACATCCTCGCAGAGATTTCTCAAACAGGGAAGCCAAGGCATATACCTTATAGGGATTCCAGATTAACATTTTTATTGCAAGAGTCTCTTGGTGGGAATGCAAAGTTAGCAATGGTTTGTGCAATTTCTCCTTCTCAAAGGTAATGCAGAACCTCTATTTCCACTTCAGAAGTTATTTATCCTCCATCTTCTGCAATTTTAAGTATGTATGGAAAATTGCAGTTGCAGAAGCGAAACCTTCAGCACCTTGAGATTTGCTCAGCGTGCAAAGGCAATCCAGAATAAGGCTGTTGTCAATGAAGTGATGCAGGATGATGTAAATTTCTTGCGTGGAGTGATATGCCAGCTGAGGGTACGGATTCTTTTACATATATCATAAGATAGACATATAAATGTGAATATGGCTTTTGATGAATAAATTGAGCAGGATGAACTACAAAGGATGAAGGATGATGGAAATAATCCAACCAATCCAAATGTTGCTTATTCCACTGCATGGAATGCACGTAGAAGTTTGAATTTATTAAGAAGCTTCGGTCTGGGTTATCCAAGGTCCTTACCTCATGAAGATAATGATGGTGATATTGAGATGGAAATTGATGAGGCTGCTGTTGAAAGGCTTTGTGTTCAAGTGGGTTTGCAATCATCTTTAGCTTCTGAGGGGATCAATCATGATATGAACAGAGTAAAGAGTATACATTTATGTGATGGCCAATCTATAAAAAAGGGGCTTCCTGAGGACTCAGATGTTGCCATGGAGGATGCTTGTTGCCATTCTGAGAACCATGAACCAGAAACAGTGGATAATGTGAGAACTAAGACAGAGACTGGCATCACAGAAAATCAGATCAAGACACACTCAACTTTAGATCATGACTCCACTTTCCAGCCTCTTTCAGTCAAGGATGCTCTTTGTTCTTCACTGAACAAGTCGGAGGATGTGCCATCATGCCCTGTCATAGTTCCGGAAGACGTTATTTCAGAAAATGTATTGATAGCTGATGGATTAGATGATCCAGAGCACTTAGTAAATTCTGCATCTCCTAGTCTTTGTATAGATCCAGTTGGTGCGACTCCTGTATTAAAATCTCCCACACTGAGTGTCTCTCCTACTATTAGAAATAGCAGGAAAAGCTTGAAGACATCGGAAATGTCAACAGCATCTCAGAAGGGTACTGAAGGAGACAATTTAGTTACAGAAGCTGCGGAACCATCTCTGGCTACATCCAAAAAGATGAATAACTGTTCTAGTGCTTTGTCTACACAGAAGAGCAAAGTTTTTCCTGTACGGACTGAGCGGTTGGCATCTAGCCTCCACAAAGGAATTAAACTTCTTGAGTCGTATTGCCAGAGTACAGCTCAAAGACGATCGACATACAGGTTTTCCTTCAAAGCTCCAGATTGTAAGCCTTCAACCTCTATAAGTAAGGCTGATGCAGGTGTGCAGACCATTCCCGGAGCTGATGCAATATCAGAGGAGAATACAAAAGAGTTTCTGTGCAGTAAATGCAAATGCAGAGAAGAATTTGATGCCCAGCAAATGGGTGACATGCCAAATCTTCAGTTTGTAGTACCTGTTGACAACTCGGAAGTGACAGAAAAAGCCAAGAGCCAAGTTCCCAAAGTAAGAACAGTGACGTTTTATCTGAAATAGATTTAGATAGTTATTCATGGTTTATTTTGTTTTCACATTCATATAATGGGTGCCTCCAACGGATCGATATTTACACTTTACAGGCAGTGGAAAAGGTTCTAGCAGGATCTATCAGGAGGGAAATGGCTCTAGAAGAGTTCTGCACTAAACAAGCCTCTGAGATAACCCAACTTAACCGACTGGTATGATACTTGCGTCTTTTTCGGTTTTTTAATCTGCCTATGCTCAACATACCAAGAGAAGCTTTGTAACTGTATCCTTGAACATAAATTGGTCCAAATCGTATAATAGGTACAACAATACAAACATGAGAGAGAGTGCAATGCCATCATAGGACAAACAAGGGAGGACAAAATTATTCGCCTTGAAAGCCTTATGGATGGCGTATTATCTAAGGAGGATTTCCTGGATGAAGAATTTGCTTCTCTCCTGCATGAACATAAGGTAATTGTGGCTTCTCGTTTTGTAAAAGGATATTTGACTCCATTCCGAAAGCTTTCTCTGACATATAATGCTACAGCTTCTAAAGGACATGTATCAAAATCACCCTGAAGTGCTTCAGACGAAGATTGAGTTGGAAAGAGCGCAAGAAGAGGTAGAAAATTTCAAGAACTTTTATGGTGACATGGGAGAAAGGGAAGTGTTATTGGAAGAGATTCAGGATTTAAAGATGCAGCTACAGTGTTACATTGACCCTTCTCTTAAATCAGCTCGGAAAACATGTTCCCTGCTAAATCTTTCATACCAAGCTCCCCCAGTTGATGCTATTCCTGAATCACAGGACAAGAGTCTCGTGAAGACATTAGAACAGGAAAGACTTTGTTGGACTGAGGCAGAGACCAAATGGATTTCTCTCGCCGAGGAATTAAGAACTGAGCTTGAAGCCAGTAAGGTGCTGTTGAATAAGCAGAAACATGAACTTGAAATTGAGAAAAGATGCGGGGAAGAGTTGAAAGAAGCAATGCAGATGGCCATGGAAGGGCATGCACGGATGCTTGAACAATATGCAGACCTGGAAGAGAAGCATATGCAATTGCTTGCTAGACATAGAAGGATTCAAGACGGAATAGATGATGTCAAAAAGGCAGCGGCAAGAGCCGGAGTCAGAGGAGCAGAGTCCAAATTCATAAATGCACTTGCAGCAGAAATCTCAGCCTTAAAGGTAGAAAAAGAGAAGGAGAGACAATGCTTGAGGGATGAGAACAAAAGTCTCCAAACACAACTAAGAGATACAGCTGAAGCCATACAAGCAGCTGGAGAATTACTTGTTCGGCTTAAGGAAGCCGAAGAGGGATTGACAGTTGCACAGGTATGTTAGTACATTTTCTAAACATTTCAGGTCACATTCTTGATTAAGTCTGTTGCTTATGCATGTTCTTACATAAAATCTCTGTGGCTTTTGTCAACAGAAACGTGCAATGGATGCAGAGTATGAAGCTGCAGAAGCATATAGACAGATTGACAAGCTGAAGAGGAAACATGAAAACGAAATCAACACTCTTAACCAACTCGTCCCTCAATCTCATATTCACAATGAATGCTCTACCAAATGTGATCAAGCCGTGGAATCATCAGAAAATGCAAGTGAGCAGCAATGGAGAGATGAATTTGAGCCGCTTTACAAAAAAGAAACCGAGTTTTCAAATCTTGCTGAACCCTCTTGGTTTTCGGGTTACGATCGGTGCAACATATAATTCTAATATTCCACTATTTTGTGTGTAATGTGTATAAAATGGGTGTCTGATTCTGTGATATAAGTCCAAAAAAGGTTGCACTTGATTTCATTTGCAACTCCTTCTACACTTTATAACCCTTTATGTACAAATGACGCAAATTCAAATTTGGGGTAGCGAAGTTTCAACTGTAACCCAAAATCGTCAACATTAAGTACCTCAGCTTGAACAAAATCATCACTTGAAGGTAGCGAAGTACTCGACGAGTTCATTTGGAACTGAGTTTGAGTCTCTAAGAATCTTGGAATGCTCTTGCCAGGAGCAAAATACCCTGAAGGAAGTCTTGCCTTTGAGCAAGATATCGACTGCGTTAACTCTCCCAGGCCCAGCTACAACATCTACGCATACATATATTCTATTTCTACTCATCAGATACAGAACATTCTACAAAAGGCAGAGCCAGTCTTTGCTATCAGTGAATACAATAACATAAACATGCGTTAAAGCACAAGTACCTCTGTGGATAATAATATATCTTTAGCATTGAAAGTAGCTCCATGTTTAAAGAACATATAACGTAAAGCATTTCAGCAATAAGGAATATACCTATATAGCTCCATGTTTAAAGAACATATAACGCGGATTATACCTCGAATTGTCTCTGCAATGACTGCACATGGTTTAACTTGAATTATTCTTTGTATGTTTCTATGTTTGTTCTATATGTAATGTAGTGCACTTCATGGTATTTGTGAAGCCCTTGATGACTTTGCTTCATGGTCTGGTTTGAAAGTAAACAAAGACAAAAGTGAGCTCTTCCACGCGGGTTTGGACATGGTAGAATGTAACGCAAATGCTGCTTACGGCTTTCCATTAGGCACTCTACCCATCAGATATTTGGGCCTCCCTCTAATGAGTAGAAAGTTGCGTATAGCTGAATATGAGCCTCTCTTGGAGAAGCTCACTAAGAGATTCAGATCGTGGGTCACTAAAAGCCTATCATTTGCTGGCCGGGTTTAGCTTATCTCTTCAGTTATATTCGGTACAATAAATTTTTGGATGTCCACTTTCCTTCTCCCAAAAGGCTGCATAAAGAAGCTTGAAGGTCTGTGCTCAAGGTTTCTTTGGTCGGGAAATATCGAAGAGGGAAAATCTGCAAAGGTGTCTTGGGCAGTGGTTTGTCTTCCTAAGAGTGAAGGGGGCCTAGGATTACGAAAACTAGCTGAGTGGAACAAGACATTATGTTTGAGACTCATTTGGCGGCTTTTTGATCAAAATGCTTCGTTATGGGCTGATTGGCACCGTTATCACCACCTAACAAATACTTCTTTCTGGGATGTTGCTGCCTCTCCGAGTGATCCTTGGACTTGGAAGATGCTGTTAAACTTGAGGCCTCTCGCAGAGCAATTTATTAAAACCAGAATCGGTAATGGCCTTAGGGCCTCTTTTTGGTTTGATAGCTGGACTAGCCTTGGACCGTTGATAAAGTGCTTGGGAGATTTTGGTTCTAGGTCCCTGAGAACCCCTCTTACCGCGAGAGTCGCTGATGCCTATTGTGATGGCGGCTGGAGATTACCGTTGACTAGATCAATGCCTGCGGCGACAATTTATGACCATCTTTGTTCTCTACCTGCACCTAATGCTGTTCTAGCTGATGATTTTTACATGTGGTCTGTGAATGGTGATGTTTGTCAGGGTTTCTCGGCTGCAAAGACTTGGGAGGCTATAAGACCAAGATGCTCTGAAAAAGCTTGGGCTGCGTCGGTGTGGTTCAAAGGTGCTGTTCCTAGGCATGCTTTTAACATGTGGGTAAGCCATCTGGATAGACTGCCTACACGTGAAAGGCTGGCTGCCTGGGGACAAATCTACTCCGATGAGTGTTGTCTCTGTTCTTTTGCGTCGGAAACAAGGGACCATCTGCTACTCCTCTGCGATTTTTCTTCCCAGGTTTGGAGGTTAGTTTTCTCTAGGTTGTGTCCTCGACAGAGGCTGTTTTGCTCTTGGGCAGAACTTCTTTCATGGACCCGATGTTCTTCTCTCTCGGCGCCTTCTCTGCTTAGGAAAGTTGCTGCTCAGGTGGTAATCTACAATCTTTGGAGGCAGCGTAACAATGTTCTTCATAACTCCTTGCGGCTTGGTCCTCATATTATCTTCAAGATGGTTGATCGTGAGTTACGTAACATCATCTCCTCGAGAAGACATAGGAGTCGTTGGCGAAAGCTAATGATTCTTTGGATTCGTTAGCTCTCCCCAATTCTTTTGGTTGTCTTATTGTAACCTTGTTTTAATTTTTTTTGCCTTGGTTGCTCTATTGTAGGTGCTTACTCTTTGTAAAACCTTTTCATCATTTTTATGATATTTACATATTTAGCAAAAAAAAAAAAAAATGAATGTTTTCAGGATGATATATTTAGCTCTTGATGACTAAAAAGATTACTAAACTGTGAAACTTTGAACTAAATTTCTTGTATATTGTGCTAATTTTACAAATTATTTACCCAATTTAGCTTCCACTGTAAAGTGAGACTGAACAAAAAGAGTAGCTTGTAGATTAAAGTAGAGCAGTCCGGTTCACCGGTTCAATCCACAGAATTTTGCTGGGTTTTGTGGGTCAATGAACATTCCATTTTATACTGTAAACCAGATCCGGTCGGAGAGTCTGGTTCGGTTCGGTTTTGACGCATTTCGTTTCACTTTCTCCGGTCAATTTGATATGTTTAATTTTCGGAGCTGTTGCTTCTTCGTCGATCGCTAGATCTCCTTACGATCTCTCTCTTCTCTCACGAGTCTCCAAGTCGTCCAAGGTATGCAATTGCTCACGATCATGGTTTTAGGGCTTTTTCTTTGACCGATTGATTCATATGCTCTGATTTAATTGACTTTCTCATTTTCCAGACTTTTCAGTAGATTTTTGTGATTTGTGTGATTGGGTCTCTCAATTTCCAAACTAGCGAGCCTCCGCCGTATTTAACTATTCCGGTAAGCTTCTCCTCCACCTTTCCCATCTCTTTGTTCATCGGGTTTAGAGGAGCTTAATGAGTATTTGATTTTGTTTAAGTTTAGCTTAGTTTTTGTAATTAGTGCAATCTGATTTAGTTTGATACTTGCTCATGTTTCATTTTGTGTAGATCTCAAAGTAGAAAGATTGTTAAAAATAATTGTCTCTATTCATGTTGAAAGTTGAAACTTCACCTAAATTAGTCTGGATTTAGTCATAGCTAATCAGGACCTTGTTGTTACTTCGAGTTGATTACATAGAAACTCTAACCTCGGGGATCTTGCTGTTTAGCTCTCTTCTTATCAGGTTAAACATTTGAGAGGGTTTAGTTTTCTTGTAGAGATTTGATCCTAAAGTTGTTTTCTTCTTGATGTTTAGTATAAAAAGTGGTAGCCAAAACTGTCTGATACTAAAGATGCTTTCTTGTTATGTTTGGATTACTTTTTCAGCGCATAACAACGATTCATCAGAAAGAAAGAAAAAGAAATCCTAATTTCGGTGCAAGTATTGAGTAGAAGAACATAATTTCTAAAGCATGGTAAGAATTTCGAATGTAACTCTCTCATTCTACCTATCTCGCTACATTAAGGAGGAAATTTAAACTCTTCTCATCCTCTATTTGAAAATAGTAGTTACTCTTCTGCATTAATTTTTATACTTTACACAGATTGTATATCATTCAAACATGTCCTGTTTAGAAATAATTCATCTAAACAACGTCTAATGCATGCTGAGTTATTGCGATACTCAGTTTAAAATTTGCTTCTGATGGGTCTTTGATATTTCAGGCAAACTCATTACGGTTGTATCTAGCATGCATAAAAAATACACTCGAGGCAGCCATGTGCTTACAGGTACAAACTATTTTGGTTCAATATATCATGCCATAGGTCTCAAAGTCTTTACTTTATGGTTTACTATGTTTAATGCAATAAAAGGTTCATGTTTGCGTAGTCCCTCATCCACGTTCCACCTCTGGTGTATTACTCTCACGTATTGGTTGTTTACTTATTGGTTAGGGATAATGTACCATTATTCACTTTTACTTTTGGCATTTTTTCTCACAATATTTGGTGTTGAATTGAATGTCGAAAAGTCTATGCGTTTCGTACAAGTAGGTGAAAGGGGCCATGTAAAGTCCTTGTAAGATTCAGCTTTACATGGTAAATATTCCTGAAAGCTTCTATATTTCTCTCCTTGCAGAACTTTCCTTGTCAAGAAGTTGAAAGGCATAATAAACCAGAGGTTGAACTAAAGTATGTAAGCTTGTTACAAGAAGATGCATGTGAGAATCGAATGCTCTTGTGCCATTGTCATTTCAAGTTGTAGATTCTTACTATCACCATGTTTTTGCTAATTTTTGTAGGACAAGCCCAGAACTTTTGCTAAATCCTGTAAGAAGTTTGTTTGTTTCCCTCTCGATTCAGCATTGATATTTCACCGTCTTCTTACCTTGGTATTGGAGTTGACTGTTATTCTTTTGTAACATGCAGTTATTGATATGCCGTAATGAGGCTGAAAAGTGTTTAATAGAAACATCTATAAATTCACTCCGGATAAGCCTCAAGGTGATTGTTGATCTTGCCTTAGCTTTTCCTTCAATCACTTGCTAGAAGAGCTCCTGTTGACAAACTGTTCAACAAAGGCTTTGTGTTGTTTTCCTTTCCTGTACAAATTTCTCCTTTTTCACTGTATCCTTTCAGTCTCTCTCCCGAGATAACTTTCCTGAGTCGTGACTTAAACGTCTGTATTGTCCTGCTGTTACAAATATGTGTTATCGTTAATTGGCAGGTCAAACAAGCGGATGAACTTGAAAACATACTAACCAAAAAGTTCCTTAGATTTTTGTCCATGAGGGCAGAAGCTTTTCAAGTACTGAGGAGGAAGCCAGTGCAGGTAGACCTTCTTCTTAATTCAACGCTTAGCTACTTGTGAATGCTACAATTTTTTTATCTTGCTGTTGTAATGCATTCCCTCGTCTGTTGAGGTTCTAATTATTATGGTGAACGCATCACTAATTAATTATATATGACATCCACAGTTTTCATCGCTTTTTCTTCATTTTAGCGTTCTGTCCTAACACTTTATAACTTCACATTATACGCTTAGGATGATGGATGGTTTATATGTACCATACTTGTGAATTCTTCTGAAATTTTAAATCATGGCACAAACCTTTCATATCTTTTCCCTTTTATGAATCATGAATCATCTCACCATGTGGATATGCATGACTTGGCTTTAGATGATTTACTTTTTATCCCCTGCATTGTGTGAGTGATTCATTCCCTGATCTCCTTCAATTGGTTTCTCTGTTGGTATGAACAGGGCTATGACATTAGCTTTCTAATAACAAACTACCACTGCGAGGAGATGCAGAAGCAGAAGCTAATCGATTTCATTATTCAGTTTATGGAGGCAAGTCTTTCTCCAAACCTAATGTTTTTTTAGTAGCATCCGAACAATGAGATATGTCTTGAGTATAGACTTACATCGTTGTGTTTTCTCACAGTACTAATTTGAGAAGTAGTAGTATTCTGAATAGTTGGCCTTTAATTTGAGTTGTTTCTACAGGAGTCAAAGAGATTAGTTACTCTGATTATGTCCTCCGATATACGTATCTACTCTTAATCAGATTTACAAAACTTGAAGTGTAACTATTTTTTACCTTGAAAACTGCAGGATATAGAGAAAGAAATAAGAGACTTGAAGGAGTCAGTGAACACCAGAGGACGACTCGTTGCGACAGAGTTTCTGAAACAGTTCATGTAAAGCAGCACATGAGGTATTATAATGTAACCCCTCATTGTATCAATCACTCATTATTTGGTTAAATTCCATATACACTTAGACATTCTCTTCATTGTGCTACTTTCTCTGTTCTTCTAACACAACCGAAATACCGAACCATCGGCTTGGTACATTGTAGCGTATGTATGCAATACGTATAAAATATGTTGTGTTGATCGTAGATTTTGGAACGTACAATCCAAGAAACCAAAATGTTGTTTTATTTACCACAAAAGGACCAACAAATTGTCAATCGTTAAAATGTTCCCTATGCATAGATTCACATCATTTACCAAACCCTTGTAGCTCGTCTGGTCTGCGAAAGCGCACAAAATTATGAAGACATAAACCATTATTATCAGCAAATTCTCAAATAGATTATAGGAACAAACCCCAAAACGACGTCGTCTCTCTATACACCATAACCCAAAATAGGGCCTAAACGGGCTTTGTATAATATCTTTGGACTCGAACCCGTTTATTTAAATTATTTTTATACGGGCTCTAAAAAATTAGGCCCGTTTAAGTTTTACAAATAAACGGGTTTAAGAAATAGTTAATGGGTATGTTTTACACTAAATGAGAAACTACGTCGTTTTAGTTTAGGTTACCAAAATCGACCAAAACACAAAACTTTGAAGTTCCGATTTCATCATCTTCTTCGCAGCAATCGCAAGAGAACTCGAAGACCCCAAATCCAATTCTTTCTACGACTGAACCCATCAAAACAAGACGATTCTCCGATTTTCCTCTAAAGGGTGGATTCGATTCGTCTTCCTAGGTCCTGGATTGCTTCATGAATTGCTAGGTGAGAAATTTTGTTCCTTCTCCTTTGCGAGTTTCTATGATTGGTGGGTTCGGATTCGATTTGGGTTTGTTTGTTTAGTGTTTGTTTGAATAGATGTTCGGATTTATATTTTTGAAACTTTGAATTATGCAAAGTATGCTTGGTTATTGGATTCAATCAGAGAATGTGTGATTACTGCTTATTGTAGTAGCTACTCTTGGGTTGGTGGTTGGTTAGGTTTTAACTCTTGCTTTTCCCTTGCAGTCCTTTGCTTTGTGGCTTATTCAAAGATGACAACAGTCGAAGCCGGTCAGAAAACTCAAAAGTCTTCTCCTTCCGGTTCTGCTGCTGCCGCTACTGGTAGTCTCAAGCAGTCTTCAGGATCATTTAAAAGGTGGGGAAGGAGACACCCATTTGTAAGATATGGACTTCCGATGATATCTCTCACTGTTTTTGGAGCCCTCGGACTCGGCCAACTCCTTCAAGGCAGGTCAGTTCTTTCTTGATTAAACTAAGCTCTGAATCTATAAATGCCTGGGGTTATATCAATGAATCTGTTTAGAATTCTCAACTTCACCACATATGTTTTTTTTGGTTAGTTCAGTAAGGATATTGCAAAGGTAAAAGATGACCAGGAATGGGAGATTATAGAAACAAGAAAGGCGCTTTCGAGAACAGGACCTGTCGATGCTTATAAACCTAAAAACACATCCATCGAAGAAGAGCTTAAGGTAACAAATATATCCTCAATTTTTGAGATCTCATGATTTAACGATCAGACCACAGAAACGCTTTGATGAAACACTCAAATCTTGACCGGGTTTTGTTTACCGCAGGCTATGCAAGAGAAGGTGGACATAAACACGTACGAGTACAAGAAAATTCCAAAGCTAAACGAAAACAAGTCGAGTTAAGTGAAGTCTTTTAAGAATCATCTTTGTATAACAATTTTCTTTTCAGTTTTAAATTACTATTCACATAAACGCCCAAGTACATATTCCAGCAAGTTTTGGGCTTCCTAAACCAAGAACAAAGAGGGCCACTTTATAATTAGACCACCTCCAAAGATAAGAATCTCTTATGGGTTCTTATCATTTGTTTTACTATAAATTAAGTTAAGAGCTTGTGTCATCGTTCAATGGTAGAACCCCTAGAGGGGATCTTAAAAAAAAAAAAATTAAAAAAAATTATAATATTCTTAAGTAGAAATAAATTTGTTTAAATTTTTACATTTTATATATATAAAACTTAAAAATTATTGCAATTCATAAAATATTAAACATACATGACATAAAAGCATATGAAAAATAGATGTGTAAATCAATAACTAGAATAACGATTAGTTGTAATCTTGATTTGTGCTAATTTTTTGTCATATATGTTCAAACAAATCATATTTCAATTGTTGATGCATTGCTCGATCACAACTCGATTCCAAAATACACATCATATTTTCGAGATTTGAAAGCATATCTGTACAATACGTGAAATCCACTTGTAAAGTTCTGTTTGCTTCCGCTTGTGCTAATTCGGGCATATCAAACTGAGTGTATTCATCTCGTTCGTTTTCTACTATCATATTGTAAAGTATTATACATGCTTGCATAATCTTTTCTATTTTTACTTTATCCCAAATAAGAGCTGAATTTTTGACAATGACAAATCGAGTTTGGAAGACTCCAAAAGCACGCTCGACATCTTTACGGACAACTTCTTGATATGTAGCAAATAAGGATATTTTCGGACCGTGTGGAGTTGAAATAGATTGGATAAATGTTGCCCATTTAGGTTTAATTTCATTAGTGTGATAGTAAGCCAAATGATACTCGTGCCCGTTGACAAAGTAATTCACTTTTGGAGCTCGACCTTGTAATATATTATCAAAAACTGGTGAGCGATCAAGAATATTGATATCGTTTATGGTACCTGGAGGTTCAAAAAACGTGTGTCATATCCAAAGATCTTGGGAAGTTACAACATCTAAAACGATTGTTGGTTTTCCATATCCACGTGTATATTGTCCTTTCCAAGCGGTGGGACAATTCTTCCACTTCCAATGCATACAATCGATGCTTCCTATCATCCCGGAAAATTCAGAGAGACCAAACATTCTGGTAGCATCCCTCCGGGATGATAGGAAGCATCGATTTTATGCATTGGGAGTGGAAGAATTGTCCCACCTCTTGGAAAGGACAATATACACGTGGATATGGAAAACCAACAATCGTTTTAGATGTTGTAACTTCCCAAGATCTTTAGATATGACACACGTTTTTTGGACCTCTAGGTACCATAAACGATATCAATATTCTTGATCTCTCACCAGTTTTGATGATATATTACAAGGTCGAACTCTAAAAGTGAATTACTTTATCAACAGGTACGAGTATCATTTGACTTACTATCACACTAAAGAAATTATCCGAAATGGGCAACATTAATCTAATCTATTCCAACTCCACACGGTCCGAAAATATCCTTATTTGCTACATATTAAGAGGTTGTCCGTAAAGATGTTGAGCATGCTTGGAGTCTTGCAAACTTGATTTGCCATTGTAAAAAATTCAGCTCTTATTTGGGATAAAGTAAAAATAGGAAAGATTATGCAAGCATGTATAATACTTTACAATATGATAGTAGAAGACGAACGAGTTGAGTACACTCAGTTTGATGTGCCCGAATTCGCACAAGCGGAAGCAAATAGAACTTTACAAGTGGATTTCACGTATTGTACATATGTGCTTTCAAATCTCAAAAATATGATGTGTATTTTGAAATCGAGTTGTGATTGAGCAATGCATCAACAATTGAAAGCTGACTTGATTGAGCATAAATGACAAAAATTTGGCACAAAACAAGATTACAACTAATCGTTATTCCGGTTTTTGATTTGCACATCTATTTTTATATGCTTTTATGTCATGTATGTTTAAAATTTTATGAAGGGCAATACTTTTTAAGTTTTAAAAATATAAAATGTTCATAAATTTAATTCTATTTAAAATATTATAAATTTTTTTTTAAGAACTTTGGGGGTTATACTATTGAACGATGACAAATTTAAAAACTTTTACACAAACTATTAACTTTAAATTTTTTAAAATAATGAAAAGTTTTTACATTTGGAAGTGGTCTTAACCAAAGAACGGGGTCTTTAACATCCAATATTTGATCATACATGTTGATTTACGACGTCCAAATAACCTTACAACCAGTTAGACTTTACATCTTTACAACATTTTTTATACAACTTTATTTTCTAATAAATTTCTCACCCAACAATGGTGCGCGAGGAGATCCCTCAATATCGTATATTGTGTCGTTGTGAAACAAATCTTGCCCTCTTTTTGATTCAATGACTCGGCCTCTTACCTTAATCTACTATCAACTTTCCCCATACGCTTTTATTTTTCACCCCTCAAATGACTAGTTCGGACTCAACACTTACCATTTCACCCATGACTCTTGTCGTCGGATCCAGATAATACATAGCATTCTTTTCTCTCTCAACGTTCAGTCGCCTCCAATTCTATCACATTTTCTTCCTTCCTTAAATCATGCGCTTAACATTAAACATCATAGCAAAACCACCTCTAAGTTATACACAACACAAATCCAATACATAAATTTTAAATAACTTAACTAGATAAAAAAAATTATATCGCTCAAAATGAAAGCATTAGATGTCTCTTGTAAAAATTTTCAATTTTATATAACAAAACCACCTCTAATTTGTTGTAAGAGAAAGATCCTCAAATTCAAGTATACAACATCTCATTCAATTAGTGAAATGGATCACCTCCAAATCTCATATGCAATGCAGGTCAAACAAGCGGATGAACTTGAAAACATACTAACCAAAAGTTCCTTAAATTTTTGTTAATGAGCGCAAAAGCTTTTCAAGTACCGAGGAGGAAGCCAGTGCAGGTAGACCTTATTACTTTCAATAACTTTCAAGGTTCAGAAATTACAAAGTTTAGGAAAATCAAAACAAATGAAAGATGAGATCAGATTCTCAGCATCCCTTCGAATCTAGATCTCTCCACATGATAGTCTCATAGCGACTAATCTTCCACTTGATTCAACATGTCCTTCTTAATCTCCTCTCCTCTTATTTATACCAAAAGCATATACTCCATAAACCCTTACTAAACCCTTCCCACGTGCGAAACCTTCCCTGAGAAAAGCATCAATCCTCTCCCGTGTTAGCCACCTCAGCATGAGTACCACTCCTCTGTTTCTTTCTGAAATACACTCTATGCAGCTTATCATGATTCAACTTAACTACTTGTGAGTGCCACTATGTTTTTTTCTGGCAGTCGTAAATGCATTCTCTCTTCTGTAGATGTTCTAGTTATTCTAGTAAACGCATCGCTAATTGGTTATATATAACATACACAGTATTCATAACTTTTCCTTCATGTTAGCGTTCTAGACAGACAATTTATAATTTCACTTTCTAGGCTTAGGATGGTAGATGGTTGTTTGTTCAAAAAAAAAGGATGGTAGATAGTTACATGTACCGCACTTGTGAATTCTTTTGAAATTGTAAATCATCGCGCAATCCTTTCCTGTCCTTTTCCTTTTTATAAATCATGAATCATTTCACTGAGCGGAAAATGCATGCCTTGGCTTTAGATGATTTACTGTTTATTCCATGCATTGTGATAGACTCATTCCCTGACTCCTTTCAATTGGTTTCTTTGTTGGTCTTATGAACAGGGCTATGACATTAGCTTTCTTATAACAAACTACTACTGCAAAGAGATGCAGAAACAGAAGCTAATCGATTTCATTATTATTCAGTTTATGGAGGCAAGTCTTTCTCTAAACCCAATGTTTTTGATTCTGTGACCTTGGTTACATGCAGTAGTAGCATCCTAACAATCAAAATATGTCTTGAGTAGACTTACATGGTTTTGTTTTCTCACAGTAATTACTTGAGAAGTAGTATTCTGTACATAGTTGCTTTAACCACGATCAATTCTGTGACTGGTTTTACCAGTGCAGGATATAGAGAAGAAAATAAGGGACTTGAAGGAGTCAGTGAACACCAGAGGAAAACTCGTTGCTATAGAATTTCTGAAGCAGTTCATGTACGCACGTGACGTGAGGTTTTATTATAATGTAAGCCCTCATTGTATCAATCACTCATTAATTGGTTTAAAAAAATTCATTTACACTTTGACATTCTCTTCTTTTTTGGTACTTCCTCTGGTTCTTCTTACACAATCGAAGTACCGAACCATCGGCTTGATAAATTGTAGAGTTATGTAATGTGATGTACTCATAGTATATGGTATGTTGATCGTAGATGCCATATTTACGAAACGAAGTCTATAAAATTACCCTCAAAGGACAACAACTTTAATTCACCACCATACAAGTTGAAAATTATCACATATTTTGGAACTTTTGGGATATTCAGATTTTAGATTTATGTCCAGATCTAGATTGGCCCTTTTTTGTCCGCTAGTTAATCAAAATAACAATGACACTTGAAGCATCTATATATATATATATTAAGTTCTCATGAATAACGTGGGAAAGATATAAAGAAGGATATTACTTTGAACCGATCCACTAGTAAAATATATAAATATAGGGCATGTGGACTGAGAGAGATAGACAAATTGAGAACCGTATATAAAACAAGAAAATAATTTCCAAGTTTGAAAATCTTTAAGTTCTACTAATCCATGGCGATCTCTCACGGTCATCTTTTTCTTCTTCTACTCCTATCATTCTTCTGGTTGCCTACTTTGCTGGCCATCCCTTTCAGCGACTGTGGTTAGCTACCAACTCTCTTCTTTGTCTTGTTTTTCTTTAAAGAAACGTTTCTCTCTTCTTTTCTTGTTACATTGTTCTTGAGTTAAAAACATTACTCATTTACGTGTACTCTTCACTCGAAAATCTCATGGCCTTAAATCTTTTTGGTTCGGCCGTTTTAGGTGATGGAAGTTCTCCTGTTGAAGTCACTAGTGTGGATATACGTGAGGATAAGGGCATGGCAAGCTTTCAGATATCCGGTTCTACAAGTACCTAATCGATTCCCATTGACCAATCTTCTTCATTTTTATTCAAGTTTTCACTGCTAGTTTGGTTTCCGATATATTTTTCTTGATAAAATCTTTGCGTGAGCAGGTAAAAGTATTAGTAAAGGGGTCATGAGTGTGAAAGCTAAAGTAGGCTCTGTGAATATATAACATGCCCTGTTGCACCTGGTCCCTTCGTGCTTCCTTTTGAAAACATGTTTCCTTCGCATTCACCGGTAAGTTTTTTTTGTACTTTTTGATGATTCCTTTATTTTTGTTTCATTTATAATTTACCTTTGCAGAAACTCAAGGTTTCTGTAAACATTTTTGAGGAAATTGATGATTCTGAGGAGGAAATAATATGCCTCACTTTCAATGTCCAAACTAAACGTTCTGGCGTAGTCTCTGCTTAGTCCAAGTTGAATGATGAAAAAATGTTGTCAAGTCGTATGAGTTTGATCTCTAAATAAATACATGTATGATATCTGAATCTACGTATGTATGTTGTTTCTTTTTTCTTTTTCTTTTTTATCTGTACATGTGTGAATCTACATCTTGTATGTTGTTATAAATAAAGTTATTTATCTGACGACATTGGTTGTAAGCAATAATCGTTGGACAAAACTTCTTTTCCACGCAACATGATTGAATGAGAGGCTCCTTTCTTTAAACGTATATCTGTCTTTTACCCAATTCGAGAGGCGATAAATCATACTCCATAGACATCATTGCTTTGCTTGATTAACAAATATAATCAAAACCCAAAAGGATATAATCAAATTTTCCATTTGAAAGAAGGAAAAAAAAAACAAAAAAAAAAGAATTTCCATTTGAAATGGAATAAACAAACCTCCCTTTAGTCTTTATCAACGAGTTTCATCGAAAACCAATGACTTTGATTTTTAAGAAGAGGATATCTAAAAAATGAAATAATAAACTTTTTTATTCATTTTTTTTTTTAATTCATTTCGCATAATGCAGATTTGGATGTTCTTTTTAGAATTGGTGTTGAAGAGAACTCTTGAGATATAGGGCTTCTTTGAGCTTCCGACCTAGAGCGAACGTCAATGGTGGAGGGACTGCATTTCCAATCCGCCCTAAAAGCTCATAGCTATCCGGAAACCCCTACATTTTTTTATAAAACAGCAATTTCACTTAAATAATTGTATCCATAACCTAATATTACTTAATTTCCAAACCAAAAAATATATACTCTATTACTAGAGGACTGACGAAGAAGGAACATGAGAACTTTTATTACCTGAGATCGGGCGCATTCACGGACAGTGAGAATTCGGTCTTGTTCAGGATGGAAGCACATTCCCACCTTACCCATGGGCTGAGGATTGGTGATGGAAATGGATAAGTTTCCTTGACAGTCCAATCTACCATAGAGTCCCTTCCAATCGTTGTGGTTTTAGCTGCCTCCACAGTAGAGACACAATCATCGACATCTCCACATTTCTCCATTATAGACCTGCCATTAATAACCCATAAACAACTGAAACCACCACGAAAAATAGCCTAAATGGAAGAGTAAAAAGTTTTTCTTTGTTGGCTGGCTATTTACCTAAGAATCACATTGCAGTTGTTAACAAAAACTGTTGTTTTAGGATGGTATTGTTTAAAAGCTTGCCCAGCTGGCTCTTCATACTCGATCGCCCACTTTGTATCAGATATACCTTGTGTATATAAACCATGCATATCAATACAAGTTGTTCAACGTTTTGAAAGATAAAGTGTATGACCAGAGATAAATACATAACATACCAGCCTTTTCTAGACCATAAGACAGGCCACTACATCCACCAAAAATATCTAGTGTAGCTAGACGCATCTCTTTAGGTATCTCATCAGGCTTCACAATCATCACCGAGTCAGTTTCACTCTCTACTCCCTTCCCCTTCTTTTCTCTTAGAAGTGTTTCATCTTTAATAGTAGAGAACTTCAGCTTCATATTGGAAGGCAACTGTTACAAGACATTTCAAGAAACAATACTTCAACTTTGTATAAAAACAAAAAAAAAAGATCATAAGAAATAAAATGTAAGTAAAAACAATTAATTAAAATATTTACCTGCTTGAGATAACTATTAGAGGAATCATAGAAAACTTCACAGAAGAAGATATGATCTAATATTGGATACACACGACATAAGGGCATATCATTTTTTTTCCTTCACATTTTCCATGTATAGCCTCCGGAGGGAGAATATATGTGTCCTGACTCTGTGATGATTGATAAGATAAGCTTTAAAACATTACCTCTTGGTTAATATGTAAGAAAATAGTTTTTTTTTTTTTTTGTTAATATGTACAAAAGAATTGTTACCTCTTGGATGTCTAAAGCATAAGCCTTTACAGAAATATTCTCAGGCCTATAAAACCTTGTCACTTTAACCTGAAAGGAAGCCTTACTAGCTTTTCCAGATTCTTTTAAGACAATGATATCCAACAATTGGCATACAACAAAAGCTTTTAACCCAACCTTCCGACCACACTTAAAAGTTGTTCTTCTACTACCCTTCTTCAATCCATCTTTAGTAATGTAGTGGGCCGGGGAGTACATAGACAAAATCGTCATTATAACACTCAATTCCATTGGAGAAAACCCTTATCTTTGAAATATTGAGTTTAGTTTTGGACCTTTCCTCTTCATTCTCTTTTATCTTACACGAACTGCAGACTCTAGAACCAAGACCCATATCATTTTTTGGAAGACTAAAGAATCCACCTCTCTCAGGTGAGTACAAGCTTTTGGTAGTATTATGTTGGAATACCATTAGGTTTTCTTTCTTCGGCTCTTGCCCGGTCAAGTTTATCCACAGCGATGTTCTCTTTCCTATATTGATGCCCCCACGGCCATGATAGAATCTCAAAACTTACAGTTCCTTTTATGTCTTTGAGCTGAACAGTAAGGCATTCATTAGTCAAAAATATTTTCCTCTCGTTAGCAGCCATCCCTAGAACAGTCTCAGATCCTCTTTGTAAGAGTTTCCCATGTAGCATTTTGCAGTGACCTTAACTCTCGAACATGTACTCCACAAAATAGATCAATGGAGTTTCATCTTGGTCATCAACTTCCAAGATGACTGCCCCAACAACAGCCACCTTTCCACCTCAAACAAAAGCTTTTCCATAGAGAGGCTCACCAGCACAAGTTTTTTTTTTTTTTGGTAAAAGGTGAAATTTTATATCATTTTGAATTTGTTACAGAATTTACAGAGATAACTAGAAACGGGTTAAAGCACGCTACAGAAAATTAAAAACAACATTACTACTCAAGAAGATGCGGATCGTTGCTTAGTAAACATGGCTCAGTCGCGAGAAAAAACACCGATTCCGAGATCGCAAAGTCTGGAAATTTGCGTGGTTGCCACATGACAGAAGAACTGGAGTCCTCATCGTTGTTACGACGAGCTGCTATCCAAATTTAGTCCTCAAAACCTCGCGATAGGAGCCTACAACTTCTCCGAGAACTAACGCAAAAACGCATAGACAACCGTGGACTTCTACAGTAACTCAGCGAGCTAGCGACGCCAGTTAGGCCTATCCGCCGCCTCTATTCAAAACTCTAGAAACCTTGCCATAACACCCAGAAGCTCACATGCACAAATTGAACCGTCACCGACAACAACATCAACAAAAACTCCACCTAAAAGCAACCGGAGCCAGAGTGAAAGGGATAAAACAAAATGGACATGTGGACATGGGTAAGCCATAACCATGGCCGAAGAGGCTACCACCCTAAATTGCCCACTGATGGAGGAGAGACATTGACCACCTGAAACAGAACCCACAACGCCACTAACCGCCACGAACAAACCACATGAGCCAAAACCGACCCCGACGCTTGTTTCCATAAGATAAGCTTTCCAGATTCCAAACCCACCACCACCATAACAGAGAAAATAAGGCGGAGAGACCCAAGAAGTGAAGATTCGCCACTCCGAAAACGCACTGTAATGCCCAAACTAGAAGAGGAATGACGTCGCCTGAGAAAACATGGCAATGCATTACTAGTTTCTCAGATCTGAAGGATGGTCCCGCCGCTACGAACAATACTGCTGCTACAATCGCCTCACCGGGGACAAAACCAAAAACGAAAAGAGACACCGCACGAGGATAGATCGGAGGCCGATCTCGCCGGAAGAGAATCCTAGAAATAACAAGGTCCTCAAGCATTAAAAACCAAGGCTCACCGGGAAAGCACCGTGTGAGAGCACGCGTCGCTTCACCACCAACAAGAGACGAGGAGCAAGCTATGGACTGGACACCGGAGCATCAAAGGTGAGACAGAGGGAACAAACAGAGAGAAAGAGGAAAGAGAGAAGCCCTCTCAGTGCATCGTTGCCGAAAAGGAAAAATTGATTCTGGTTTTAGGGTTGTCGCAAGTCGCATTCGCTTTTTTGAGAGAGAACTGGGGGCGCGCCTCAGGAGTGACTATCGGAGGAGATTGGTGCAGAAGAAGAGGTTGAAGATGTTGAAGAGGAGGGCGAAATGAAGAAGAGGACACTATACCAGAAGCTATTGAGGTTCAAAAGGCTGATACTCTTACGAAAATTCAAGGTAGTTGTGGGGAAATAGAAATAAGATGGGAAGGTGAGATTCTTGGAGAAACTTGTGCTAGTTTCTCCAAGAATCTCACCTTCCCATATTGTTTCCATTTCTCCACAACTACCTCTAATTTTCTTAAAAATATCAACCTTTCGAACCGCAATAGATCTGTATATAATGTCCTCTTCTTCATTCTTATCCTCCTCTTCAACCTCTTCAACCTCTTACTCTACACCAATTTCCTCCGACAAATCATGTGGAGAATAAATGGAGTAAAACTCTCTCTATTTTATTTGACCAAATGAGTGTTTTCGACATCACATCGATTATATCGACGTAAAAAATTAAATATCAGAAAACTTTCAATTCATCAAATCTTCGAAATCAACAAAAAGTTTAGAAAATTACACAAGAAAACATACATTTAGTGAGAGTAGTGAAAAAAAAAAAGAGACAAGCAAATACTTATAAATGGAGCTATAGACTTTTTTTATAATAGAACAAAAAAACTCTTGAAATTTTTTAACATTTAAAGTTGGCAAAAATCTTGTGATACACTGTAAATTACAAATTTATTCAATGTGATGAGCTGTAATTTATCTTTTTCTTTTTATGTTAGTTGACATTTAGCTTTTGGAGAATCTCCTAAATCCTATATTTCTATTAATTAATTAAAAATAATGATGATTCTAATTGAAGATTGAAAGAAACTTTGACCAATTTATATAGAAGATTTCCTTACTCTTTTTAACAATGAGATTTTATCCACCATAAACATAAAGTTGACCCATTTTGAAAAGAAAAAAAAACAACCCTCTTCTCCAAATTTATTTTCTAAAACTAACATTTTAGAGCTGGCAGAAATGGTGTGATACATTGTACATAAATATTTTAATTGTTGTTATGAGTTGTAATTTAGCTTTTTCTTCTTATATTAGTTGAAATTTAGCTTTTGGGGAATATCATAAATCCTTTATTTCCATTAATTAATTAAAAATAAATATTTAAATTGAAGATTGAAAGAAAATTTGACCAATTTATATAGAAGATTTTTTACCATTTTTTAAAAATGAGATTATATCCTCCATAAACATAAAGTGGACCCATTTTGAAAAGAAAAAAAAAACTATTATATTCTTCATTTTCTAAAACTAACAATTTAGGGCTCGCAGAAATGGTGTAATACATTGTACATAAAGATTTTAATTACTGTCATGAGTTGTAATTTAGCTTTTGCGCAATATTCCCTATAAATCTCATATTTTCAATAATTAATGAAAAATTTGGATTATATAGCAACATTGCTTCAAAAACACTATTATATTATTCTTATTAATTTCTAAAACTAACAGGTTAGGGTTTCACATAAATGGTGTAATACATTGTACATAAAGATTTTTATTATATATCATGAATTTAGTACATTATAGGTTAAATATAAATAGAACACTAATTTTGTCACTTATAGCGGGTTATGAATATATATGTCTCGGAGTGGATGTACGTTAATCAATCTTTTTTTTATGCAATGTTTTTGGGCTGTAGATATGTAAATACTTGTCATATTTATCTTCAAGATGTAGATATTTAACATCTTTATAAAATATCTATATTGTGGTATATGGTTGGGTTTTGGACATTCGTCACATACAAAATTTATGTTATCTCATACACAAATATGAGTTTTATATGATGGGCTAATGTATAAGTATGCATACAAGTTATGGTTTTATGGTTTTGGTTTTATAGTTTTAATTTGATTAGGATATTATTGCTTTTATGATTATCTTCTCCTTATTTTTGTTGGACTAGATAGACTCAAATCATATGGTGTTTTCTTATAAATACCGTGAGAACTCAATGGGAAAAGGATATGAGAATTATTTATCAGAAACCGTTTGTATCATTGTTTTTTAGCTCTTGATTGAACCTATCAATTGGTATCAGAACCATCTTCTCGCTTTTGATTAGGACCACTTCGTGGTATCAAAAGCAACCTTCATTCACCATCTATCCCGGTTTTGATTTGGACCACACTTTATGGTATCAAAACCTATTTTTTTATCATGTTTCTCGGTTTTGATCTGAACCACATTGTATGTGGTATCAAAACCTTTATTTCTGTATGTATCTAAAAAAAAAAACGTTAAGGACATGGGAAGAATAGGAACGGGTTGCAGAAGTTTTCTTGAGTTAGTCACAAACCTTGAGGACAAGGTTATTGTTCGAGGGGAGGGTATTGATGGGCTCATGAAACGTGACCGGCCCATACAAGTTTATGGTTTTATGGTTTTATAGTTTTATTTTGATTAGGATATTATTGTTTTTTATGATTATCTTCTCCTTATTCTTGTTGGACTAGATAGACTCAAATCATATAGTGTTTTCTTATAAATACCGTGAGAACTCAATGAAAAAAAGATATGAGAATTATTTAGCAAAAACCGTTTGTATCATTATCTTTTAGCTCTTGATTGAAACCTATCAAAATATTGGTTGTTTCACATGAATGAGTTTGATGTTTGACTTTAGTATAGATATCATAGTTTTGGTTATATTATGTTGGTAAGTTATTTGTTTTGTTTTCGAATAATAAACACATTTTTACCCGTATTGTTAGTATCATTTATTTTACATGTCATTTTTTTTTTGTCGTCAACTTAACTTTCCATTACACGGAAAATCAAGGTACATCATTCCACGATATTACAAATTTTAACTTTTAAACTCTAGCATCCGTAGCTAAGTAATCAGCGACATAGTTAACAACACGAGGAACTTTTGTAAAACTAATCTGATCATAAGCCTTATGCAATATTCCTAATATCTTCCGTATGAGTTGACAAAGCAGAATGTTCACGTCGGTGGTGTTGATGGTCAACTAAAGAGTCTATAAGTCTCTGAAACAGATTTAATTAAGGCATCACCACAAAACATAACATTCTTATACCCCAACCTGTTCACATGCATCATTGCCGACCTTAAGGACTCTGCTTCTGTTTCAATAGGTGTGGTCATCGGATTGATGGATGCCATTCCTCGGAGTACAAACTGAACATCCTTGTTGTAAAGCACCCATCTTATTCCTGCACATTCTTTCGGAGAACTCCATGATTCATCTACTAAACAAACATAAGTTTGCGATTTGTGAATAATATTACGGAGTTCATGCCTTATATCCAACACCTGTTTAGATCTGTTACAATCTCTAACTTGATTTTCTATTGGTTTCTCATGATTAACTTTTAAGCTTTTTGTCCACTATTGGCAATCTAACTTATATAGCCTTGTTTATAGTATTTGTAATTAATGGACCATCTCTTGTTGATAAAATATAGATCATTTCTCATTTTCTGAATAAGCCATATCAATAAATTGGTCTTAGAGGTTTTCTAATTAAAACAATATCGAAAAACCAACGATTTTTTATTTTATGACACGTACTCACAAAGTAGGAGGAGCAAGCTTCCGTACGTCGTTTTTCCAAAATGTTTTTTTTTTTTCTAAGGGCAATGGAAATGAGCTTGTTTATGATTTCGAAGCAAACACATCAAAATCACAGACGAAACTTTTATGCATACACCGCCCATTATATATGATGAGTATGTGCGTGACGGCGTAAATCATCTTAAACTTGGTAATCATACTCTTTTTTTTGTCAAAACGAATAATTTAGGATTTTAAAGATATACATATAATCATGAATCTCTATATATACATATACGGATGCCGTGTTAATTCTGAATTCCAAGAATCTGCATGCATTTCGAATTTTGTAAGACAGGACAATGAACTCGTTGGTTTAATAATTTAAATTTGTTATGAGTTTATGACTTGAGGTTTGGTTGGACGGACCACCGCCTTATCCAATCCTCTTGTTAATTTATATTGCCAACAACTATCTATATTTCTCATTTATTAGTCAGGAACCATACTTGAGAACCAAAATGTGTTGCCTCTTAAATGGCCACATTTAAACAAAATCCACAGGCCGGTCATGCATGGAAAATTTTATATGCTCTAGTTAATACCGAAATTCAATATACAATTTTCCTTTTTTCAATAAGTCAATTTAAAATTTGAGGGAGAAAATAATATCCAACCTACAATCTATCCAATGGCCTCTCATTTCTAGAGCATATATATGATTTTGTCTTAAATGCAATGTTCTATTTTTTCTGTGTACTTCATACACTGTACTTAACAAACCTAAATAATACTACTCCACAAAAATGTGAAAATTATAGACCTATAAACTAAACAAATAAAGAAATAAAACGCTCTTTTGTTGTTTTTTTATTTGAGGTACATATATGCGGGCTAACCTAGAAGCTACAAAATCATAAAATTAGACACTAAAACCCTAAAGATGAGTCGGTAGAAAATATCACAAAGCCTACGAGATTAAATCGAACATAATAGCTATATCAATATCTCTTCTTTGGTATCATAAAAGTAACAAGAACATATTGTCTTAATAAACTAAGTCTAATGAAATCGGAAATTGGATTTCATTGTATGTGCATGACATGCCATGCCGGCTGGAACAGATAGAGATCGAAGAGGCCGTTAGGTCATAGTCACACGTGAAGGAGGTACGAGGGAAGTGACACGTCGGATGTGGCACCAAATCTAAGACATGAGATAACACAAAGTACAAAGGGAGAAGTGTGGCCATTTCCATGCCAGCTTGTCTCACTCCCATTCTTTCTTTTGTTTTTCTTCTTGTCGTCCACTTTCTCATTTCCAATACTAGAAACAAAAACGACCATTAATATTTATCTTTTAGATTATTACAAAACAAATGGGTTACCTTGTCGTTTTCTCCTACTTATTTCGGTAGTAGTTTAACTATGTAACACCATAGCCTCCTTTAAAAAAGGGTGAACTTATGTGATTACTTTAAGAAAATAGTTTTCAATGTAATACATTACTATGTTTTTCTCATAAATATTATCAAAATCCTGCGATCTTAAAATAGATTAAGAAAATGTTCCTATTAACTTTAGGAAAACAAAAAGAATTCTAAATTAATGTTTTAGTAATTCTCACTAATTGTTTCTGTTAATCAAAATTCAATTATGGATGCAGGATAACTGATCGACAGAGGAGAAACCTAGTTTACAACCAAAATCAAAACATTACGAATTTTAACAGTTAGTCAATTTGCCCAAAAACACAAGGCCAAATAGTCTATTTTAGAATATAACCTGTAGGATTAAAAAAACAGAAAACTTACTAAGGCCCTGGTCTTTTAATTAAGAAGCGTGTGATTCTCTCCGTGCCACTGATTTGTATTAACTAAATTGTCTTTAAGTTTTCTTCATCTCTAATATTTTTTGTCGATGCGACTGAAAACTTGAGATTTCAAAGACGGCGACACAACCCAATCCTTAATTTCAAAAAAGCGATGGTCGCTGAGTTTTAAATTGCCATCATCGAAGTTTACATATCTCTTCATTTTTATCATCTTTCTTCAACTTAAAAAATAATTCAATTAGAAATTTAATAAATTTACAGTTATGCCCTTAGAAAGACTCTTAATTACAAGGTTAAAAAAAAAAAAACTCAATTTTTTAAAATCGGTCGCCGATAAGAGAGACACGATTATGAAAAAAACATGGCCTAAATCTTTCTCGCATAAAAGAAAACTCATCAAAAATATTGAAGAACGTTTCTGAAGATGAATGCGTCATCTTAATCACCTCCAACTAACTCTTACTAAATATTTAAGAACCCTTTCTAAACCTTATTTTTTGTTACAATTTTGAAACTTTACCAAAGTAAGAGTATATTTGAAACCAATATTAGTTTTCTACTATTTTAAAATATTTTTCTAATTCACAAGCATTGAAAAATCACGTTAGAACTTCGTTTGATTGAAAGAATCACTCACTATTTTTTGAGTATGCTATATAAAAATAAAGAAATAAACTATACTAAATTATCCTCATAGTTGTGGTCCAGTGGTTTGTTCAAAAAAAAAAAAAAAAAAAAAAAAAAAAAAAAAAAAAAGTTGTGGTCCAGTGGCAGATAGATTTAAGAATGTGGTAAAACACTTTCTGTAGGGTTCAAGTCTTTATGGAAATAAAATATCACATCTATGTGTAAGTTTAGGATTTGGGCTAAAGGTCAAAGCAGTTTACCTAGTAGTACGGTAACAGGCGATCTGGTTATCAATACATTAGTCGAAAAGTATTCCAAACTCGGAACAGACAATGTGGTGATCCTTCAGAAAAAAATCCACCATGTAGCACTTCATTGCGTTTCTACCGAAACTGACCAGATCAGCCGATAAAATTTATCTAAAAAAAAAAACTATACTAATTTTGAAAAGCATGGGGAAGTTCTACCAATCATAAATATTCGTAACCCTTTAATTATGATTTCTCCATAAACTTTTGTCCTGCCTTGTTATTAAATTATTATTACATACAGAGCAATGGATTTGATTGATTTCAATTGACGATCCCTTTTATTACATAGAAGAATTTGCAAGTTCCATTAAAATTTCCAAATGATTTGTTACAAAGCGACAAGATGACTCGAAATAGGATTTCATTCACAAGAGAGCTGGATGATCGACACTACAAAGATAATTTATTGGTTTGGTTTGCATCTTGGGGATCCTAGGGTCCTAAATCATGCTCTTAATCTCTTATCGATGTAAACTCCTAAGTTTCAAGTTCTTGTAAAAATGTGTTAAGGTTTTTTTGAATATATTTTAATATTAATTAAATTTTGTCAAAGTAAAAAAGAAAAGGTATAGCTTTTGTATAAAAAAAAACCTTTCTTTAATCACTAGGATGCGATCAAATTCATAGAATGATGGATTAATATATACATTCTATCTTCACTAAAAAAAAAACTTTAGTGAGTTAAATAATTTGATCGTTTTAAAAAAATTTATTAAAGGAAGAAAAAAATCTAAAAGCCTATAACGAAAAAAAGGAGGCTCGAGGCATTGATGGGTCATGACTCATGAGTGAAGCAGAAAGAGCTGGCAACAGCTATCGACTGAGTGATTACGAACTCAGTACTCAGTAATCAGTACTCAGTACTCAGCTCTCACTCTTTTTTTTGTTCTCTTTCTTTTGGACAGCTTTCATTTTCTCTTTTCTTTTTTCTATTTTGTTTCAAAATTCCACCCATATTAAATAGGCCTTATCATGAGAATAAAGGAAATACTAATGATTGCTTTCTCAATAATGCAATAACATGCAATTACTAGTATTATTAACCATATACTTTACTATTGAAAAAGAGCAAATAAATGGAGTATATAAACAAACTTTCAAAAACAAATAGAGTTAAGTTAGCTTCCCAATGCTTCTCCACCTATATATATACATATCCCCTTCTTAAACCCATCTCACACCAAAACACAAAGCTCTCATCTTCTTTAGTTTCCAAACTCACCCCACAAGTTTTTTTTCTACCAACCAAACCCAAATGGGTCGAAGTTCGAGCCTCACCACCGTCGTGGCGGCTATTCTTCTGGTGACATTGGTCGGTTCGGCCTACGCAAGCAACTTCTTCGACGAGTTTGACCTCACTTGGGGTGACCACAGAGGCAAAATCTTCAACGGAGGGACGATGTTGTCTTTGTCATTGGACCGAGTTTCCGGGTCGGGTTTCAAATCCAAGAAAGAGTATTTGTTTGGTCGGATCGATATGCAGCTCAAACTCGTCGCCGGAAACTCCGCCGGCACTGTTACGGCTTACTACGTACATTCTCAAACTCATACTCACTCACACTGTTACTAAAAACAAGACACTCTTTCTAAATTTGTCTCAAATTTTGCAGTTGTCATCACAAGGAGCAACACATGATGAGATAGACTTCGAGTTTCTAGGGAACGAAACAGGGAAGCCTTATGTTCTTCACACCAATGTCTTTGCTCAAGGGAAAGGAGACAGAGAGCAACAGTTTTATCTCTGGTTCGATCCCACCAAGAACTTCCACACTTACTCCATTGTCTGGAGACCCCAACACATCATGTAAACATCCATCGATCTCTCTTTCTCCAACACTTGATGAAAGACGTAAATCTTGACTTTCTTGTTCTTATCTCTGCAGATTCTTGGTGGACAATTTACCCATTAGAGTCTTCAACAATGCAGAGCGGCTCGGTGTTCCTTTCCCAAAGAGCCAACCCATGAGGATCTACTCGAGCCTATGGAATGCAGACGATTGGGCCACGAGAGGCGGTCTAGTCAAGACTGACTGGTCCAAGGCTCCTTTCACAGCTTACTACAGAGGATTCAATGCTGCGGCTTGCACCGTCTCTTCAGGATGTGACCCTAAATTCAAGAGTTCATTCGGTGATGGTAAATTGCAAGTGGCAAACGAGCTCAATGCCTATGGCAGGAGGAGACTCAGATGGGTTCAGAAATATTTCATGATCTATAATTATTGCTCTGATCTCAAAAGGTTCCCTCGTGGATTCCCTCCAGAATGCAAGAGGTCCAGAGTCTGATGCAAACATATTATCTCATATTTCTCTGCTTGTTTGATGCAATTCTTAAATTCCTCTGTTATTCCATTGTACATTGTCAAGGTCAATAAAGCATCCCTGCTTTAAAGAGACTACTAATGTCTTTCACTTTACCAATGAAGTACAATCAGAAAAATGTGGAGACATAAGAATCAACAAGTCTAATGCATAGGTACCTCTAGGGGTCGATTCAGTTCTTTGACCTACAAGTGCCTAGATAAACAAGCTCTATGTGTAAACAAGTCAAACACGCTCAAACCTATATACATGACTTTGTTACAAACTTTGTAACTAAATAACACTAACAGCTAAACTGAGCTAACAAAAGTTTGAGCTTCCTGTTCGTTCCTCTAAATCAGAGAGTGGCGCCTCAACATCGTTAGAGCATGTATTCAAATCTGTAGCTTCACTTGATGCCCCTTTAGTCTCAGTGGCTGGAGCTATTTCCTCTGCACGATTACTGGTTTCAGGCGTCACTAGAAGAACAAATAAAGACAAAGAACAGTCAGTTTCTAAGTCTACCAGATTGTTTTTTTTTCAATACAAGCTATGATTCATGTATACTATATATATAATTCACCTAGCCACAGAAGACAGTAAGATCTAAATGTACCAATGTAACAACTATTACCGACATTGAATATACCGTGCACTAAGCATGACTATCAAGAGACTAACCAGGATTACCCTCTGATTTCTCTTTGAGATATGAAAGCATTCTTCTGTAATTTACAGAACCTGGCACTTTAAATAGCTTACGTTTGGAGCACAACTGTTTCATGTCAAAACAGGGGAAATGTTAAAGACAGATGGAAGAACAAAATCAAAATTTTGGACGCAACAAGACTGAAGATGATACCGAAATATTGGTGCCACTAGATGAAGTCATCTTCTTGAAAGGGCTAATGTTTCCATGTAAACTTTGAGCTGATGGTTTATCAAAGTTATTGGTAGATTGCCAAACAGGCTCGGTTTCAAGAAGTCGGTTCTTCGCTGCCATCGATTCACCTCTTTGATTCTCTAGATCTTTCGCATCAATACCATCTGCAGCTTCCATCAAGTAAGGAAGCAATCTTCTATAGCTCACCGAGCCAGGGTTCTTAAAAATCTTTTCCGGATGACGAATCTATCGGTGTACATATCAAAAAGAAGCAAATTAAGCAACCGGTGAAGAGCCAATATTGCAGTTTAAACATGAGGAAAAAAAAACATACCACTTTGCTGCCGAGATTGGTACCAACTTTCTTCCCAGAAACCCCATTGATCTCTTGATTGATAGAACCAGAAGGTTCACCGGTAAACATTTCCGAATCCGGTGGCGTCGTTTGTGGAGATTCCACATTTAGCTCCTTGATTTGATTTTCTCCTTTCATGTGAAAGTCCCAATCGTTAGAAATCGAACTCGGAGAGAATACGCGTCTGAGACACAGATTCTTCACCGTGACACAAGAACAAGCTCGAGGCATTTGAGTAACGATTTTCCCGGTGAGCGATGACGCATGATGGTGACGAAGATCTGTGACAATGTGAGACACTGCGGATGCAAATCTAACGGAGGAACGATTGCTCTGAGTCCGTAATTTGCTTGCCATAAGGTTCTGGGAGGTAGTATAACGAACTGAAGAAGACGAAAATCGCATCTTCTTCCTCAAGATATTATCTGATTCCGCCATGGAAGAAGAGCTCGCGCCAAAAGCTAGAGAGACAGAGAGACTGTTTGTTATTTTGGCGGGATTTGACCGTATGGCTTTATGATGTTCGGCGGGAAACCAAGGCTTAGTGGATCCAACGGAAGCTTTGTGGGCTTGGCCCATTAATTTGGTTCAATTTTTTGGTTAGTGTCGGTTTAAGTAAACCGTATTAAAAAGGTTTTTAAAACCTGTAAATCTCTGAGAATTTTTTTCTTTTCCCTAAAGAGCGATCGTCATCTTCGCAAAAGCTTCGAGAGTAGTGCAATCGAACTCAGTCATGGATCTTTCTCCTATTAAGGAAGCTTTAGCCGTCAAATCCTTTGATAAAATCGCGGATATTTGCGATAATCTCATGCTTCAGGTCCGAAATTTCTCTTTTTTTTTGTTGTTCATTAGGGTTTCGTAAAGTGGATTTTGTGGGGTTAATCGTTTGATTTATCGCTTCATAATTTTTATAGGTTGCTTCCGAAGGAATTGATTATCATGATGATTGGCCTTACGCAATCCATCTTCTGGGTTACTTTTACGTTGACGATTGGTGAGTTTGATTTTTTCTTTGATGTTATTGTTTTCGTCGTGAACCTTAAATCAGTTCCTTGATGAAATTAGAGATGGTTTCTTTGGATTCTTGGGATCTTTCTAAGGTCTAAAGATCTGCTTTTTACATTGTCTTGTTTGTATCCAGTGAGTTGAGAATTTAGAACTTGGCAAAAGTTGATAGTTGTTGATACCCCTTTAACAGTTTTTTCTTTTGTGTCTTGATAGTGAGTGTAGTATATTGAAACTATAGAGTTATGGTTGTGGCCGTATGGAGTTGGATTTTTTTTTGATGGTTGTTGTGCTTGTTTGGAAATACTGCAGTGATAGTGCCCGTTTTCTCTGGAAAACGATACCTACAGCTATCAAGGAGAGGAAGCCTGAAGTTGTTGCAGCTTGGAAGATTGGTCAGAAGCTGTGGACACACGACTATGCAGGTGTATATGGAGCTATTCGGGGTTATGATTGGAGTCAAGAAGCTAAAGATATGGTTGCTGCCTTCTCAGGTAATTTTTCTGTATTTAAGACTACTTAGCTAGTATGAATTGGTTTCTTGAACTAAGCTTGCTGATTTCTTATGTAGTTGTGTACTTTATTACTTCGTATTCCTCTCTAGGTTTCGAGCTTTGATCTTCATATTGAGATCGAATAGCTGTGTTATTGTCTTAACTTGTGAGGCCTACTTTAGGATTTTTGTTATGTATGTGCCTTATCACTTCTTGATTAAAAAGTAGCTGCTTCTGTGATCAAACTGAGAGAGTGGTAGGTAGACTCACACAGGGAGGAACAAAAACTGAATGAGCATTTAAAGACATCAATTGTTCAACACCTGACCTTAATGGCCACTTCTCATTTGTTTAACTTTACATTCCATCAGTCTCTAATTCTATATCTGAATTGGGTTGTTGCAGATCTTTACACAAAAAGGATGTTTCAGCTTTTGTTGTCTGCCTACTCCACAATTACCATTCATGATTTAGCTCTTTTCCTTGGGATGACGGAGGATGATGCCACAACTTGTAAGCTTCTTTCTGCAATTTCCTTTGCTTTCAAAAGATTAACTACCTCATCCCACATTAATTCTCAGACTTCTACTTAAGTCATTCTTATATTGAAACTAATCACAAAAAGTTATCTGGGAATGTATCCACTTTAGAAGAATCTCAAAGAGTTTGTGGCAATCTCTTAGCTTAGTGTTTTTGTTGGCATGGATCTAATGACAATCATATATGTTATGGAATCAGAATTCACTATATAATTGTTTTCCTTTTTGCTGGATATACACAGATGTTGTAGAGAATGGATGGACAGTGGATGCAACTTCTCAAATGGTGACTGTGAAGAAAGAAACTGTTAAAAGAGAGCAAAAGGTGGATTCATCGAAGCTGCAACGCTTGACGGAGTATGTGTTCCACCTTGAACATTAGAACAAAGGATCAATCTCCTATTAAGATAGTGTATTCAGAGAACAAAATTTGTTTTTGAGAGATTTCAAAATGACTGATTCTATGTTGCAACATATCTTGACTCTGGAGTATATGACCAATTACTCTTGCAAGATCAGTTTACACAAAAAACGAACTGAAACAAACAAAAAATGAAGTTAACAATTTAACATTGTGAGCCAAAAAGTACAAAGCCTATATAACACGTCTTTAGAACAAACTTAGGTAGAAACAAGAAAAGCGACTACAAACAAGCTAGGGTACTCCCAAAATTTTGTTCATCTCTGAGATAAAGGAGGATAATCTTCAAACCTGAAGGGTAAGCGGCCTATTTGTCGACACAGTAGAGATAAGCTGGACAATGCACTTGGATGAAGCTACTTTAGAAACTAGCCTCCCAAGCCGGCTTAAAACTTCAATTACATTTCCAACACTTGGTGTATTGTAGTACAATATCATCTTTTCAAGATTCGGCATTGTCTCCAAGAAATACTTGATCTGCTTCTCCATGTCATCACTAATTTCACCAAATTTCAGTATCTTTATAACCTTCACCGGACTTGATGATAAGCAACTGAGAATCTCCTCACGAGGTTTGTAGCACAAGCACGCATCTCCACATCTATCCGTGGCTTTGTGGATGATGCCCTGAAACAACATAGTGAAATATTCTCAAACTTTGAAAAATGAGTCAACAAATGCTTTTCAAGGGTTTATTTCATACTTGGAAGATAAGAGTTTCAAGATTTGGAGAATTCTTGAGCAAGCCCGGTACTGACTGCCATCCTACGTTCGGATTACTCTCGATGGTTAAATGAGTCAGGTTGTTGAATAGCGGTATTGCATCACAACTGTAAGTAAGTACCTGAAACAAAACCATAACAACTAGATTATCATCACTCAATTGCAGTCACTAACTCAAATCCTTAAGCAATGTTAAAAAGAAGAAAGATGGGAATAATGAAAACAAACCTGAAGAGTGTTGGCAGATAGATAAAGCGTCTTCACATTGCATATTCTCATTATAAAATCTGTTGCATTGCCAACCATATCATTTTCCCCATAACCCTGATGGTAATTTATCAATATGGGTTTCAACAAGCTAAGATCGATATGAGCTTCAACAAGCGAATCGAAATTCACTTTCGGATACTTCCCTGCAACAGTGTCAGTAAACTTCAAGTAGACAAGATTCGGAGTATCCAAAGACACACTCTTTGGAAACTCACCTCGCTCTTGCCAGCTAAACCTTAGTCTCTTGAGAGTTGGGACAGACACTGAGGCGAAATCCCATATGAACCAAGATATATCATCCAGAACTAAATCCTCAAGCATGGGACAGCCAGAAAGAAACTTGCTAAGCCCAATACCATGCTTTTCAAAATGGCTTGACTCAATATAAAGTGTCTTAAGCTTTGGGAGATGAACATCTTCAAAATCAAAGAGGGGATATTGCCCAAAATAAATCTTCAGCCTAACCAGTGTCTTGCTCAGGTAGACCTTTGAAGGAAGCAGAAATTCTGATTCCAAATCTAGGTCTAGATGAAGATCGGATACACCGCGGTCCAACACATTGTGTATCCAAGGAATGATACGGACTGGATCAACGCCATCTCTGATCTTTAGAGAGAACTTGTGTAATGGAGAATTGCCTTGCAATGCCAAGACTCTATCCACAAAATCCATAAAACTTGTGGAAATGTCCGTCTTATTCCCAGGATTTAGATAAGCAGAGTCATCCAAATCAAGATTAGGGACAAAAGCAAAGAGATACCGCCATTTTTTCGAAAGAACTGATGTGGAAGCAGCTTCTTTAGTGGGAAGGAAAGACAGGATATGGCAACTAATCTCTTCCGGTAAACTACTGATTACATCTCTACGACCACAAAGATCCATCTTTTTCAACTACCTGAAAACCAAAGACACAAAAAGGATTCCAAAGATTTCAACTTTCTCACAATGTTCCTCTACGAGAAGCTAAGAATCAAACAAACATGCTAGGTTGAGAAAATAAGAAGAGCAGAAGATGGATATTGAAACTTACTTGGAGATAAAAGCAGAGCCCACCAAATTCACTCAACTATTGTAGAAATTTAGGGTTTTTGGCGATCGTATTTGTAGGCAAGAGTGAAGAAGAAACTGTGAGTTCTTAGGCTAGCCTTTTTTTAGTGTCATGTCCTAAAAGGCTAAAAGATTTTGTAAGATTCTGTAAGATATTTTGAACTCAATTAGATAAAATAATATATTTAATCAGATATACTAACACTTAACAAAAACATTTACTTGACAAATTTTGATTCATAGATAATTTATTGGTTTGATTAACAATATACATATTGTAATCGATAATGGTTTTAATTTTTTGCTGGAGATTTCACAATGACTGATTCCAAGTTGCAACATATCTCGACTATGAGTAGTGAGTAGTGAGTAGTGAGTAGTGAGTAGTGAGTAGTGAGTACTGATATGATGAGCTGATTTTGGTATTACAGTGAGCTTCTAATCCTATATAATATAAGTTAAATTAGTCTCTGAAACTTTACAATTCTACAAATCTCAAAATAAATTGTTCCATTTATCACCAATCTATCTCCATCTTCATCTATCACTTTCGTAATTAGATTATTTTTTAATATAATGTTCATTAAAAACATCCCAAATGTGTATGGCGTAAGCTTTACAAGTTATGATCCAACTACAAAAGAGTCCAATAAGAAAAATTGCCGGAAACGGAAAATGAAGGATCAGACTCTGCTGATGAACGACTGCACGGTCGGTGGCCAGAGCATTAGATCCGGTGAACCCGAAATACCCAGCTTTATGTCGTTCCAATAAAAATGGTTGTCCGAATCAAAAAAATTTGTGATCCCTTTTTCTAACCATTCAAAATTTTAAACAACAATTTTTAGTGAAAACAAAAATTTATGACTCCTAAAAAATTATTATCACTAAAAGAAAAAATTGGTAGCCTTCAAAAATATAAACTAAATTGGTGGCTCTAAGCGGTTGCTTAGCCCGCTTGTCCTCTGTAACGGTATTTTGTATCATTTTACATTTAGTTGAATGTGTTTAAGTGCTTTTGTGTTTTTAAAATATATCAAACTAGATCATCACCCGTACTACAGTACGGGTTAAATTTTATTTATTACAAAATTTATATATTATATATTTTAGAATAAAGTTGTGATATATTATAATAGTAATTGAAAAATAATTAGATTTTTGTCAGTCCCTATATATAATATTACAATGAATATATTTTCTTTTTTTAATTATACTTAATTATGGATATATTTTTTAAGATATGAAAACGGAAAATAAAATTATTTTAATAAATTAATATGGTCTGAACAATGAGTTAATTTATATTAACAACCACAAAATGAGATTGCATATAATTCAGTTAGATCAAAAATCAAAATATTATAAATGAATCGCTTCTAAAACGTAGATTATTTTTAATTAATTAAGAAAGTTAGCTATTATTTGGAATTAATTTAGGAAATTCTTTTTTCAATTTCTAATTCTTTGGTTATTGAAATAGAGATTTGTTTGAGGCAACTACGTAATTTACCAATTATTCGCGTAATCGAATATGTTATGAACATATATTTAGTATATAATATACCAAATTCAACCCGTGCGTAGAGTCTATATTTTTTATTTTAGAATCCTAATAAAAATATTGCGTGCACAATCTATTATTCGTTATTTCCAAAATTGCTTGCACAATCAAATTTTCAAATATTTTGTGGTGTCAACCTTATTTAATCTATCTGATCATATAATCTTAACATGTCGTCTATTATAAGGATCATAATTTTATATCATATAATATATTACATTTAACCTTCCGCCTACTATAACTATTTTAAATATATCTTTTTAGAAAATCAAATTAAAGTATTTATAATTTTTTATCTTTTTAATCTATTAAATATTTATGATATTCATTAAAATATTAAATTAAACTATTTTTAAATGTTCCAAATTAAAATCTTTAAAAATATTTCTTGTAGTATATAAAATTATGAATTTCAAAAAAGAATTATATGAAATTAAATAGAAATATTCAAACAGTTATAAGGATCATAACTCATTTGTTAATATAATATATTATATTTAACCCACTGCCTATTATAAATATTTGTTTTGAAAAAATTAAATTAGAGTATTTATTGATGATATTCTTTAAATATTGATGATATTCTTGAAAAATATCAAGTAAAATTAATTTTATATGTTGCAAATTAAAATATTTAAAAATCTTATTGTAGTATATAAAATAATACATTTCAAAAAATAAATGTATGAAATTGAATATAAATATTCAAATTCGGACCCATTACTCAGTCGAAATTTTTGTTGAACTTATTTTTGGTTAAAAGAAATATATACTCAAATGTGAATTTTTGACCCGTTAAATTTTTTTCTTCATAGATTTAACAATTTATATTCGTTTTTAAAAATTCAAATCTTGGCATATGCAGAAAAAATTTATTTTTTTTGTTATATGAATGATATGATGATTTATTTGTTTCATAAAAATAGAATCATATAAAGATGAAAGGTGAAGTATAATGATTAATAACAAATTAATATGGTAAGTTAGATATCAAATCTTATATGTTCATTTTGATTGGTCATTTTTTTTTTTAAGTTAATAATATATTTTAGTTTTTAATAATTAAATTTCATAAATTAGTATTTGACTTGTTTATCCTTAATGAGCTAAATTAATTTATTCTTTATATTTTTATCTCTAATGTCATTCTAATGTAATAACTTACAAAGGGGAAAGTTATTAAAGGGTAATTATAAATTGTACTCCCCAAATAATAGTATAGGATTCTCAGTTTTGTTTATGTATTAAGTTAGCAAACATAATTTTTTTTTTTTAAAATACTAACATTAAAGAAAAGAAAAAAAAGACAACAACCATTTCCTTAGTATACCCAATGACTACACCATGGTGGTTGGTTGTGGAGGTTGAGAACTGATCAAAAACAGACTGAATTCTTTATCATCTCTTTACTTCTGGCTGTTACTCGTCGGTCGTCACAAAGACTTTTCTCATCCACCGGTCTTGTAAGAGACAGATAGTGTAAAGATGGTCAATTGGTTATAATCTTATACCGTTTATAGTTAAAATAATTTAGCTATATAGCTTGAGTGTGTTCTTTCTTTTACTAAAACTTACAACATATTCAAAACATCTAAAATGGCCACTTCCATCAATGGTTCCCGTCGTCCACACTACTTGCTTGTAACATTCCCGGCACAAGGTCACATAAACCCGGCGCTTCAACTAGCCAACCGCCTCATCCACCACGGTGCAACCGTCACATACTCCACTGCCATCTCTGCTCACCGTCGTATGGGCGAGCCACCTTCCACAAAAGGCTTATCCTTCGCTTGGTTCACTGATGGATTCGACGACGGTCTCAAGTCCTTTGAAGACCAAAAAATCTACATGTCCGAACTCAAACGCTGTGGTTCAAACGCCCTGAGAGACATCATTAGAGCCAATCTTGACGCCACCACCGAAACAGAGCCTATCACCGGGGTAATCTACTCTGTTCTTGTCCCGTGGGTTTCTACGGTAGCGCGTGAGTTTCACCTCCCAACTACACTTCTCTGGATTGAACCAGCTACTGTACTAGACATCTACTACTACTACTTCAACGCTTCCTACAAACATCTCTTCGACGTTGAACCGATTAAATTACCGAAACTGCCACTGATCACCACTGAAGACCTCCCGTCGTTTCTTCAACCGTCGAAGGCATTACCGTCAGCTCTTGTGACTTTAAAAGAACACATCGAAGCTCTCGAATCGGAATCAAACCCTAAGATCCTCGTGAACACTTTCTCTGCATTGGAACACGGTGCTTTAACCTCCGTTGAGAAACTCAAAATGATTCCAATCGGACCGTTGGTTTCTTCCTCCTCCGACGGTAAAACCGATCTTTTCAAATCTTCCGACGAGGACTACACGAAATGGCTAGATTCAAAGCTCGAGAAGTCAGTGATTTACATTTCCTTAGGCACACACGCCGATGATTTACCGGAAAAACACATGGAAGCGCTTACTCACGGCGTTTTAGCTACAAACAGACCGTTTTTATGGATCGTGAGGGAGAAAAATCTAGAAGAGAAGAAGAAGAATCGGTTTCTTGAATTGATCAGAGGAAGTGATCGAGGATTGGTGGTGGGATGGTGTTCTCAGACGGCGGTTTTGGCACATTGTGCGGTGGGATGTTTTGTGACTCATTGTGGTTGGAATTCGACGTTGGAGAGTTTAGAGAGTGGTGTTCCGGTGGTTGCGTTTCCGCAGTTTGCTGATCAGTGTACGACGGCGAAGCTTGTGGAGGACACGTGGCGGATTGGAGTGAAGGTGAAGGTTGGGGAGGATGGAGACGTGGATGGGGATGAGATTAGACGGTGTTTGGAGAAGGTGATGAGTGGCGGAGAGGAGGCGGAGGAGATGAGAGAGAATGCGGAGAGGTGGAAGGTGATGGCTGTTGATGCGGCGGCGGAAGGTGGACCGTCGGATTTGAATCTTAAGGACTTTGTGGAAGAGGATGAGTAATGGGTTTTAAATTTTGAAGGAAAAAGAAGTTTAAGAATGTATCTTATCTCTTATTTAAATAAACAGAACAAACAGAGTAGAGTAGCAATCAGCGTTTTTCTGTTTTTTCATTCTCTTTTTATCATGTTTTACTAATACTCATTGTAACAGTTAGTAAAATATATTATATTATTATTTGCAATCTGAATAAGATGTGTTTTACAGTTGTGTATTTTTATTGTAAGTTTTCGTTAAATATTTTTAATTTATTTTAGTAATCAGAACAAATATCTTCTACATTTATATTTTGTGTCAAAGTTGCATTTATTCATTTAGAGTTTTGTTTTTTCACCATTTATTCACATTTTTCATCACAATTTTTCATTCTACATAAATAGTTGTGTTTATTTTTTTACAAATAATTGTGTGTATTTAAATGTTCATGTCTTTTGAACTCTACATATTTGTCTTTTTTCCTAGATACTTACCAAACTTTATTGTCATTCATATTTACACCAGTAATTTTTTATTTTTTACCTTTCTCATGTGTATTAACTTTTTTGTTGAGCAAAAAATTTTACAATTCAAAAGAAAATAATGACTTTATATAGGATTTGAGAAGTGATTCTTCAAAATTTGCTGATATGCCACACTCTCTCATGCTTCTTAAGCTATTGACTAAAACAACATTTACTTTTGGTTTGGTTTTGTTCTACTTCGAATCTTTTCTAAAGAAACAAAAATAATAAACCACAAACAAGTTCTAATTGATTTGAACCCAACTCCATTTTCTCAACTGAAATGAGTAAAGAAATGGGTCCACAAAGACTATACACTAGTGTTCATAAGTAACCATAGTCCCATTTATTCACTCTTGTGCAGTGCTCCTCCTGATTGATCATCTAGAAGAAACGAAGGTCTCGTTAATTAACATTACAAAGCAGCCTTTTCTTTGTATCCTTTAAATTCTCTCAAAGCTCCCTTTGTAGATAAACCCTTCTTCTCTTTGTTGAAACAATAAACCGGTGCCTGCCATTTCTCATCCTCTAGGACCGCACCAACATCAAATGTCATCACATGAGCTTCCCTCCCTGCAACAAATTTTCCCCTCATTTCAGATAAAATTTCGCTAGAAATATAACCAAGATTTCATGCTAAGTAGAGAATGACATGGCGATTGTCTTGATCACCTGTATAGAAGATCCATTGCACGGGCCTCTTGGTTATAACATCCTCATAGTACCATATAAAGTCCACTTTCTCCCAGACATTGCAAAGAAACCCACTCACATTTTGTTGACCTAGATACTTGGCTCCATCTAGCCAGTTTGGTCGCAGGATTCCAACCTTACGTGACATAAAAAATTCCAAGCATATTCAGCAAGTTACTATATACAAAATCATTACAAGCTCATACAAGACCAATCCAGATGAACTTCAAACTAAAGAATGACCAAGTGAGAGTGAAGTAGTAAGAAACAAGAGACAACTTCAAACTAAATCCGCAGAGAGCTCCAATTTCATAAAATGAAGATCTGTGGAGTCACCTGACTTTATCTTATACATAGAAGTAGAACTCTCTTCTACAGGATTTCAATTTCCCACTCAATATGAAAAAAAACTCAAACCTATCAATGCTTATCCTAACCAGACACTATAACTTCACAATCTTCCTCCATCATTGCTTTAATTAGAGCAATCTCTGGTTTTGTTACTCTCATTTCCCAGTAAAGTCACAAAAACCAACACAAAGCAATAACAGAATTGACCAAATCCTCACCCAAAATTCGAATTTGTTACCTATTCTACAGCCAAAAGGTATTATTCTGAGATCTGTGACAGAGTCATGAACAGAAAATACCAACCTCGAGCTGAGCGGAGCGGCACGATTTTGACTCGTCGAGCGAGTAGATGAAGGAAGTGCCATTGTTCCATTCAAGGTCATAGGTAATCCCACCGAGCTGCTCCTGAATGATATTGAAATTACGACCGTTGATCCAGTCGTACCAAAGGTCGATCATCGAGAGATCTCCGGAGTAATTCATGAACAGTAACGCGTGGAACTGAGGCGGCCATGGCGTCGGAACCGGCTCATCCGCGGTGGCGATTTTTACGCCGGCGGATAAAACAATGAAGAGGGCGATTAGCATGCGTGGTCGTCTAAAAGCCATGTGTGAGCCAGTGAGGTACTGATGAGAGTTTTGGTTCATGCGCCGAAGATAAATTCTCTCTATAAAAAATAAAAAATAAATAAAATACTCCACTATAGTATACTATAAATTCTAAATAAAATTTTAATCTTCAAAACATACACTTTTAGTTCATTAGTCTTACTAAACTCAAGATCATTATTTATATATACATTTTTTGAGACATTTATGAAATAAATCCTGAAGTTCCAACTTATTTACGATCAAATGCCATTGACATTAATTATTTAGATTTTCAAAATTAAATCAAAGATATTAACATAAAAAATCATTTCCAAAAATCTTAACATAATATATTAAGTATAACTAATCTTTGCCACAATTACATCCATATTCAATTCCATTTCCTTAAAATATCTCAACAATCCCTACATTTAATCGTGGCCATTCAAATCTTAATCCGATTTTTAATCTTCAATCTTGACCGTCGGTCATACGCAATTAATTCAGAAATCATTATATAGAATTAATTATTATTAACTAAAATTTAAAAAATATATATATAAAATCAAACTTTTAAATTGACTAGAATTATATGTCTATTAAATAAAATATTATTAAAAATAACAAAATGATGTTTAATTTCACTGTACGGGGTTACATAGTGGGACGGGTTTGGATCGATATTAATACGGGACGGTATTAATATCATGGATGAAATCTTAAAATTAACAATCAAAATACAATTATACAATCTTAAACACTTAACAAAATAAACAATATTAAAAAATACAGTTTAAAATTTAATTTTTTAGTTAAAAAATCGACCCGTGGTGTACCGCGGGATAAAATCTAGTTGATGTATATTATCAATCTAAAATCAGAAAATGTATTTGTACAAATTCACAATATGTATTGGGGAAAGTGTTTTTTGGTTCAATTTGAACCATCCAACTAGTGATGTAATAATGGGCTAGGTACATGCGGGCTTAAACGGGCTCACTATTAAAATTTAGGCCCGTGACCCGTTTATTTATACAGTAAAATTAATAGGGTCTAAACAGGTTGGCCCGTTTAAATCCGCGTGCCTAACGGGTTTGACTAAATTTAAATGGGTAGCCCGTATATTTTCATTTTACTTTTTTCCCAAAATGTTGTCGTTTTAAATTTAGGGTTTTCAAAACAACGCCTCAAAGTCTCGCCGCATCACTTAGTTCATAAGTCTTACTAAACTCAATATGTATATTCTCAATCTAAAATCAGAAATGTATTTGTACAAAATTCACAATATGTATTGGGGAAAGTGTTTCTTGGTTCAATTTGAACCATCCAACCAACAATCTTTTTAAAATCATAGCACAAAAGAACTATGAGAGTTTCAAAAGAAAATTAAAAGCCAAAAAAAAGCTTTTCTTGCATGACTCAATAAACCTACACTACACCATACTCCTACTTAAATACCTCATCTCCATTTCCACACCATTCCATCTTAAAATCACAATCTGATCATCACCAACACATTGCAAACCAAACACAAAGACATGTCTCTTCTTGCTTTCTTCCTCTTCACCCTCCTCGTCTTTTCAAGTAAGTCATCTTAAAATTGCATCATGTTAACATTATCTATATGTAATCTCCTATATTGAACATGATTTTCTTGGTTGATTTACAGGTTCATGTTGTTCCGCGGCTCGGTTCCAAGGCCATAAGTACATACAGAGGAAAACAATGCTAGATTTGGCTAGCAAGATTGGTATCAACTATGGAAGACGAGGAAACAACCTCCCATCTCCTTACCAATCCATCAACTTCATCAAATCCATCAAAGCTGGTCATGTCAAGCTCTATGACGCCGATCCAGAGAGTCTCACACTCCTCTCTCAAACCAATCTCTACGTCACCATAACTGTCCCTAACCACCAAATAACCTCACTTAGCTCCAACCAAACCATAGCTGACGAATGGGTCAGAACCAATATCCTCCCTTACTATCCACAAACACAAATCCGCTTTGTCCTTGTCGGAAACGAAATCCTCAGCTATAATTACGGGAATGTCTCGGCGAACCTTGTACCGGCGATGCGCAAAATCGTGAATTCTCTCAGACTTCATGGGATTCACAATATCAAAGTTGGGACACCTCTTGCCATGGATTCTCTCCGGTCTTCGTTTCCTCCGTCGAATGGAACATTCCGGGAAGAAATCACCGGACCGGTGATGTTACCGTTGCTGAAGTTTCTCAACGGAACAAACTCTTACTTCTTCCTCAATGTTCATCCTTACTTCCGTTGGTCAAGAAATCCCATGAACACCAGTTTGGATTTTGCTCTGTTCCAAGGTAACTCAACCTATACCGATCCTCAAACCGGTTTGGTTTATCGTAATATTCTAGACCAAATGTTGGATTCGGTTCTCTTCGCCATGACCAAACTCGGTTACCCACATATGCGCCTCGCGATCTCCGAAACCGGATGGCCTAATTTCGGTGACATTGACGAAACCGGAGCCAACATTCTCAACGCGGCTACCTATAACCGGAATCTGATCAAGAAGATGACCGCAAGTCCACCAATCGGTACACCATCTAGACCCGGTTTACCCATACCGACATTTATTTTCTCCTTATTCAACGAAAACCAAAAATCCGGTTCGGGAACACAGAGACATTGGGGAATCTTGCATCCCGACGGTTCACCAATCTACGACATAGATTTCACCGGTCAAAAACCCTTAACCGGTTTCAACCCGTTACCTAAACCGACGAACAACGTTCCATACAAAGGTCAAGTGTGGTGCGTACCAGTCGAAGGAGCCAACGAGACTGAGCTTGAAGAAACTTTGAGGATGGCTTGTGCCCAAAGCAACACCACTTGTGCTGCTTTAGCTCCTGGGAGAGAATGTTACGAGCCGGTCTCTATTTATTGGCATGCAAGCTACGCGCTTAGCTCGTACTGGGCTCAGTTTCGTAACCAAAGCATTCAATGTTACTTCAATGGATTGGCTCATGAGACAACGACCAACCCTGGTGAGCCATTCTTTATAGATTCCAAATTAGGACCAAAATAACCTTCTTGTATATTCACTGTTCACGTGACAGAGTAAGGGTATTTCTAGAATTTGTAGTAACTAACAATGTTTTTTTTTACAGGAAATGATCGTTGCAAGTTTCCGAGCGTTACTCTGTGAGGACTTGAGGAGGAAGAAGATACATGATTAAAGCTGGATTATTCGTATTACTTATATTGTTCTTTATCTTTTTACTATACCTTTTCTGCTTCATGTTTCGCGATGTTGAGATTTAAAAAAAATCAAATAATTAATAAATAGTATTTTTTGTTTTTCCCTTAATGTGATGATTAGTGATTACATTCTCTATTCAGCCAAAGAAAAAAAAAGAAAAATTCACATTCTCTTTCAGCTATATGCCTATATGTAGTTACAAATTATAAATGGATGAGAATCATGAGATATTAATTACTCTAAAGCTGCAATAAACGTAAACACTACTAATAACAAATCTAAACTTATTTAAAATGTTAACCAAGATTCAAGAACGTGTGGTCAAATAATTTGTTCAAGTGTGTAAATAACTCGCCATAAAGGACAAATGCAGAAAGATCGAATTTTACCATCTAATCGTTGTGATTTACTTTCTATAAACGTTTTGAATGATAAAAATACCCAAACTTCTTACGATATTGGAATTAGATCATCAATCTCGTCACCAAACAATTCGTTACGAATTAAAAGCTTCCATGTGATTGCATCAACAAACAAATAAGTTAAGAATATTTCATGTGATTGCATTGAATAACACCAAAAGTTTTCATACAATGTACGAACAAAAAAAAAAACACCCACAAAAAGTATAGTAATTATTAAATAAAAAATCTGGAAGAAAACTAAATTTATAAATCTCCTCCTCCTCTGGTTTCTGGAGCTCTGTACCAAACGAATTGATTGGTCTTTGTCAGTGAAGATCGTGATCAAGACAAAGACATGGTTGCATTCTTACTTGTTTCGTTCCCTCTTTAAGCCGGTCCCTATCTTCATCTTATCTGCAAATGCAACTTCGTCTTAAACCTGATTATTCCTTCTTCATCGTCTCTTCCTCAACGATGGCTTCGACTTCTTCTTTGGGACCTTCTACACTACTTTCTTACGCTTCTTCTTCTCGTCAATTTCCTGATTTTGGGTTCAGATTGATTTTGGGTCACGAAAGTGTTCGAATTCCATCGTTCCAACGATTTCGGATTCACTGCGAGTCCAAGGCGAGTTCAGATTTCTGCGTTATATCTTTAACAATTCGATTCTCGCTTTTGGGTTTTTGGAATTGAATAATAAAGTTCTTCGCTTTAATTTCGAAAGTAGTCAATTTGAGGATAGTAATCATATCAATGTATAGCCATGGTACACGATTGAGTATCACTACTAGTTGTTTAGAAAAGTTATCAAAATTGTATCTTTTTGCAATTTCGATGTAAAGTTTGTATCTTTTTGTTGATTCTTTGGGTCCCAACTCTCCTAATACAAATGGATGAAACGAAGTTATTGCTCTTGCTCACTAAAACTAGGAGTTTGATCCTCAATTGTGTTCATATATGTTTATCACTCTTTTGTCATTGTAGTTTCATATCTAATCCGGTAACATCCGTTTTCGATATGTTTGATTCAGGAAAAAGAAGTGAGATCGTCTTCGCAGTTTCTTGAAAGCTCGTCATTATCAGGAGATGCTGCTTTGCGCTCTAATGAATGGAAGGCTGTTCCTGATATTTGGAGATCATCTGCAGAGAAGTATGGTGATAGAGTTGCATTGGTTGATCCTTATCATGATCCTCCTTTGAAACTGACGTACAAGCAGGTATGTTTCTTACTGATGCTACTTATTCATCATTCTTGTTGCAAAGAAGAATAAGGAGAGACCAGTCCTTGAATTTTCCATGAGCACTTGTACTTTGATTTAGGAGCTATGTATTTAGGCAAGACGGGTCTGCTTTTTTATCTTTGTGTTTATAAGTGATTGTGGAAACCTCTTAGTCTGTAGTTGGTCTGGTCACTTTGAATAACATATAGTTCTTAATAGCTGGTGAGGGGAGAGCATCTAATTCTGAATTGCTTGTTAAGATGTTGGTGATGAGGGAAGAGCAGCTAATCGCCATTCTTGTTTGGTTCCTGATGATGATTATAAGTTCTGGATGTTTTGAAGAATTCAATTGAAGTTTTACTGCTTTTAGACTTCTAGTGAGGCATGCCATTGCTCTTTTTATTATATGTACTTCTGTCTTAGGATCTTAGAACCAAGAATCACTCTGCTCCTGGTTATTGCAACAGTGTGTTCTGCAGGAAAATATTATTCTTGTTATTAGATAGGTCGTTGATAGATTGTAGTTGTAGATATTAGTTCTTGGTGAGCAACGGAAACTTTCATCTTCTTTATTTATATTTTGCAGTTGGAACAAGAAATTTTGGACTTTGCTGAAGGCTTACGAGTTCTTGGAGTGAAAGCAGATGAGAAGATTGCACTTTTTGCTGATAACTCCTGTCGATGGCTTGTTTCAGATCAAGGTATGTGGTTAATGATATGGAACCAATAAGGGCCTACTTTGGAGGAAAAGGATAAAATATCACTTAGTAAAACTAAAAAGATCCCACATTGGAAAGGGAAAGGAATAACAAATGGTTTCTAAGTCTAAAGGCACCCTCTCTCCACAAGCTAGCTTTTTGGGGTGAGTTCTACCTCTGGACTTTTTAAGTGTTTGTTAGGCCCAAATCTAACAGGAACACACAAGAATATTATTATTCACTTGTTTATAAGAAGAGCATGAAGAACTAGGGGGATTGATTTCATTCAAATTTGCATCACCAAGCTTCTTAGGGGCTTACCTTGCACATTAACCATCAAACAAACAATGTTTTGAGATACATTTGAGATGTTTCTGCTCTTTCTTTTCTTCTTAATTTTACGTGGTATTTTCTCATCTCAGCTTTGCTTAGCTATTTTAACTTCACTTATTGGTGCACTATACTAATTTACACTGCTCCTTCATTTCTCCTTCCCTCGTCCCAAGTATCGATATCTTTAAGTTCTGTTTATACTATATGTCAGGTATAATGGCCACAGGAGCAGTCAATGTTGTCAGAGGATCTAGGTCCTCTGTTGAAGAGTTACTGCAGATATACCGTCATTCTGAAAGGTATGCCAACACTTTTGATTCTTTTGTTGTTTGACGTAAATATCATACCTACTCTTGAGAGGTGTATAGTTGGATTTATGATAAACACAATATGAATTTCATCACGATATACTGATCTCATTTTTGTACCGTTTGTTTCATCATCTTGTTATTTTGTTTTCATCAAACAGTTTCAGTTCTATATCTTCAGATGCATCTGAATATCTGATGATGATGTTGTTTCTAAAAGCAGTATGTTTGGTTTCTTATTTATTGACAGTTTTGGTGCCTGTTTAGGAATAATTTTTCTGATTAGAAACAGCTTCTTGATTTCTTATTTATCTTATTGCACCAGCTCTCCTGTAAAATTGTAACTATTCAAAAGATCTTTCGTCCATACCGTGTCTCTCTTTTCAGTTATCTGTGCATTTGTTTGCAATATAGAGATCAGTAATTTCAAGTGATCTGCATTGCAGTGTAGCCCTTGTTGTGGATAATTCTGAGTTTTTCAACCGCATTGCTGAGTCGTTTACTTCAAAGGCATCTCTGAGATTTTTGATACTTCTTTGGGGTGAGAAATCATCATTGGTCACACAGGGGATGCAGATTCCAGTTTACACTTATGCAGAAATAAAAAACCAAGGACAGGAGAGTCGTGCAAAATTATCAGGATCTAATGATACCAGTACGTTAAGGCTCTATTTTATCTCCAATGCCCTAAAAGAATAAATGCTAACAGACAGATGACTGCAGGGAGCTATAGAAATCAATTCATCAATTCAGATGATACAGCCGCAATTATGTATACCAGTGGTACCACGGGAAATCCGAAAGGCGTTATGCTTACACATCGGAATCTTTTACACCAGGTTCAACCAATAGGCTCAATACAAGCGTTTCTTTGGTGTTTCTGTCTCTTATTAATATCAAATTTTCTTATTACTTTCTGAAAATAATAGGTTTGAGAATCTAATGTTTTCTTAAACACTTTCCAGATAAAACATTTATCCAAATATGTGCCTGCTCAAGCTGGGGATAAATTTCTAAGCATGCTGCCGTCATGGCATGCCTATGAGCGTGCTAGTGAATACTTCATATTCACTTGTGGAGTTGAGCAAATGTATACTTCTATAAGATACTTAAAGGTTATTCTCATCATCCGATTTTTTTAGTCAGTATCTCTTGCAAACAGTAGATTTGTATCGAGTTGTGTTGGCCCCTGTTAGTGTGATACTTCACTCACTTCCTGAGATCAAACACCTTTGTTTTTTCCTTAACGATGGCAGGAAAATTCATGAAATATTATTGTGCCATAAAAGTTATGAAACACTTAAAAGTGGAAAATGTGAAATTTGCTGAATGTATCAAGTATTTCATTTAGCGTTGCTTCTTTTGGCTCTAATTCGTTTTTATTTTGTTTTCTTTTGGTATAGGATGATCTAAAGCGGTATCAACCAAACTATATTGTATCCGTTCCTCTAGTATATGAGACACTTTACAGGTTTGTCATTTTCGAGTTAAAAAGTTTTCACAATACTCATATTATATGAATGATGGATTCTATAAATACAGTAGTTCTGTATGCACTTGTTTAAATAAGTCTTAAATCCATCTCTCACAGATGAGGGGATTTTAGTTAGTGTGGTTGCTGCTCAATCTTTACATATTGTTAAAACATAGTGCATCATTTCAATCATTAACTACTCTTCAGCATTCTCAACATGCGTTAGTTGTTAAACAAATTTTTTCACTCTTTTCTCTGTTTCCTCTTTGAGCTCTGTAGTGGGATTCAAAAGCAAATTTCTGCAAGTTCTGCTGGCCGTAAATTTCTAGCACTTACATTGATCAGAGTCAGTATGGCATATATGGAGATGAAAAGGATATATGAGGTTCATGAACATGATACCCTATTTAACATCTGTTCTTACCTTATAGTTTGTTTTAAGAGTTTTCTGCTTTTATTTGTGGTTCCTGAAGTTTTGATATGGTTTGTGGTCTGGTTTACAGGGTATGTGTCTGACAAAAGAGCAAAAGCCTCCAATGTATATTGTTGCTTTTGTGGATTGGTTGTGGGCGAGAGTAGTTGCTGCCTTATTGTGGCCATTACATATGTTGGCCAAAAGGCTTATCTACAAGAAAATTCATTCATCTATTGGAATATCGAAGGTAGTACACGAATTCTATTTTCTAATTTGTTTTGTTAGATTTATAATTATAGTTAGGACTGATATGATTTTGGTTTTCACAGGCTGGTATTAGCGGAGGTGGTAGTTTACCCATTCATGTTGACAAGTTTTTTGAGGTTAAGCCGTCTATAATTTCTCTTGGAAAAATAGAACAATTTCTTTTCTGGCTTTGAAAGTTTCGATATCTAAAGACTTAGTTCTAAAATCATGCAGGCCATCGGTGTGATTCTACAAAATGGTTATGGTTTGACAGAGACCTCGCCGGTTGTCTGTGCACGGACACTTAGCTGTAATGTAAGTCATTCTTACTTCTATATTCTAATTGAGTTGTGAATTCGAACACTTTGAAGTTTCCTTTGGAGTGTTTGCAAAGAAAAAAGCTATCATCTCTGATTTAATTTACACAAAATTTAACATCTGAAACTCCCTTACAAAAGTTCTCAGACAAAGCAGTTATATGTTGTATAAGTATTGAACACAACTTCGCTAGCTATTCGATTTTATCTCTTTTCCCACTGAGCTTCCAAATCAATCAAAAACAGAAATATTAGAACACAACTTTGTTTTTGTTTCCTTAGAAAATTATTAGTCTTAACTGTCATTTCTTTTGATCCATTATTTGTCTTTTCCTACTACTTATTACAGTAGTTCGTTTTGTCTTTTTTTTTTTACTGAAGGTTCTTGGCTCAGCTGGGAATCCAATGCATGGTACAGAATTCAAAATTGTAGATCCTGAGACTAATAGTGTACTCCCTCCTGGTTCAAAGGGCATTATCAAAGTCAGAGGTCCACAGGTTATGAAGGGTTATTATAAGGTAACTAGCTCACTTAATCATAATATAACGACAAAGTTGTGAAAAAAGTTACAGAGACGCAGAAGTTTTAAAAATCAAGCTCGTTTCTTCTGAATAATCTTCTAATAAGCATATGTATATTGGCTTCCTGCTTTGCGACAATGCAGTGTTTTCCTGTTTTCCTCACATTTAAGTTTGTTGACTCATCTAGCATCAGTATTTTGTATGTATGTTATTGTGTTGCATTGATGATTAAATCGGGTTTAACTCATCTTTCTGTTGGTGTGTACTGCAGAATCCATCGACCACAAAGCAAGTTCTAAATGAGAGTGGATGGTTCAATACAGGAGATACGGGTTGGATCGCTCCTCATCACTCAAGAGGGCGGAGTCGTCGCTGTGGAGGTGTCATCGTTCTTGAAGGCCGTGCTAAAGACACAATTGTACTCTCCACAGGTATTATCCAAGTCACAAACATGTTCAAATGCATAATCGAACCCAAAATCAATTAAATAAAAGAACTCAGTCCTTATAGCAATAACATCATCATCACTATAGGTGAAAACGTGGAACCGTTGGAGATTGAAGAAGCCGCCATGAGAAGCAGGTTGATAGAGCAAATCGTTGTTATTGGACAGGTGCTTAAATCCTCTCAAGACAATTACAAAAATGAAAATCTTAGTATCAACTATTTTGCTTATTTGTTGTTATTTTAAATTGATTCCTTGTTCACAGGATCGACGTCGCCTTGGAGCTATCATTATTCCAAACAAAGAGGAAGCACAAAGAGTAGATCCTGAAACATCTAAAGAAACACTAAAGAGCTTGGTCTACCAAGAACTGAGGAAATGGTACTAAATACTTTGTAACTTCAGCTAACAGAATTAAGATCTTATATTTACTATGTTTAAACAATGTTGCAGGACATCAGAATGTTCGTTTCAAGTCGGACCGGTCTTGATCGTCGATGAGCCTTTCACGGTAAATATACATAATCAATCATTGCTTATTGTTGTTAGGCTTATTCAGGACCCAAAAAGATTGAAAACCTTATTAAGAGAACTCTTTAATGACACGACATTGCAGATAGACAACGGGTTAATGACACCAACTATGAAGATTAGACGGGACAAGGTCGTGGCTAAATACAAAGACGAGATTGATCAACTCTATAATTAAGACATTTGTATTAGTCTTGTTCTTGTTGTTAATATCAATTAAACAATAAAATCATAGCCCTAAAGAAACATTTTACAGCTTGTAAAATTATATTTCTAAGTATTTTTATATACGGCCAATCAATAATGAAAGATTAGAGAAATGATGATTGATGAATATAATAGTACAACCACTAAATGAACATACAAAATCATTAATTATCAAGAATAGATGTATACTGTATGGCCGTAGTATTATTTCAAATTAATTAATTAGGTTATTTAGCAGTATGTTCTAATGTAATATGTTTACTGGTCTCATAGTTTTCATCGTTAAAACAAAACTTAAAACGTTAACAAATAGGTTTCCATTTAAAACGTGATTGATCTCATATTTTATCAAAAAAACTAAAATAAATAATATTATTAGTTTGGCAATGAATTTTTTTCGAGATATTAATATCCCTTATATATTAATTGAGAAGCATTGTTAAAAAATAACCTTACTCTCATGTGTGATTAACGAAAATGCCATGATGATGTGTCGTTCTCACAAAGCTTCTCAATCCATTTAATTAAAGACCCAATATTTATTAGGATATTTACAGATTTTGCCATTAGTTTTAGTTCTGTTTATTTTTTCCAATTAATTTATGCTTTTTATTTTACCCAATTAATTAAAACGAAAATACAATTAAAATATGTAATTAAGAAATACAAAATGGGGTGCCAAATATTTTGTGTATCTATTAATATAACAATATATATATTATAAAACATGATAAACATAAATAAAAATTTCACTAATCTTGATAATTATTAATATACCACCATTTGTCGAATAATATAAAAATCGAACGCTTTCAATATCATCAATATATTAAAATATATTTAATAATCGTTTCGTCCCGCACATAGTGCGGGTTTTTATCTAGTACTAGCATTATGGCCCCTGCTATGCAGGGACAACATAAATGTCAATTTACATCATATTTCAAAATATTTTAGAAAAATCAAACATATGTTTTTTTTTTAAATGGAAGTGCATTGAAGCCATTAGCTATGTAGTTAAATTTCAAAATCATGAAACAAATAAGTTATTGATGGAAGATGACAAACTTTTTTTTTTAAACGACAAACTTTGTGAGCATACTACATAATGATTAATATAAAAAGTTATCTATATATATGTTAATTACTTTCGTTATAGTGGTTTCATCAGTTAAAGTAAGAGAGGATTTGGAAAAAGGGATAACTTTGAGATCATGGGGGAAGTAGTGGTTGCTAAAAAAGTGGTAATATTATTTTTTTTTTTTGTCAAATTTTTTTCCAAGAATAGTAGAATTGAATTACGTGAAAGTGAAAGAGCAAAATTTGAGAGTTTTGCCACATGTCAAAAGGAGAGTGTTGCAGTTTTGTTAAAGTGACTGTTGATTTAGTATAAATAGATTTATCCCGCTTTATCAAGACATCGTTACCTTATCACATTTACCTTATAAATGGATTATTTAATTTTCTTCATTTGAATGTTGTTGATGGGACAAGTATATGGCATTGTATCAAATTACCATTATAAAATAGTATGGTTAGATAAATAGATAGACAAGTTATTTCATACTCTGCTACAAAGAAAATAACTATCTAAATTTATAATAAACATGTAACGTTTTAAATTAGCAATGCATGAAAAACTTGCAAGATTAATAGGTATACAAGACTACAAGTATATTATTATCTTGATACAAACAAACTTAGAGCAGCTCCAACACTCGTCTCTCATTTGGTATCTCAAAATTTTTTTAAAAACAAACCAGTAGTGAAAACTAGATACATTTATCGTTTAAGAGACTTTACAAGTCCATTTGAGAGACCCATGCACCATTTGTCTCTTTTTGTAGTGGTCGTTTTTGTTTTAATATTAAATATTAATATTTTAGTTTAAGAAACTCAAAAGAGTCTCTCAAGGATGGGGTTGTTCTTAGCTAAGAAGAATTAGGGATGTCAAATGGGCTTCGTGACCATGGGCAAGACCAGTCCAAATTATAATGGTCCGGATTTGGTCGAGCCCAAATTTGCCCAAATTCGAAGTGGTCAATATGGGCTAGAAGTCCATTTAGTCCACAAACAAATGGGCCGAACCCATCTGGACATGGGCCGTCCAATAAACTTTAAAAACTAGGGTTACTAATTTGGAGAATTTTTTTTTCTTTATTTTTTTTAAAATTAGGATTTACACTGACATTTTCACTCCAAAAAATATTTTTACAGTTTTGGCGGAAAAATGTGATTTTACGATTTGGCGGAAAAATGCAATTCTTCGATTTTGAGAAAAATGTGCTTTTGCGGTTTTGGCGGGAAATAAAAAATTATATTATTTGGGCCCCATGGGCTGTCCAGTTGGTCATTGTCTTATTTGGGCTTGGTCTTAATTGGACACGGTCCTATTTGGACTTATACTATCATGGTCCTATTTGGTCTTGGTCCCATTTGGACAGACCCATTTGGACCTGGACAGCCCAATTGACATCCCTAAGAAGAATGCATTCTGACAAGTAACAACCAGTTATGACCCCGCAATTAGTTTTATAAACAAGGATATATTCGTCACAATTGTTAGCATAATATGAAGCAAATAGTGATGAAGAGAGAAGACTAGTTTTTGAAGCAATGTTGCTATATAATCCAAAATATACATTAATTATTGAAAATATGAGATTTATAGGGGATATTGCGCAAAAGCTAAATTACAACTCATGACAGTAATTAAAATCTTTATGTAATGTATTACACCATTTATGCGAGCTCTAAATTGTTAGTTTAGAAAATAAATAAGGAGAATAATATAATAGTTTTTTTTTTGCCTACCAAAAAAAATATAATAGTTTTTTTTTTTTCAAAATGGGTCCACTTTATGTTTATGAGGATATAATCTCATTATTAAAAATGGTAAGAAATCTTCTATATAAATTGGTAAAATTTTCTTTCAATCTTCAATTTAAATATTTTTTAATTAATTAATGGAAATATAGGATTTATGATATTCCCCAAAAGCTTAATTTCAACTAATATAAGAAGAAAATAAATTACAACTCATAATATTAATTGAAATCTTTATGTACAATGTATGAGACCATTTCTCTCAGTCCTGAAATGTTAGTTTTAGAAAATAAATAGAAAAAATAGATTTTTTTTTTTTTTTTTTTAAAATGGGTCAACTTTATGTTTATGGAGGAAAGAATCTCAATTTTAAAAAGGGTAAGAAATCTTCTATATAAATTGGTCAAATTTTTTTCAATCTTTAGTCAAAATCATTATTATTTTTAATTAATTAATGGAAATATTGGATTTAGGAGATTCTCCAAAAGTTTGATTTCAATTAATATAAAAAGAAAAAGCTGAATTCCAGCTAATCACATTAATTGATTTTGTAATGTACAGTGTATCACAAGATTTTTGCCAGCACTAAACTTTCAGGCGTTTTTTTGTTCTATTTGAACTAAAAAAAAGTCTTAGCTCCATTCATAGTCCTTTTCTCCTCTCTCTTGTTTTACTACTCTCACTAGATTTTAAACGTAAGTTTTGCTTGTGTCATTTTCCCAATTTTTTTGTCCATATCAAACTAGATTTCATATATTAATTGTTTACTGATATAATATATGTGATGCCGATATAATCTATGTGATGTAGAAAACACTCCTTTGGAGGGGTTTGTAATTACAGTGTATCACAAGATTTTTGCAAATCCTAAATGTTAAAAAATTCCAGGCGTTTTTTTGTTCTATTATTAAAAAAAAAGTCTTAGCTCCATTTATAATCCTTTGCTTGTGTCTCTCTTTTTTTTTCACCACTCTCACTAAACGTAAGTTTTCTTGTATCATTTTTCTAAACTTTTAGTCGATTCCAAGGATTTGAATTGAAAGTTTTCTGATATTTCATTGTTTACGTCGATATAATCTATGTGATGTAGAAAACACTCCTTTGGAGGGGTTTGATTACCTATTTTCATGCAAAAGTTTTATTTAATTGCATACTAATGATTTTGATAATTTTGTTTCAAAATTAGGTTTTTCTTGAAAATGGACTCAAAAGCTGGGAAACAAAAGAAGAGAAGTGTTGACTCGGATGATGTCTCTAGCGAAAGGAGACCAAAGCGAGCAGCAGCATGCACAAACTTCAAGGAGAAACCTCTCCGTATCTCTGAGAAATCTGTAACTGTTGAAGCCAAGAAAGAGCAGATCGTGGCGGAGGAGATCGTGGCGATAAAGTTAACTTCTTCTTTGGAGAGGAATGATGATCAACCTCGTCCAAACCGGAGGCTAACTGATTTTGTTTTACTTGATTCAGACGGAGTTCAACAGCCTGTGGAGATGTTGGAACTTGGTGACATATTTATTGAAGGTGTTGTCTTACCTTTAGGTGATGAGAAAAAGGAAGAGAAGGGTGTGCGGTTTCAATCTTTTGGTCGAGTAGAGAACTGGAATATATCCGGGTATGAAGATGGTTCCCCGGTGATATGGATCTCAACCGCGTTAGCCGATTACGATTGTCGTAAACCGGCAAGTAGCTACAAGAAGATGTACGATTATTTCTTTGAGAAAGCTTGTGCTTGTGTGGCGGTATATACGAACTTGTCCAAGAATCCTGATACAAGTCTTGATGAGCTTCTTGCGGCGGTTGTTAGGTCGATGATCGGAAACAAGTTCTTTTCTAGCGGTGCAGCCATCCAAGAGTTTGTTATATCCCAAGGAGAATTCATATATAACCAACTCGCTGGTTTGGATGAGACAGCCAATAATCATGACACAAGCTTTGTTGAGAATCCTGTTCTTGTGTCTCTAAGAGATCATGGTAGTAGTAAACTTCACAAGGCTTTGTCTAATGTGGCTCTGGGGATTGATGAGAGCAAGGCCGTGACATCTGCTCAACTAATGGATGGTGCCGAGGACGAGGACGAGGACGTAAAATATGCTAAGCTAATCCAAGAAGAAGAGTACCGGATATCTATGGAGCGGGAGAGAAATAAGAGAAGCTCAACAACTTCTGCTTCAAAGAAGTTTTACATTAAGATCAATGAAGATGAGATTGCCCATGATTATCCTCTCCCATCTTACTACAAGAACACCAAAGAGGAGACAGATGAGCTTTTACTATTTGAAGCTGGCTATGAGGTTGATGCAAGGGACCTACCTTACAAAACTCTTCACAATTGGGCACTGTACAACTCTGATTCACGTTTCATATCTCTCGAGCTTCTCCCGATGAAGCAATGTGATGATATCGATGTCACCGTCTTTGGGTCAGGTGTGGTGGCTGAAGATGATGGAAGCGGGTTTTGTCTCGATGATTCTGAGAGTTCTACGCAGTCACATGATCCTGATGGGATGAACATATTCCTTAGTCAGATAAAGGAATGGGTGATTGAGTTTGGGGCAGAAATGGTCTTTGTTACATTACGAACAGATATGGCCTGGTAAGCTTACTATATTTCATTGCATGTTTCTGCCTTATTTGTTGCTTGTTGATCAAGCTAAGAACCCTAATATTTAGTCTTATTAGAATATATAAATTTCTTATCGAATTTTATTAAAAAAACGAGTTTTGGCTGCATTGAATTGACAAAGTTTTTAAATTGAATTTGATAGAGTTTTTATATTCGTTAGAGATCGACCAACTTTGCTATATTTTCTATTGGTTTAATTGACTTTGAAAAATTGGGTAGTGATTTGCAAAAATAATGCCAAATAAATTATGTATTTAATATTCTTGGTTTTTTTTTACTTTAGTTCTTTATTTATTTTGGGACGATGATTGTTACTATTATTATTTATAATTATTTAGTTTGCTGATGTATAATGTATATGCAGGTATCGACTTGGGAAACCATCAAAGCAATATGCTCCTTGGTTTGCAACTGTTATGAAAACAATAAGGGTTGCGATAAGCATCTTCAATATGCTCATGATGGAAAGTAGGGTTGCTAAGCTTTCATATGCAGATGTCATAAAAAGACTCTGTGGGTTAGAGGAGAATGATAAAGCTTACATTTCTTCTGATATATTGGATGTTGAGAGATATGTGGTCGTCCATGGACAGATTATCTTGCAGCTTTTCGAAGAGTATCCCGACAAGGATATCAAAAGGTGTCCGTTTGTTACTGGTCTTGCAAGTAGAATGCAGGATAAACACCACACAAAATGGATCATCAAGCAGAAGAAATTTTTGCAAAAGGGAATGAATCTAAATCCGAGGAGAGGCATGGCACCTGTGGTATCCAGAATGAAAGCTATGCAAGCAACGACAACTCGCCTCGTCAATAGAGTTTGGGGAGAGTTTTACTCCATTTACTCTCCGGAGGATTCATTGGAGGCGATTGATGAAAATGTGGAAGAAGAGGAGCTTGAAGAGGTTGAAGAGGAGGACGAAGATGAGGAAGATGATACAGAGGAGAATGGACTAGAAGCTGTTGAGGTTCAGAAGTCTCACACTCCTAAGAAAAGTAAAGCTAGTTCTGAAGAAATGGAAGTAGAATGGGATGGTTTAGTTCTTGGAAAAACTTCTGCTGGTGAGCCTCTATATGGAAGAGCCCTTGTTGGAGGGGATGTGGTGGCGGTAGGTAGTGCTGTCATCTTAGAAGTTGATGATCCAGATGAAACTTCGGCGATTTATTTTGTGGAGTTTATGTTCGAAAGTTTAGATCACTTCAAGATGCTACATGGTAAATTTTTGCAAAGAGGATCAGAGACTGTTCTTGGGAATGCTGCAAACGAGAGGGAGCTATTCTTGACTAATGAATGCATTACTGTTCAGCTTAAAGACATAAAAGGAACAGTTAGTCTCGAGATTCGATCAAGGCCGTGGGGGCATCGGTATAGGAAAGAGAACATTGTTGTGGATAAGCTTGACCGGGCAAGGGCAGAAGAAAGAAAAGCTAAAGATTTGCCAACAGAATACTACTGCAAAATCTTGTACTCACCTGAGAGAGGTGGATTCTTTAGTCTTCCAAGAAGTGATATGGGTCTTGGTTCTGGATTCTGTAGTTCATGTAAGATAAGAGAGGATGAAGAGGAAAGGTCCAAAACTAAACTCAGTGTTTCAAAGAAAGGCTTTCTCTCCAATGGGATAGAGTATTCCGCGAAAGATTTCGTTTATGTAATCCCCAACTACATAAATGAAGATGGTAAAAGAAGGTCAAGTTTTAAGTATAGTCAGAACGTTGGGCTACAAGCTTTTGTGGTTTGCGAGTTAGTGGATATTATTATCCTAACGGAACCAAAAAAAGGTAGTCAAGCTTCTTTTGAGATTAACCTGAGACGGTTTTATAGGCCCGAGGATATCTCTGCAGAGAAGGCCTATGCTTCAGACATCCAAGAGGTAACAACTATTTCTTCCGTATTAATTGAAAAAAAAGAAAAACAATTTCTTACATAACATATTTAGTAATGTTTAAAAGTTAATCATAAGTTTATCTTAATAAATATTTTTCTTTTTTCTTTTTGGCAATTATTTTAGGTGTATTATAGCGAGGACACATATGTTCTCCCTCCAGAGGCTATAAAGGGAAAATGTGAAGTAAGGAAGAAAATTGATATGCCCTTATGCCATGAATATCCAATACTAGACCATATCTTCTTCTGTGAACTTTTCTATGACTCCTCCAATGGTTATCTCAAGCAGGTATATATTTTAATTAATTTTGTACATAATTTTTAAAGATTATGGTTATTATTGGTTCCGACAAGAGATTTGAACCGCTGTTTCTCTTAACTGTGTCCTGTAACAGTTGCCTTCCAATACGAAGCTGAAATTCTCTACTATTAAAGACGACAAACTTCTAAGAGAAAAGAAGGGGAAAGGAGTAGAGAGTGAAACTAACTCTGTGATGATTGTGAAGCCTGATGAGGTACCTAAAGATATGCGTCTAGCTACACTCGATATTTTTGCTGGATGTGGTGGCCTGTCTTATGGACTAGAAAAGGCGGGTATGTATTTATCTATGTTCATACACTTTATCTTTCAAAACGCTTGAACAATATGTATTCATATGCATTGTTTATATGTACACAAGGTGCATCGGATACCAAGTGGGCGATCGAGTATGAAGAGCCAGCTGGGCAAGCTTTTAAACGAAACCATCCTGACGCAACGGTTTTTGTTGACAACTGCAATGTGATTCTTAGGTAAGTAGCCAACAAAGGAAAACGTTTTGCTCTTCCATTTAGGCTATTTCTCTTGTTGGTTTCAGTTGTTTAAGGGTTATTAATTGTAGGGCTATAATGGAGAAATGTGGAGATGTCGATGATTGTATCTCTACTACGGAGGCAGCTGAACTTGCAGCTAAACTTGATGAGAACCAGAAGAGTACTCTGCCTTTGCCTGGTCGAGTGGATTTCATCAACGGAGGGCCTCCATGCCAAGTATATCTTTAAATTGTTGTTATACATTTTCTATATGTTTTGTGGAATAAGTGAAAAGCTTCTTAATAATTTGGAAAATTTGGCAGGGGTTTTCTGGTATGAACAGGTTCAGTGACCGCTCTTGGAGTAAAGTCCAATGTGAAATGATATTAGCATTCTTGTCTTTTGCTGATTATTTCCGGCCAAAGTATTTTCTTCTCGAGAACGTGAAGAAAATTGTATCTTTCAATAACGGGCAAACATTTCAACTTACTCTCGCTTCTCTTCTTGAAATGGGTTACCAGGTAATATTCATTTCATGGTCGTTCTATTCCACATGTGATTGCTCTTTAGTAGAAGTTGGCGACATATATATGCAATAGAGCAATGGTTTTCATATAAAAAGTCTGTTGAAACATGTAGGTAAGATTTGGACTCTTGGAAGCAGGAGCATATGGAATATCCCAACCTCGTAAAAGAGCTTTCATTTGGGCAGCTGCACCAAACGAAGTTCTTCCAGAATGGCCTGAACCGATGCATGTCTTTAATAATCCGGGTTTTAAAATATCACTATCTCGAGGTTTACATTATGCGGCTGTTCAAAATACTAAATTTGGTGCACCTTTCCGTTCAATTACGGTGAGAGACACAATTGGCGATCTTCCACCAGTAGAAAACGGAGAATCTGAGATAAATAAAAAGGTATGATTTAATAACATCAACACAAGAAAGTATCTATACATTACATTACATTACGTTAACTTGAATTCATGGTTCTCGTGCCTTGTAGTATGAAGATGTTCCAGTTTCATGGTTCCAAAAGGAGATTAGAGGAAACGTGACTGTTCTCACTGATCATATTTGTAAGAAGATGAACGAACTAAATCTCATTCGCTGTAAGAAAGTCCCCAAGAGGCCGGGTGCGTACTGGCGTGACCTGCCGGACGAAAACGTAAGTCTTACTCTTATACACCCGGCTATAGAAATTCTTATTAAATCTACACACACTTTAAACAAAATTTCTTATAATATTACAGGTGAAATTATCAAATGGGCTTGTGGAAAAATTGATTCCAATTGCTATGTCAAACAAAGCTAAGGAGCCAAACCGTTATAAAGGACTCTATGGTAGATTGGACTGGCAAGGCAACTTTCCCACTTCCATCACCGATCCCCAGCCCATGGGTTTTGTGGGAATGTGCTTCCATCCTGAACATGACAGAATAATCACTATCCGTGAATGCGCCCGATCTCAGGTAATAAAAACTCTTATGTTCCTTCCTTGTTAGTCTTCTAGCATCAATATAAGTGTAGAAATTTTTAGTTTTGGAAATTAAGTGATATTAGCTTATGAATACAGCTCTTTTAAGTGAAATTGTGGTTTCATAAAAACTTGCAGGGGTTTCCGGATAGCTATGAGTTTTCAGGGAAGAAAAAAGACAAACATAGGCAGATTGGGAATGCAGTCCCTCCACCATTGGCGTTTGCTCTCGGTCGGAAGCTCAAAGAAGTCATACATCTGAAGTAGTGATGTTATCATGGGTAAGCCCACCCCATTTAAGCCCACCCCATTTAGTCTCAACCCGTTTAATTTTAAACCCATGTAAACCCATATTTGAGCTCCATTTAAACTTGCCCATTTAATTGTACTTAATCCATGTAAACCCATTTAAATTTGAGCCTCATTTAAACTTGCTCATCGTACTTAACCCATTAAGAGCCATTTAAACCCATTTAACGATGATAAAATCTATACAAAGATGGGACAATTAAAGAAACTTTACTCTTCAAAATTTCTGATCAAACTATACAAGTTAACAGGATTCGAACCTTAAGTGTGAAATTGAAAAAAAACAACTTCTTTATTTGATTTTTATTTTCACATCAAACTTATTTATTTGATTATTTCAATATGTAAATAAATAACATAAAAAATGTAAAGTGCCATTGCTTGTAGAGATTCCAAATCCATTAAGGAAAAAAAAAAAGCTCAGTTTCTTACTTTCTTTGTTTACAAACAATCGACATAAAATTACACAAAGCCACAAAGGAATAAGGCCAAGTCAGATTGCAAAGTCCATATAATTTCATCAAAAATCAAAATCAAATTTTCAGCTTTTTCTATTCATCGTAATTCAAAGTTTCAAAGGCAGCCCATAATTTCTCTATGCTCTCTAATTCGAAATGACCAAATCCAGAAGTCCAACACAAATCGATTAAACCACACCAACACAAAATTTTCAGTAAAGTTGAAGAAGATGAGATCGAGCTTTAGATTCTCAAGATTTCTCTTCAACAACACTCCTAAAGTGAACATCCAAGTTTGGGATCTAGAGATATCGCGAAGACTTTCTGTAAAGTAGAAGTTCATAATGGAGCGAACACATCTTTCTGGTTCGATAATTGGATGGGTGAGGGCTCACTGATGGAGAAAACCGGTTCAAGAGGGGTTATAGACATGGGCATAGGCAGGAATATGACGGTAGGGGAAGCTTGGGGGCACCGTCGCAGGCGACGCCATCTAATACAGTTACTAAACGATATAGAGGAGGCATTGGCGAAGACGTATCATGGACGTAACATGACAAGGGATGACACGGTGTTATGGCAGGGTAAGGGAGATGTTTTCAAGGCTAGTTTCTCAACCAAAGACACTTGGAATCATATAAGGACAAGTTCAAATCAGGTGGCATGGCAGAAAGGGGTTTGGTTCACGCATGCGACTCCAAAATTCTCCTTTTGCATGCACATGGTTAGCTTTGCACGATCGACTATCTACGGGGGACCGTATGCAACGCTGGAACAATGGCTCCACCGTCTCATGCGTTTTCTGTGCCGCGCCCATAGAGTCTCGAGACCATCTCTTCTTCTCTTGTCCATACAGCTATGAAATTTGGAAGGCTCTAGCTCAAACCATTTTCAACACTCATTTCACAGAGGAATGGCAACAGATTGTGGATTATATTGCGGTGACAAACCATAATCGTGTTCACAGTTTCTTGGCGAGAAACATCTTCCAAATCACAATTCACACTATCTGGAGAGAACGGAACGCAAGACGTCATGGAGAAGTACCACGCCCGGCAGCAACTCTAATCCGTTGGATTGATCAGCATGTTCGCAATCAACTCTCGGTTATTCGATCAATAGGGGGCAGGTGCTACGACCAAGCTCTACAAGCATGGTTTGCCTCTTAAGCCTAAAAAGCTGGAAAAATTCTCTCAACCATTTTTCAATGCTTTGTTTTCTCAAACTCTCTGCTTCTCAATCTTATGCTCTGTTACTTCTTTTTAAAAATCTCAAAAGGATGCTGATGTAAAAAGTATATTTTTTTTCTTGAATATAATTTAACATTTTATTCAAAAATTGTTTTTTTTTTAAAAATGAACATCCAAATCTGCATTATGCCAAATGAATAAGATTATATTGTTATTTTATTTTTTATTTTAATAGTAAAAACCTCTTCTTGAAATTCAAAGTCATTGATTTAGGATGATACTCGTCAATAAAGACTAAAGGGAGGTTTGTTTATTCCATTTTAAATGGAAAATCTTATTATATTCTTTGTCTTTCAATTATAATTGTTAATCAAGCAAAGCAATGGTGTCTATGGACTACAATTTATCGCATTGCGATTTGGGTAAAAACACAGATCAAAGTTTAAATAAAGCAGCATCTTTTCAATCATATTGCGTGGAAAAGAAGTTTTGGAAAATACTAAGATGTATTGGAGAATTTTAAAAAGTTATTTTTTGTACTCTTCTTGGCGGTTTATGTGAATTTAAACATAATATTAATCTTTCTAAAAAAGAAATATTAATTTTAAGTTCTTTCGCTCTATTTATCTATACAACAATCAAAAATAATTTTGTCTTTTTCAAAATATTTATTCTTGTAGGAGGCGAAAGACACCACCTAGTATCTATATAAATCGCAAGTATTTAAACAAAAAAGCATTTCTTACGAAATCAAAATGTTAGGTTAAGAAATATCAACAAAAAATTTGCGGACATGGAATAATTTTTTTTAACCAAAAACAATTTGCTTAACTTTCAAGAAAACTTGATTATATTTGTCCAAACAAACTCAAGATCTTACTTTGTTCCACTAAATAATTAAGTTAAAATTGTCATGAACATATAAGTTTTGTCCCAATGGACGTAAGTTCTCAATTATTTATAAATCTTCAATGATTTCACCGATTTCATGTTCTTATCTTTTTGGAGGATTGACCATGTTGCGACTCTCTATGATCACCTGGAGATATCAATGCCACTGAATTAGTTGGAAAAAACAAGATGACCCTAATTCTGATAATAATGATTACCTAACAATATCATTTTTGATTATTTTCCTATAAGAACTCAACAAAAGTCACCTAAACATTTGATACACAAGGAAGGTGGGGAAAAAAGCAACATACCTTCATCATCTACAGTAGGTTTCGCTGGTCGAGTGCGCTTCTTAACATAGTTTTCATCAAGGGGTTTTGGCATTTTGAAGGAGAATAGAGAAGGATTTAATCCCTCTCTTATGTATTCAGGGTGGTCATTCAAGAACCTGCAAACCAGCAATGAGGTTTATAAGGGTGTAAACAAGCTGTATATAAGATACCGAAAACAAGTTGAAAAATCACTAAGATTTTCTTCTACCATTGTTGTTGATCTCCAATGCTTCATGGTATATATAGTATTATCAATATAGGGATGAAATCTTAAGTTACTTCTTGGCATTTGACAAGTGTTACTTCTTGGCTTCTTACAAATTACTTAACACTTGTGAAAAGGAAAATATTATGTCAATTATAAGATATGTTGGAGTGCTAAAAAGACTTACTTTTTGACATCCTCTATTGATCGAACAATTATCCTCTTCTTTATTGATAAAGCAAAATAATAATAGCTGGACAAAAAAAAAACAATTATAAGAAAAGATAGTTTGGTACTATATATACAACGGTTTAAGAAGAAACAATGGGCCAAAGGAACTACTTACACATCCGCGAATCTTGTCGATCCTTCACGCCTAAAATGCACTTCACGTTTCCAGCCGGGTGGTGGGCAAGGGATGCTAGGCACATCAATAGCCCATATATCACATGTTGTTTCATCTTCAGGAACATCACATGACATATATGGCTTCCACTCCGAAGCATCGTCGCAGACAAAAGGGGCATAAATCTCTTTTTCCCTTATGATTTTGTACTTCTGCATAGAAGGTATTAGTCTCCATTTCTCACAGCTTAAACACTGGACCATTAAATCCTTCAGGAGGGGAAGTTCTGGTTTGGATTGGATAGGTTGCGCTTCTTCTGATCCTAAAAATCCACCCCTTTCAAGGATGTTATGTTCATGATGTATAGTCTCAGAACTTTGATCTACCGAACTGTTATTAGATGCATTTCCATTCCAAGACGACCACATAGCTTGATACGAACTACCTGTAATAAATGATACAAGATTAGAGATTTATATGAAACCACAAGTGTAACATCTCTTACGGCACAGCAGAAAGTATTGTCAAATAAAAGAAAAAATGACAAATGTGTAATCACAGATTGTTCATCAAAATTAGATGTCTCTATATGAACATAATGTGTCTAGGAATTTAGGGTAAGCAATAAGCAAAAATCCAGAGAGAAAGTTGATGATCATAAAAAACTACAACATGAATACGAGTAACAAACAGTTTACGGTATAATCCTTTCGCGTAGAGAAAATCATTCCAAAATCACAACAAAATTGAAAAAACACATAAACATTACATATTATGGTAGAGATGTACGAGATCTAGATCCATATATCATCGAACGAAAAAAAATCCGATAAATAATCATTTACATGAAGAAGAATCATAAGAGGACTCGGAAACAAAACAAATCTTACTTCTCTCGACGAAGAGCGAAGGTGATCCTTGTGGGAGCGAAGAGATCACTTTTTTTACGAAGAGAAGAAAAAGATCTGGATTAGTTGGTGTCGATGACAATTTATGTAGTAAACTCAAAAAGGAAGGAGTGAGGCATTTAATTTATTTTCCATAGATACACGTTGCATAAATCTTTTGTTGACTTACATTAATTTAGAAAATAGAGAATTCAACAGGGAGATTACCCGTGTATGTACGATAGTTATCCGTAATTGCATTTGCAAAAAGGCCCTTCTTTCTATGCCTATTTTCAAAAATACTCCCTACTTTTGTCTATTTAAAAAAAGGATCATTTTGAAAACTACCATGTTTATGTGTTATAGTTTCAAAAATACCCTTTTCTATTTTAAAAGAAAACTGTTGTAAACTAGCGAGGTAACGACTTCAAATTATGAGAGTGAAAAGAGGAAAAGAGAGTAGAGCTTTGAGAGAGATTTTTTTTTTTTTGGTGAGTCACCGGGAGTCAAACTCCCGGTTAATTATTATTAAAAATAAAAGAATTACAAACGAACCAAACGCGGATACGAAGATCCCGCAGCGTCTTCTCGCATGATCGAATCAACAACCATCGGAATCGTACAAAGAGAATGAAAACCTAAAGGTAATGTAAACGCATAGTTTGCTAACCCATCCGCCAGGCGGTTAGCCTCCCTATACACGTGAGTAATACGGACTGTCCAGTCCTTCACCAAAAAGCCATGGCACAAACGTACCAGGAAAGACAAGGGATGAGACTCACCTATCCCCGTCTTTAAGAATCCAACCACCATCTCTGAATCGACCTCTAGCTCTAGTTGTGTTATCTGTTTCTCCCAAGCTATGAATAGGCTATAATACACTCCCCAAAGTTCTGCTAAGGGTGCCGAACAACGCCCAATGTTCAAAGCAAATCCTCCGCACCATACACCGTCCTCATTCCGTAAACATCCCCCAGCCGTAGCTAAACCCGGGTTCCCCTGTGACGCCCCATCAGTGTTAAGTTTATACCAACCTGATTGTGGTGGTAACCAACTTAACATCCTCTCCACTCTACCAGCCAAGGCCCTCTGCTCTCCACAGGCCAGCTTAGCCGCGAGTACCTCCTTTGTTAGATCTCGTATGAACTTCACTCTATCTTTCCAAGTTCTGTTCTCTCCAAACAAATTCCCACACCTCCATTTCCATCCCCACCAAACCGCCATAGCAAACATTGTATACCAAGCTTTGTCTCCGGTTTCATTCTCCCCACTCAAGTTCGTGTTCAACCATTCAAATAAGGATTGTACAAAAAAAGTATTCCTCCTTCTTAATGGCACAATTCGGGTCCATAAACCCGCCATAGCCGGACAGTCCCTAAGAACATGAATAATAGACTCCACTCCTCCTTTACAAACTTGGCAAATCTCCGTTTCACACAAGTGACGTCGATGTCTCTCTTGGTTAGTCATGATTGCTTGATTACAAACTAACCAAAGAAACACCTTTGAGAGAGATTTATTGTTCTTATGTTTTTCTCTTATATCATTTCGCTTCTACAACAAGGGTCTATTTATAGGGATAGCACCCTTACATGCATGCAAGCAAGTGGCGAGTCGTTTGCGACAAATGGCGGACGACTCACGACACATGGTGAAGCTACAGTGACAAATGGTAACATCGTCGACAAGTGTTACGACCGCGGCGACACATGTTGTGCCACAAGAACATGCATTTGCATGTATGCATGAAGGGACAAGTGTCAAAGAGGTGAAGACACTTGTAGTGATGGAAGAACATGCATTTGCATGTATGCATGAAGGGGACAAATGTCAAAGAGGTGAAGACACTTGTAGTGATGGATAATCACACATATTTTCTAACAAAAACTACAATTTTTATATACAAAATGACATTTTTTCCAGATTGAAATTAAAAGCTATATATTTTTAGAAAATAAAAACTAAAACGAAATTTAGATAAAATATATAAACTAAATTCTAAAAATATATTTTCCTATTATTGATTATTTTTATAATTTGTTTTAAGGATAAATGTGATTTATTGATTTTTTATATTCAAATTTAACAAGATAATATATAAAATATTATAAAATCTATCGCTTAATATTATCATGTTATATAAAAAGAGAAATTGCCTTTACTAGCCTCAAATCAAGTTTTTCGGACAAGAATAGCACACAAAAGTTTACTAGACAAACATAACACCTTATTTTTAATTTTTTAAATTAATAAATAATTATAAATAAATATAAAAAATCACAAATTCATCGTTAATATTTTCCCACCAAAACAAAATCCCGTCAAATTTTTCTGCCAAAAAAATTTTCGTCAAAATTACCCGCCAAAATATTTTTGGCTCCCAGAAAAAAAAGAATATCGTCAAAATTTCCCGCCAAAAAAATTTCTGTCCGACTTTTCCCGCAAAAAAATCCAAGATATTCAGGAAAAATTCCACGAAATTTAGGAAGGATTTCACGAATCAGGAAACTCTTCCTGAATTACTTGGAATCCTTCCTAAAATTCGTAAATTCATGAAAACCAGCCTGAATTACGTGGAAGACTTCCTGAATTTTGTTGAATCCTTCATGAATTTCGTGCAATCCTTTAAGGAATCATTTCCTGAAATTCAAGGAATCCTTCCTAAATTTCGTGAAATCTTTCCTGAATTTTGTGGATTTTTTTGGCGAGAAATTTTGACGGGATTTTTTTTTGCGGGAAAATGTTGAAAAAAAAATTGACGGGAAAATTTTGGCGAGAAAATATGTTTAAGTTGCGGAAAATTTTGGCGGGAAAATTATATTTTGGCGGAAAATTTCCAATTATTTTTATTTATTTATTTTAATTAAACTAATTATTCATATTTAATATTTAATTAAAGTTTATAGTGCTATTTGTGGAACTTTTCAAATGTAGTGCTATTTTTGAAAGTAAAAGGGAGATTGACACAAATAGCCCCAAAAAAGTTGTTTTTTCCAAAAATAGCACCTCATTTGAAAAGTTCCACAAATAGCACCATAAACTTCAATTAAACTTAATGAAAATATAAGATAGAAAATAAAAAAGAGAGCAAACACTAATCTAATATTAAATTGAATCAAAATTGTTTAAAATAGTGGAAATATATACTCTAATTTGGAAATAGGGAACCCAAATATAATACCACAAACTAATATTAAAATAAAAATCTCTTTTAAATGGTGAAAATATATACCCTAAATTGGTAATGGGAACCCAAATATAATACCATAAACTAATATTAAAATGAATCAAAATCTCTTTTAAATGGTAGAAATATATACCCTAAATTGGAAATAGAGAACCCAAATATAATATTTTAAATTTATTTCTAATTTATTTTGTTGGATAGCTTTTATATAAAAGTTGTGGTATTATTGAAAAAAAAAAGCTAGTGATAAAATTTTTAGAACAAAAACACTAATAGTAAGTTAACTAGTGCTATTTTTGGAAGTTTATGGAGTGTGTGCTATTATTGTCAATAAAACTTGTTTTAGGGCCATTTTTAGGAATTTCTCAAAGTAAAACTTATTTTAGTGTTATTTTTGTCAATCTCCCTAAAAAATGAAATTATCTTTAATACTTTTTAAATAATAATAATATTTTTTTTTAGTTTCATTATTTAATTTATTTTTTAATTGTTTTCAAATATTTAAATTAATTACCAATAGACACGCAGAGCAAAAGTTTTGGGATACGTTTCCAAGAGTCTCTCATTTAAGATACGTTTCTAACCTTTGTCATCCTTTTTTTATTTTTCAATATTTTAATAAGGATCTCTAGATGTGAAACCCCGTTAGAGCATCTCCAATGGTGAGAGCCCACCATGGGCTCTCACCAATTTTTTAAGAATAAAATTTTCAAATTTATGAGATGAGAGCTTTTGTTAAATTTTTTTAATTTTGTAAAGTCCAATGGTAGGCTCTCTTTGTGGGGTTCTCAAGAAAAAATTAAATTATTTTTTTAATTATTTTATTCATAAAACTGAAAAAATTACAATTCATAACATATTAACCATACAATAATTTCATACATTTGAAAATAAATTTGCAAAAGAAAAAAAACGATTAGTTATTCTGTTGATTGTTGCGAAATTTTCTCCATATATGCTCAACCAAATCACTTTTCAATTGTTGATGCATATTTTGATCACGAAGTTGATTTCGCATGCCCATCATATTCTCGAGATTTGGAGGCATACCTGTAGAATACGATAAACCGACTTGTGAAGTTTGGTTTCCTTCAACTTGTAGGAAAGACCTCTCAGACACCACAATTTTGCCGTTAATTTCACTCACAATAAATAGAATCATCGGATTAATCTTGAATTTACCGTTAATTTCACTCTCACTCTCCATCGCCATCGTCTCGCCTAAAGGAGAGTGAGTCGGGAAAATCCAAAAAGGCAAAGTGTTTTTTTTTACGCATTTTTTTTTCTTCTGTTTTGTCAAAAGAAACCAGTAACGTGACACGTCATCGTCTCTCTTGTCTTGCAAAGTCTCTCTCAAGAGAGACAGCTCTCTCAAAAATAAATCATTTTGATTTATTTTTTTCAACTTTTAATGAGAGAAACTATGAAGAGAGCTCCATTTTCACACCATTGGAGATGCTCTTAGAGATGCTCTAATTAACTAGAGTATATAGTGAAACACTAACAAGGAGAATATAGGTTACTTACTCTTCAAACATCAAGGATACATGAATGAACATACATGAAACCCCAACCATAATAAACAACATCAAAGCATATTACAGTAGATGAAACCATACATGCAAAAACCCATTTATTATATTGAAAACATCATACAAAGATACACACACACACGATGATGATGGGTTTACGTGAGATGGAATTTTAGGCTTTGAGAACGTGGGCGTCCATGTCAGCAGCGAGGCTCTTGACCAACTTCATGTAGTTGCTGGGCTCAGGTGAGTCATCATTTCGCTTCTCCCAGGTCATAGTGATCTTGCAGACGATATCATCCGGCGACTTTTGAATGAACTGTAAGATGGTATCATACACTTTAAGCTGCTCCATTACGTGACCTTCTAGTCCTCTGAACGTCACCGCCATATTCTCATCATCTATCTCCCTCCTCTCCTTGAACACCTCCGGTTTCCCATCTTCAAATATGTTTAGGTTAAGAGATTAATTCTTCCACAAAGTTGTTTCCGATGAATGCTTTAAGTGGCAAGATTATGTATGGTTGTTCCATAGACGTTGAAAATTACTTTGCTTTTCGGAAGAATCACTCCGTACCAAAAATTATAAAAGAATCCATAAATCTTCGATAGTTGTCTAAATAAAATTTTTACGGGTTCATAAATAAAGTGAACCAAATTTAGAGAGTATGAGTTTACATATGCTCAAACCGTTTGATAAATGACTCTCTTTATACTTTTAAGTCTTGGAATATTAATTGGTACAACTAAATATTCATTTTTTATGTGATAATCAGCCTGGTAGTATTATTTTCAAAACCCTAGTTTTCAGACGTGGGTTATAACATACGTACGTGAATGTATATTTACCTAATGTGTAGTTCCAAATCTTGATGGCTCCATGGGAGTCCCATTCGCCGTCGTGGACGGTGACACCTTGGATGTGGTGGCCGATGGCATCGGGGAAGAGGTGGTTCTCATTCCTCCACCGCTTGTAGTGTTTCTCCGCTGATCCTTTCAAAGGAACCTCCGTCACATATGTTCCTGAAGTCGCCATCTCCCTCTCTCTCTATCTCTCTTCCTTTGGTAGCGAGTGAAGTGTGTTTCTTTGTTTCTTCTTAATTTGGTTTATGCATACTTTCACTTCTGGTTTCCTTCTTTTATATAGAGAATGAAACGGTTGAAACGTAAACACAGGTTCTTTTTTACCACAATTTTGTCATCTTGCACTATTATGTGCAAATTGGATTTATTAAAAATAATGGCCATGCATTATTATCCACAAGTAAGTTAAATTTACTGTGTCTAAAAAGATAAGAGTTTACGGCTAATTTGAATTGTGAAGTCCATGCATTATTATCCACAAGTAAGTTAAATTTACTGTGTCTAAAAAGATAAGAGTTTACGGCTAATTTGAATTGTGAAGTGATTCACGTTTACCAAGTTCTTATCATAACAAAAAAAAAGATTTGGATGATCAATATTGATATGATATATTTATTGATGTCGGTACATACATATCAATTACACTTTTACTGAAACCTCTCGCCAAAAATATTATACATGCCTAGAAAATCATGATCAAGCCATAGAAAATAAATCATATTCTAGTGAAGCCGGTAACAATCACTATCGTCTCTCTACAAAAGAGAAAATAGGTGAACCAATAGAAACCTGGCTGAAAACGACCGTTTTAGAAAGTGTGCGTGTGTGTGTTTAAAAAAAATAAATAAATTATAAAGCATATTTTTAAAAGTGTTTTGAAACCTGTGAGCGAATAGGTATATAGGGTATAAGGGTAAGAACATGAGTTATTTGGTGAAAGTGTTAATCCGATCAGTCTGATCG